ATCATATGAAGTGCTTTGAAGTGTCCTCCTGACCTGAAAGGCACTGTATGAAATGAAAGGATTATTATTTTTATTATTCTAAATTTTGTATTTTATTATTCTATGTTATAGTTATAGTTATACTTTCAGGGTACGTGTACATCATGTAAGAATTTGTGTAGCGCTTGATCATGCACAATTATCTCAAAATGAGTAATGTCAAGTTTAGTAACTGCTTTGTTGGTGAACACTGCAACCATTTGCAGAAGCAAATAACCATCAAATAAATGAAAAAATAAATGTGGAGTTATTATTGGCCAGCACACTAGGAAAAATTCACTTTTCTTTTTTGAATAGCATCATAGGATCTTTAACATGCACCTGAAGACAAGCAGATGGATTTCAAGGATGCTTGAATTGCCTGTAATATCCTTCATTGGTGGTTAATTACATGGTTAAGAGCATGTGTAATTCCTTCTATAACATGAATATATGAATTATACAACTCATGTAATAGATCTCCAAAATATGCAAAGCTTTCAAAAGGATGGAAAAATAAAGCTTTCAGTTTTTTTTAAAAAATTGCACTTAAAATTTGCAGCTGTTTTAGATTGATATATGACCTGTCTGTGAGATTGAGCTGGTTCCGAGGTTGAATGCCAAAGGAAGGATGAGCAGAGCTAAATAAACTCTGGTGGACTGACTGAGTGATCCAATACTTGAGCCAGGCAGGTCTGGAGTGAACCAGGCACAGTCGCTGATTGATCATCCTGTCTGTCTCATCAGTGAGACTTTGAGATATGTAGACCTATCACTGAAGGTCAACATTCGTCCCATTTGTCTCTTACTAATATTGTAAAGGAACCCCAAACAAGTAGTGTGGTTCTAGCTGGAGTAGCAGAGGAAAGTTACGTAAAATATCCTGACATGCAATTTGCAGTCTCTCATGATTTGGTTCGACTGCAGTGCCTTGACCTATGTGAATCGTTGCCTGTAAAGTATGCTATATATACAGTATTTCTTTCTAGATATATTTCTACACCTCAATGAGACACTGTGTGCACCACAGATGGTAAGCAGTATCTGTTAAAACAAGATACTGCAGCATTCCATAGAAATGAATTAAATGTACATATGTTTATATATAAAATGGTAATAATGGGATTAGCACAAAATATTAAAACAAACTTATTTTTGAATCCTGAGAATTTAGCAGCAGAGTTTGTGTTTGCCAGCCGTGGTATGTCTATTGCCTCATTGGGGAAACGAATACACCCAGCCAAACAGAATATTGTTCTAAATAATTAACAGAATGTCTTTTAACTTACCCAATCTGGATCCTCTTTAAGAAAATACCATCTGCACCCAACAGTCCTCAACCAAAGAGATTAGCAAAAAAACACTTTCAGGTTTGTGTCAATGATGCAAATAAAACAGTAGCTAAAAGGTGCATGAGAGGAAACTGATTTCTCTCTTCCCCACCACCACACCTGTGGGGGAACTTGCTAATTTAGTAAACGTTCTCACTAGTTCCAATTTACATTTAGCATTTTTGCCAAACTTATGCAGACATAACGAGATCCCTTTTTTTGCTAGTTATTTTTTTTAAATAACCAGAGTCTCCTTGGAGCTTGAACTGGCTCCAAGGTGACAAGCTTGGCAAAGGAATGTCAGAATCCAGCCCACTCTCTAGTGTGATCTTGGTATTCCGGTCCCTGAGCCGTGCGGCTCCACAGTATTCCAGGGCACTGCTGATGACAGCACAGCCAGCCTGGCTTATCAGCAGGACCAGTCACTGGGGGCAGGGAGTCATCCCACTCAGCTCCTGTTAACCCTGCAAGCCAAAGCCCTAATGGATAGGGTGGTCCTAGCTGCACAAGCAGGGGAAATCTTGCCAGACAGTGATATCAATGCAAGCTCTGAATTTTTAGCTGGTTAGATTCCAGCAGTACCTCAACGGACACTCTGCGTTCCCCAAGCTTTGGCTGCCAACCTGTGCCTAATAATTTCCAGAATTAGGTAAGCAGGATGTGTCCCTCCAGGGTGAGAGTGTGCATTCCATTCCAACAATTTATCTCTGGGATTTCCATGTGTAGGTGGGATGCATAGAATTCTCAGTTTGGTTTGAATACTTAAGCATGTGTCAGACACCCGGCTGACTTAAAAAAGGTGGCATTTTCCATTATTTTATTTTGTTAAATAAATTGAGTCAAAGATCATTTTGAATTCTTTGAAAACTGAATTTAAACTGAATATCATATTCAGTGAATCATTGAGACATATTAGGGGCAAGTCTTTACAGGTCTTGATAAAAATATGATTATTTTCTATGATGAAATGCACAATCTTAAATTCCATCATTAAAATAACTATCATTGGAAAGTGTTATCAACTTTATTTGGAATGAATGCAGCACAATTTAGCTTCAGACACTGATTAAGCTAGATGGGTCAACTACTGGCTTATTTTGCATTTTTGTTCATGACGAGATAGGAAACTTCAATAGAACCATTGAAATCTACAACACAGCAAGACATTATTCAACCCATCATATTAATGTTTGCTTCTCCAATGGAACTATTTATCCTGATTTCAATTTTCTGCTCTTCCCCCATACACAATATCTTTCCCATATGTGTCCGTATTAAATGCCCCTATTGCAGTCTATTTCACCTCTAGCAAAAAATGTATTCTACACCCTCTAAGAAGGTTTATTTTCTGGATTTTGTTTCTCCCTGCACACTCCTAGTTCCACATTAGTGGAATTTACTGTGGGAGCCTGGTGAGAATTGGGGCAGTGCCTCGTGATGTCCCCCTGACATGAAAAGAGCTATAAAAATGTATTTTTGTTGTTGTTGAGGATGAAGGATAATGTGAGATATGGAGCATCCTGTGCAAGATTATGGACTGTGAAGTTCTGTGTGAGTTTAAGCTTGAGAGGATGGAGCTAGGAAGAGTGGCCATGAAAGCATTGGAGAAATCTAGCTCAAGGTGGCAAAGGCATTGCAGTGTTTTGGTTGTATTGGGGGTTAGAAACTGATGTCAACTGATGATGAAAAAATTCCACCTTGATTAAAAAACAGATATATCACAGGAAAAAAATTGCATTTAGATTTTCAAGATTCTGACAGCCTAAGCACAAAGGGGAACAACATCCAAAGGGCATAGGGGCATTCAAATTCTGAAGCAGGCTTTTAAATACCTTCTTGAGGATAAGGATAATAGTTTGATGATGCTTACCTTGTCTAGACATCCGTAGTTCTCATCATCAGTCCTTTACTTACGAACCACTATGTGTATGTATATATAATATACATACATATTTATACACACATTATACACACACAAGAGAAAAACTTGAAATGTGAGGGGCTGAGGACTTCCGACCTAGTTAAATGTAACCATTATCAGCTTTAATGCAATTGCATTTCCCACAAAATGTAATGACTCAAAATGCACTGAAGTCTTGGACAGTATAAGAAAATTACTTTCTGTCAGCTTTATATTGAGCTGCGATAAGTATTTCTGACAAGTTTATAACTTTGCATTTTAATAACTTTGTATAATTAGCATCTACATAAAAGATAATGAACAGATCTTAACTGCAAGGATTTCAGATGAAAGAACTTGTCCTAGCTGCTCACCATTCAGTTCCTAAATATTTCTGATGGGATTCATACAATGCACGTTGAATGGATTTGCTGAGACGGCAAGTATTTGGAGATTGGTTTGAATATTAATTCTGCAATACAAGCTTCCTCCCAAATGAGTATCACACTGCATTAACTGATCAATGGATTGATTTCTGGTTAATAAATAGAATTTGCAACCTCAGCCAGGCATAAATCAATATGCAATTACTTTTTTTGTGTTAGTGTAATTTGCAATATAAAACATCGCTTACATTTTTTTAAAGGAAACGATACAAATAAAACTCTTGCATTAACCAAGGATTTCATCAATTATTCAAACTTTTAACAATAAATGGAATACTCAGGTCTCCCAAATTGCTGTACTTGCAGATATCATTCACAGGAGAAATTGAAAGTCAGACTTGCGATTACAGTATTTGTTTAAGCAAATCTGTTGGTTAAAGATAACATCTCTATTTATCTAATTATATCCTTTTATTTTATTTATCCTATTATTTATTCTTCAGCTTGGAAGAGGGGTGAACTAATCCTGATAGAAAATTAAGAGAAAAAATGTGAAAATATTACTAATTGTTACTGTAAATTGTATATTAAATATGATTTGTGCACAGCATAGACAAATGGATTGGAACCAAAAAGCTCCACCTCATCCTGTGACTTCACTGCCCTCTCATACCCGCACATTTACTGTAGCTTATCATTGGGTTTGTTGGAAGCACAGTGAGGTGTCTCGATAAGAGATCGAAAAAAAATTACTCATTCTTATACTTCTGCAATTTCAAGTAGCAAAAGCCTTAGTGGCCTGTTCATTCTTGGCACTAAGTCCAGAGAGCTCTATCACCCAGCCATGAAATATAAAATCAATAGAATTACATAGAGTGATATCTGATCCCTATATCAGATTTTATTTTTAATAAAAGCCATTTTGTTGGTAAATATCCGAGTTAATTCCTGCTATCTTCCATTGCAAGTCTCATTCTTTTCATCCTAGATTTATATCCGAGGTTTTGACTATATATTGTAGATTATAAGGAACACGCAATGTAATCATAGAATTTTTCAGGACAGAATGAACCATTCAGCTTGTTGTGGCTCTGGTGGCACTCTGAATGAGCTATCCATTTTGTTCTAAACCTTGTCCTTTACATATATTGTTTAATGTTTCTCTTTGTCAAATACTGTATTTGTCTAAATCCCTTTTAAAAAGCTATTATGAATTGTGACATGGTATAAGCTTACACTGTATCACTGTCCACTATATCAGATGTGTCTGGAGTCACTGACCATCACTACAAATAGGGTCAGAGCTTAAACAGGTCCATCTCACAGCAAAAACTCCTCAATATGTGACAATTATTTTTTCCCCAGTGACCATGAACAACCTCGTGGAAGGAAATTGAAATCTTCAAATACTCAACCCACCAGAAGAGAAGATTTGTCTGGCAGTTCATCCATAGGATCTCGAAAATCGTCCACATCACAAACAATTGAACAAGGAACACAGGACAGCAAGAAAACCAATGTAGCTGAAGAGTCTACATATAGGGTAAGGAGAGAGAAACAAAATTTGTTTTATATTAAATATCAATTCACTAATTGTTGCTCCCTCTTTCTCCCTCTATTTATATCTGTGTGTGTATATATGCATATGGATGTATAATAATGATGAAGAATTGGAGGCACTTGTTTTTAAATGTTCAGAATTGTATTGAAGTTTACTCTCATGAAATATTGAGCCAAATAAAAGAGATCTCTTAAATGTTTGAATAATTAAATAAAAATAGTGGTTGCTGATATTACTGGAGTAGGAATGTTGTTTCCTTGCTCCTAATGCCTCTGTTTACCTAGCAGTGAATAAGAACCCGGTTGTTAGTAGATTGGTGGATCGCATTTCCGGAGGTAATAATCCCTTAAAAATATATATATAATAATAATTTGGTCATTCAATCCATGATTGTTTGAGAGACACTTCTGTGCACAATTGGCTGCCATATTTCGCCTTCAAAATATTCTGTAAAACGCTTTGAGACGTCTCAACGATGGGATAAAGCGCTATATCAAATGATTATATTATTATTTTATATTAAAACATATTTTCTTCATTATTGTTGTTTTACACTTGTTTAACCAACATCAATCTTTCTAATTGCAAATCTGTCAATATAAATACAGTAAGTATATTTGTTTCCAGGCACTTATTCAAGAGTTGGATCTTGAACGAGAGAAGAGATGGAAGGCTGAGCAGGCAGTGAAACCATTAATGGAGCACATAAAATCTTTGCAAAATCAAGTAAATGAGAAACAGGATGTTCGTGACATAGCTGTACACACTACTGACAGGTACTTAAATGGTGTTTAATGTTTCTGTTCGGAAACTTATAAGTACATTGCATCTTAATAACCCCGTTCTGATTACTTCAAGTTAAGTAAAGTCATCATCCGATGTATTATTGATGCAAAGCATTGTTTAATTAGTTGTGGCAGATTTATTTTAGATAAGTAGTGCATTACTAGAATGGTGTTTTTTTAATTCATGTATTCTCTCCCCGGTAGAATATTTGAAGATCTCTCAATTTTATCCACTTCCACTCAATTGCATTAATTTTCTGAATACCATTTCCCTCATCTGCAAATTTCGGAATTGAATTCTCTAAATAATTTGAGCATTTTGAAAAGCAAATTTCCCACAACTAATTTTAATCAATTGGGACATTGATTATTATTTTTTGTTTCTGATTATTAGTCATTTTTTAAAATCTTATTTAGTCTTGACTTCAGTTGCACATTTCTTGTAAGGCATGTTACCAAAGGCCTTAAATATTATCAAAACATCTGAAAGCACTACACAGTTTACTGTAAAGTGTAGTGACTGTGTAGTTATAGTTGAACACGGAAGCCAGTTTGTTCACAGCCAAGTACCACAAACACTATGCAATGAATGACCAATTTCATTTGGTGGATTGTTAATTGGCCTGCTCCATGACTCCGCCCTGCCTGCCCTACCATCAATGATCGAGCCTTCAGCCACTCTGCCCCCATCACCCGGAACTCAGTCCCGGAATACCTTTGCCTAGCCCCCTCCTTGGCCTCCTTCACAGTCCTCTTTGACCATGCCTTTGGTTATCCTCCCACCCACCTGGACCTCCACCCCTCTTGATTCCAACCTGCAGCTCGAGTACATTGGCACCTTGATAGTCCAGTACCTTGGGACTTCCTCCTAATGTGAAAGCCGCAATACAAATGCAATTTGTTCTTTTTGAAACCCAGAGAAACTCACTTCTCTTTCTGAATAGTGCCACAGGATCTTTAACATCAACTTGATTGGGTAGACAAGACCTTGATTTAATATCCCATCCAAAAGATAAACACTTCCGCCAATGCCCACAGTATTGCACTCGAGTGTTAATCTATTAAAATCCATAATATTCACTGCTCATCAATATGTACTGTATTGATGACTAACGCAGTATTAATGGTGTATTTTACAACTGATTAACAGAATGTTCTGTGTTCAATCTGTGTAAAAATTTGTAAAGTGCAGTAACTAGCGATGCCTATTGTTACCATGAAAATGTTAACTAATATTATAGTTAACAATAGAAATAAAGCAATTACGAATTATAGACACATGCGTAATGAGTGTTCAACCTGAATGATGTGCAATGCAAGCTGATACCCATTAAAATAAATTGTAAGAGTGTTGTACAAAGCAATTAGGTGACTGAATTGTGAAGTTTGCCTCACCTGGACTGCCTGACAAGTTATTTTACTCAATATTCTCACTGCCTGCAAATTGTATTATTTTATTGATTCAAAAAGGAAAAATAAATGAGTTCTTACTGATTATTTAGTGTTTTCTGGATCAATCTGATTAATATTTGGAGTTCTTTTTATGTCAAATACAGAACAATATCCAATGATTGTTATAATATTTGTGTAGGTTTCACTGATAAATGATGTATGCCTTGCATCATCACTTTTTAGTTACTGCAATTTAATTCATAAGAGGGCAGCTTTGCTTACAGTATATATACCAGCCTACTATGTAAACAAGCTTTCATTAGCATACAAAACCAACTTGAAAAGATAGTTGGTTCTGCAAAATCTGTAAAGGTCACAGTGCTTTTATGTATTCACATAAATATCTTCTGTATAATTGTAGGCTTTTAAATGGAAATGAGCTGATTTAGAAAGTGGATGAAGGCACTCTAATCACTATGATTTGGAAGAATCTTACGTTTGAGGTCATTGATCTTCGTCAGCCTCTCAAATATAATTTGGGACCAGGCAGAGCTGAAAAACAAGTTATGTGCTAAATACAGTTGTCTGGTAATGTGGTATAATTATAATTGGTTGGTAAACTAAGCAACTACAGTTAGTGTATCTAAGAGCCTTCTCGTAAATAAAAGAAGGCATGAAATGTCAGAGCAACTCAAAATGCTTAATTATAATTTATTACATTATGTCACATTTAATGACTCTTTCGGAGGCAAATGTGCCAGCCAGCTTGCGCACAACAACAACAAAATTACATTTGTATAGTGCCTTTCACATCAGGAGGACGTCCCAAGGCGCTGGACAATCAGTGTTTCGGACCAAAGCTGGGGGTCGGGATCGGGGAGGGTGGAGGGCAGCTAGGGAAGGAGGATGACCGAAGACACTGTCGAAGAGGAGGTAAGGGAGGGGTTGAGGCAGAGGAACTGTGGGATGGAGTGCCAGAGGGTGGAGGCAGAGTGGAGGAAGGCCCACCAGTCAATGGTCGGGCGGGTGAGGCGGGGAACGTGAAGCAGGTCGGAGCCCATTGAGCAGAGGGAGTGGTCATGTTGGTACACAGTGCAAAGTGTAAAACAACCGTGAGGATAATGATTATTTCATCTGGAGGGATATTGGTCAGAAACATGCACCTCTTCGAATGGTGTCATGAGATCATTAATAAGTCTGAAGACAGGTGGACAAAATCTTGGTTTAATATCTCAAGCAAAGACCACATCTCTATCAATGCAACGATCACCCAGTACTGCACTGGAGTGTCAATCTCGAACCTTTCCCAGATGTGTGAATGACCCAATCCAATATCTATTGTGAGACTGAGCCTACAACACAAAGTCCCAGATTTGATCTCTTGTCTGTGCTTGGCTGGGAAAAATTGGCCAAGGTTTTCATTTCTTCCTATGAAATGCCCCCTATTGGAGTGTATGTATGCAGGCATTGGGTGAGGACAGGAAATGGCTGGGGATCAAACACCTACACATGGAAACTTCCCTGAGTGTGCAATGGAATGCATGCACCTTCCCTGGAGGGAATTCACCCTGCTTATCTAATTCTGTAGCGAATTAGCTGCAGGTTGTCAAAAGCCAAAACTTTGGGAACCGCAGAGTGTGCATTTGGTTTTCTCTTGAAATCAAACCAGCTAAAATTGCATAGCTTGCCATTGACGGCACTGTCTGGTAAACTGCTTGTCCAGCTGGGACCACCCTACCCATTAGGGCTTTGGCTTGCAAGGTTATCAGGATCTGAGTGGAAAATCTCCGTGCCCCCATCTGCTCATCTAAGTTGTGCCTACGAGCCTGCTGACTGTTGTCGTCAGCAGTGCCCTGGAGTACTCAGACTAGCCTGGCTTAGGAACCATATTACCAAGTTTGGCACAGAGGGTTGATTTGATTCCAACATCCATTTTCAAACATTTCATCTTGGAGCCAGCTGTAGTATGTGTGTAGGGGAGGGTGGGGGGGAGGAGAAGGGAGAGTGGCATAAAATCAGGTGAATCTTGGAGAAAAATACCAGTGCCCAACTGGTCTGTTTCTGTGCTGTAACATTCTGTATTGCCAATAGTTCAGACGACTTTGTTTTTGTGGTTTCTAGTATTATCTACACCCCTGATTGTATTGCTGCATTGAAATTGTCGCAATTATTCGTCAAGCAATTTCATAACTAATTGGAAATTCAAATGATTTCCCAGAATGTTTCAGGAATTCAAAGTGCAGAAAAAGGCAATTAGTGGAGTCCCATGGGCATCTGTTCTGGTATGTCCATTGTTTATAACTGATGGAGAAGAATAGATTTTATAATATAACAATTTCTGATGCTGTTAAGCTACATAGCCAGGTGATAAATGTGAGAGATATTGACATAATTCAAAAGGATTTGGATCAAAACTCAAAGGGATTTGAAGCAGTTAAACAGATGAGCCAAGAAATGTCAGATGAATTTTAATGTAAATAAACATAAGCAAAGACATATTAAAATAAAATACACAAACAATGTTTATACAGTGAAAAAACATTGCAAAGCAAAGGGAGAAAATAAATAGGATTTGGTTCTAATTGTTCACTATTCATTGAAAGTTTCCACTCAATCTGAGCCTGTTAGCAATAAGATCAATCACATGGAATGCTTTTTCAGGGCATTTGGTTTTGAGCCAAAAAACGTTATTTTAATCTTGCACTGATCATTGTGAAAGCCACATTTGAAATATCATGTGCAATTATTGGGCCTGCCTTCCAAACAGCATTGATGTATTGGAGGCAGCACAGAGAAGAGCAACGACAGTGTTTCCAGGGATTTAGAGCTCTTATGTTTTTTGGATAAAAATAAATTGAAAGGAGGTTTAATTCTGGTCTTTTATTTGCTGGAAGGCAAAGATAATGAATGGGAGCTGTTTAACACAGGCTACACATGCAAACCTACATGACAGAAGTACAATTAACAAGCCTCAGGGTGGCCTGGCGATTAGAGGAATTATTTTCTCACAATAAAATATATATGCATCACTGGTATCCAGCAATGTTTGTTAATGTTGTCATTTTTATCCTTTAAGAAAAAAAGTTTTGGGAACTATCATGTTATCAGCGCCTTGGGGCATCCTCCTGACATGAAAAGTGCTATACAAATGTAATTTTGTTGTTGTTGTTGATTTAAGCACAATTGACAGGTAATCAAATTCTCCTATACTGCAACAACCTTAAAAATATAATTGATGATATCAACTGCCCAGGGTTTAATAGTGGATGATCACATTGATATTCTGTAGTTTTGATTCATCACTTTAGGGAACAGAGGCCAGAGAGAACAAAATATAATAACAAATAATACCAGCATTTGACATACCACCTTATCACGTCGTCAAAACATCTTAAAGTGTCGGTAGGATTTACTGTACAGTGTATTGATTGTATTATTTTGAAGACGAATGTGGTAGCCAATTTGCACACATCAATTTTCCACAAACAGCCATGAAGTGAATGGCCAATATTTGATTTGTTCCTCTACTACACAGGCACTCAACAAAAGTATGGTCAGATCCAAAATAAATGAATGATGTAAATAATAAGGTTTTTACATAGTACAAATACACTTTAAAACCCAGCTAGCCAGACTAATTGGGGGTGGGGGAGATCTAGTCCTGTGAGCTGGAATTTTTGGCTGAGTGTAATTAATCCCTTTAAAAAAATGTGGTCACTCAATCCACAACTGTTTGTGGGACACTGCTGTGCGCAATTGGCCGCCAATATTCGCCCACAAAATATACAGTCAATTCACTTTACTGTATATTCTGTGAAGTGCTGCGAGACACCTCGAAGACTTGATAAGACGCTATATCAAATACAAGGATTATTATTACAAAGCTGATACCAGAATTATAATTGTATGAATCCCACTAGCAAAATACAGAAAATAAGCTGTCTTTTCATGGGATTCAAACAATCTGAGTCAAAGTGGATATCTCTGGCTAATGTGTTCCTGCAGAAATTTTGGGACAGTGGAATTTTTTTGTGATACCAATTCAATTTAATATAGGAAGACCTAATGGAATTCTTTAATAAAGAAACGGAAAGTGCTTCAACCTGACTCGCAGGAACTTTGCTCTGATGTGATCTATTTTCAGAGTGGAGTTCACAAGACTGCGTGACTTGTCTGTGGTTACTACAGTGATCTCCTTCTCAACTCCCTTGCTAAGGAAGAAAGCTGACACAGACACGATGGGCTGAATGGATTTATTCTGTATTGTGGATATCTATGGAAAATATTTTTTCTTGAAGATTTTCTTTGACTTTAACTTGGTGAATGCTTAACCAATGTAGCTCAGTGGTTAGAGCACTCGCTTTGCAAGCGAGAGACCTGAGTTCAATTCCAGGCAGGGCGAAACCTTGGGCAAGTTTCCTTACTCCACACCCCTAATAATAATCCCTCCAAAACCCAAAACAATAATAAATTGGTCATTTTCAATCTACGACTGTTTGTGGGACACTGCTGTGCGCAATTGGCTGCCGCGTTCACCCACAAATATATAGTCAATTCACTTTACACTATATTCTGTGAAGCGCTTTGGGACGTCTAGAAGACGTGAAAAGTGCTATATCAAATGCAAGGATTATTATTATTATCATTATTAACCTTTCAATGTTTTCTGCAGTAGATAGCAACCCATCTTTTCATCTATTTGCTTTGTTGGGTTGATTTTCAATTGCTTTTAAAATCGCAAGCTGCATAAAATGCAGATCAGCTCGATTGCATAGCAGTTTAAATCTTTTGAAATAACAGCGTTGAGTTCTTTATCTACAGAGGGAACAATAAAAAAGGACAGGGAGAAAGTAAGAGTTGAAATTGTAAATCTCAGTCAATCTCATTCTGTCATCTATCAGCTGTCCCTGTTGAGACAAATGTTTGTATGGATGAAAAGTAGCAGGAATGAACCATCTCAATTTGATTTATTGGCAGTATCTTAGTGTTCTGGCAGGAGGCAAACAGTAATTCTCCAATGTTCTCGTTAGTTGCTGCTCCTGTAATTTAGAGGTTTCTTTTAATCCGCTCGGTTTAGTATCCAAACCGCCCTGTCAGTTCATCACATGCTTTTTCATTTTGTATCCCTAATTCCAAACATTAATAATGAGCTTATCTGCCTTTCTTGTTTTCTTTAGTGATACAAACAGCATTGTATTTGGCTCTAAAGAAAGTGCTGTTTGGAGGAGATATAAGCTTATTCTTGCAAGAAGAGGAAATTGTAATTTTCTTTCTCGCTTTTGTTTTTTGATCATTGCAAACTTGGTAATGTACAATTTATCAGCGACCGCTGAGAATTTTATGAATTGTGCTCTGTAGCATAACTTTAATTTCTATTGAGTGGAATATGTTCAGAATATTTTCTTGAAATATTTCAATCTTTTGATATTAAGCCTTTCGTGAATATAGAAGCTGTTTATGCTCCCAATAGCAAGACCAAGTTTTGAGTAAACCAAGAGGCAGATTCCCTCAAATTGTTAATACATTAACCTCTTTACAACGCTTTTTTCTCCCTGTTTATATTGACAACAAAACAACATAGTATACAGATTGTATGACTGCATAAGGAACAGTTCAAATTATTCTTAATAAATGTAATTTATGAAATTCTTCAGTAGCAAAGGACTAAATTATTTTGCAGGTAAGTTGAAAAGAATCGGTTGATCTGTTAATTAAATCTAACAGGTATACATTGCTCTAAAAATATTTTTTTTGCTGTAATTTCACAGAGACCGCAAGTTGAAATATACAGAAAGTTAGAGTGGTTTCTGTGTCCTTGTATTTATTGATAATTAAAGTCAGATGTTTAAAGAACAATTCTGAAATACACAGTATAGTGCACTTTGTTGAAACACAAGTTTGCTTTGTGATTGGTCAGTGGACCCCAACATTTTCTTAGCCAAAAAATCGAATTGTACGTGTTGACTCTATCTTCAACACACATGCTAGTGTATGGGAAGCCAAATGATTAACCTCCAGATCATCAGTTTGCTGCCAATGTCACATCATCGCATGCTGTATTTGGCCAATAGAGCCGGCCATCTTTCTTTGCACACGCGCAGTGAATGTGAAGCCCTGATTGGCGATCATTTCCAATTATAACGCGGGAAGGGATTTTATTGACCTTCTGCATTAAAATGGGGCTCTACTGAATCTTATTTATTTAGTTACAACAGATTGTCAAACATAGTGTGGAGCAATATGCATCTTGCATAGTTTTCGGGAGCAAATGTTTGAGAAGACCCTGGATTTAAAGTTTATTTGATTTATTTGATGATTTTTTTCAGGTTAAAAGATCTACTTTTGAAAGAGAAGGAAGCTAAAAAACAACTAGAGGTCCATGCTGCAGAATTAAGAATAAAAGTTGAAGAACTTACAGAGGAGCTGGCAAATTCCAGAAGCTCTGAGAAAGAACAACGCAAAGTTTTGAAATCACTTGAAGAAACTATTTCAAAGACTGAAGCACGAAGACTGCAGCACAAGACTATGGAGGTAAATCCACTGTGCTGATTGTAGAGATTATTAACACTTATTAAAACAGGCTTGAGTTGGACTCTCCAATTTTGAGTAAATATGAAACAATTAAGTGGTGTAGTGCATTACAAAAGTTAATCCTAAGTGCCATAGTATAAAAACTCCAGGTTATTTATTCATCTGTTCTCTGCCTCCTTCCCTCCACGTTTCCTCGCCTCCTTTCATCAAGGGAAAATGGCACAGAAAGCGAGTTCTGTCTAAAGTGAGTAAAAAGTGTCAAAGTGCTTGAAGCTGTTGCATTATTATTTTTTTCCAGAACAGGGATGGACCTGTCACTGTTTGACTAAATTTAAATTGTGTTAGACTCAATACAAGGCATAAGACTCAGTATTGTACAGTCTAAAACAAAAATTACTAGACCAACTGATAATTTGTTAGTTCTATAAAGTTTCAGTAGGACCCAGAAACAGAGGGAGTGAGAGACAACACAAATCGAATTTAAATATTTATTCTTCCTTTAAATATTTCTCAAGCATGCATGCACATTAAGTATTAACTTCTTTATCAAACTTCATAAATATACAACCTGTCTCATCTCTTCTTGACGTCTTATTGGGTCGGGGTCAGACTCCACCACTATCAAGTGCTCTGGGACGCTACCTGGAGTGAAGGGCGCTATATAAATACAAGTTGTTGTTGTTGAAGGTGAGACTGTGGGCACTCGGCTTGTCCGTGTGGCGCACATTCACCTCTTTCTTGCTTACTTTATACCCTTGTGTACGACCATATTCGACCATACTTGGTGGTACAATTCATTGCCGTATTAGGTAATCATTAATCACATGTGAAAAAGCTGAGTATAAGTATTCTATTCTTATATCACAAATTACTGTTTTTCCACCTGGTATTACTTCAACCATCACATTATTTTGGTTCCTCACTTATCCTCAGACTAACATACATCGTAAGATTTAACAATAGCATTTATGTGTACAGGTTCACAGATCCCTGCTTTACCATCTAAATTTCCCAGCATAAGCATTTTAAAGTTGGTCAGAGTTCACGATAGCTTAATCACCTATCGTGACATAATTTAGTGACTTGTCTGGAATTTTACTACCTTATCTGTGTCTGGTTAGTATAGATATAATTAACCTTTAACATTTTGTAACTTTTGATTACAATTTTATAGCAATACAATCCAGCATAATCATATATTCCTATAATATACTTATAACAGTGCAGAGTTGGAGATGGTAGAATAAGTCATGTTTGGGTAACTGGTAATTACTGGCCAGAGTTTGAAGGGCTTAGGGCTGCCTCATCTGAAATAGCTGGCTTCATACTGCAATATCTTCTGCCAAGTCTTGAACTTGTGAGAGGATAGGGCTCCTGGGATTTAGCTGTTGTGCCACATGAAGTAACGAGTAAAGTCATCACAGCTAACATAGCATTTCTGACTCTTACAACTTACATTTAGATTGTACCTTTCATGTCAGATGATCTCAAAGCACTTTGATAGAGCATTTGATAGAGACACAGAAACAGGCAGTTAATGCAACCATTCTTTCTACAGCCCATAGAAGCCTTTCTATTATAAGCTTCACCAAGCACATTTAGTTTTCTAAGAAAAGGTTCTGCATGTCATCTCCCCATCTCCCAAAGGTATGCTGAATAAAGCTTCTGAATATCTATCTAACCTTACATCCTATATTATTCATTCTTGAATCCTTGGCTTGATATTTCCGTATAACTAATACCTCAGGAACCATCACATTCACAGAACCATAGGAGCCCTATAGCTCAGTGGTAGAGCACTCACCTTGCAATCGAGATACCTGGGTTTGATTCCCAGCAGGGCAAAACCTTGCGCAAGTTTCTTTATTCCACACGCCTGATAATAATCCCTCAAGGGGAAAAAATAATAAAATTGCTCACTTCAATCCACGACTGTTTGTGGGACACTGCTGTGCGCAATTGGCTGCCATGTTTCGCCCACAAATATACAGTCAATTCACTTTACAGTACATTCTGTGAAGCGCTTTGAGACGTCCAGAACTCTTGAAAAGCACTATATCAAATGCAAGGATTCTTCTTATTATTCCATAAATTAAAAGGTCATTTAAAGCCTCAGTCTAGTTTTTAACCAAATATTTATCTAATTTTTTTTAAGTGTTGATCCACCCAGCACGAACTGATATTTGCTGAGAACCAATTTCACATGTCCACTAGTGATAAATTAATGAAAATAACTGCTGGACAAGACAGCATTTATTTCTGCCACTGGCTTCATTAATATTATTACACCATGTATATCTGGCCAAGAGAATTGGGTTCTGTTGTCCTCTGAATTTATTCTAAAATTAACTGTAGTAAAATGGTGCTCTAATTAAAATCCTGGCTGGCTTTGAGAAGACTACGGCACTGGTGATAGCTACAGATTACAGACCTCTCTGAAGTGCACATAGAACTTCTCAAGCCTGAAATTGAGCTTTTTAATTAATATCTTATTAACTTTCTCCCATTTCAAATTCTATTATTTTCATCAACTATTCATTCCTTTGATTTCCAAAATTCCAAATGTTTTAAGTGAAAAGCATTGACTTCCAAGCAGCTATAATATAGAGATAGGTCATATGTCGTACTTTTTAAAAAATATATATCCATTGCATTCCATTTAATCCTTTTAGGATTACAGCCAAAATTATTTCTGCAGCCAAAATTAATATAAAGTTATTGAAATTATTTTTTGAGAATCCTATGAATAAATAAACTGTAAGTTTGTATTCACTTATTTGTTCATACGCCATATATTAGTGAAATGACTGTCAGTTAAATTTGAGAACTCATTGCATACGGTATGTCTGATAATCATGTCTTCACACCATATTAGGCTTTGTTCTGCAGTTATGCTTCAGTCTTTTTTCTTCTATTGTCAACACATGTTTTCCAGCGCCTTGGGACGTCCTCCTGACGTGAAAGGCGCTATACAAATGTAATTTTGTTGTTGTTGTTATTGTTATTGGAGCTCAGAAGAGGTTCTTCCACTGAATGTTTCATTCATTCCCTGTAAGCTTTTGTAGTGTTATCAACACATTGTTACCAGCTCAATACATTGAGTCTTATTTGCATAATTCACAAACGGGATGTGATGCGTGAAATGCAACACCTAGTTGTGAATATCAAAAGCCTTTGCTGTACAGACCTTCTTTAAATGTGCTCAAATGTATGTATGTCCGTGATAAAAGAGCTCCATCTCAATATTCTGTAACGGTCAAAAGCCTCCATAAAGAATACAGCTTCACACAGAAACAACAACAACTTGGATTTATATAGCGCCTTCCACGCCGGACGGCGTCTCGGAGCGCTTTACAGTAACGGATCCCGGGACCGAGCCAGGGGGAGGGGGAGGAAGGTGACCAAAGGTGCGGTCAAAATGAAAGGTCTTCAGCAGAGACCTGAAAATGGGAAGAGAGGGGGCGAGACGAAGGGAGTGAGGAAGGGAGTTCCAGAGCCTCGGGGCATAGTGGCTGAAGGCACGGCCGCCGAGGGTGGAGCGGAGGACTCGGGGGACGAGGAGGAGGCCAGACCCGGAGAAACGAAGGCAACTGTACTGGTTTGAGGAGAGAGGAGGTCAGAGAGGTAGGGGGGTGCAGAGGAGTGCAGGGACTTGAATACAAGGGTGAGGATCTTGAAATCGATCCTCTCTGGGATAGGCAGCCAGTGCAGTCTGGCAAGGACTGGGGTGATCGGGGAGTTTCATGCGGGTGAGAATGCCAGCGGCAGAGTTTTGAATGATTTGGATCTAATGGATGGTAGTGGATGGGAGGCCGGCGAGGAGGGTGTTGGAGTAGTCCTGCCGAGAGGTGACAAAGGCATGGACCAGGGTTTCAGCAGCTTTTGGGGAGAGATATTGGCAGAGACGGGCAATGCGTCGGAGGTGGTAGAAAGCGGTGCTGGTGAGGGACCGGATGTGGGGGAGGAAGGATAATTGGGGGTCGAACCTGACGCCTAGGTTGCGTACAGGTTCGGAGAGTTTTAGGGGGAGGTCGGGCAGGTGGAGGAGGTGAGAGCCGTGAGATTTTAGACGTTGACAAGAGCCAAAGAGTATGGCTTCCATCTTGTCAACGTTCAGCTGAAGGAAGTTTGCGCTCATCCAGCCCCTGAGATCTGACAGGCAGGCTGACAGAACATCAGGGGACTGGGGGTCGCAAAGAGAGATGGAAAAATAGAGTTTGGTGTAATCTGCATACATGTGGAAATGTACCCCATGTCTACGGATGACATCCCCAAGAGAGAGCATGTAGATCAGAAAGAGGAGGGGGCAAGGATGGATCCTTGGGGTACCCCGCAGGTGACCGGGTGAGAGCGGGAGGAGAAGCCGTTTGTGCAGATGTACTGCTGGCAGTTGTGAGGTAGGACTCCTTACTCTGGAATTGTTTACCACAGTATTGTTACCTTCAATTCTGTCTTTGGTGTGCAGGAAGTGCAGTCTCCTTGGAGCTGAGCTAGCTCCAAGGCAGTGCGCCTGGCAATGGAAAATTGAATCAAGTTGATTTTCTATGGCGAACTTGATAGTCCAATTCCTGAGCCAGACAAGGTTCTCAGTTCTCCAAAGCACTGTTTATTGCAGACCAGCCAGCCAGGTTCGTTGGCAGGAAGGGAAGACAAGTCACTGGGGGGAAGCGATTCTTCCCCCTCAGCTCCTGTTAACCCTGTAAGCTAAAGGGTAGGGAGATCCAAGCTGGATAAGCAATGGTTATCTTGTCAGACAGTGCTTTCAATGACAAGCTATGCAGTTTTAACTGGTTAAACTTAAACAGTATGCCGATGCATACTCTCAAGGCTTGTATCTTGCCAGTCTGCACCTAATACTTTCCAAAATTACTTGGAGAGCCAGGCTGACACTTAGGCGTGCTTTAGACCAAGTGCTAAATTTCTGCAGAAATGGACAAATCTTTATAAATATTGTGTAGTAAGACTTAAGAAATTCAGTGCAGACTTAGGAAATTCAATACAGTATTAGGCCAGAATTTTAGCAATGCATGATAAGCTTACATTTTCTTCTTTTTTCCCATTGACACATTATTCATCCAATATTTATCATTGTATTGGCTTAACTTACCTTCTGAGTAGATTTGCTGAATCCCCTGAATTTTATTTGAAAAACTAAATTAACAGCAAAGTAGCAAAACATGCAAGTTCCTTAATCAAAACATCCAATCCTGGTGGAGTTAGGCATAATGACCCTTTTGTATACAAATACTAAATAATTGCGTTGAAGTACCATGGTTTGTAATGATGCATATAGCTCCCTTGCTGCTAGAGAAGCAATGAAAAACATAATGGGCCACTTTTATATGGCTCCTTTCAATGGTATATTTTCAGTAAGTGATCACTTTTTCCCCCTGCAAAGAAATTGCTCTATAAACTTTGCTGTAGATTTAATAATGCCAATTGGGAGAGTGAGTTAAGTGTTTCTCTGGGGAAAATGCTATTTAAATATTTTTTCTGCATGTTTTTCTAAGTGATGCTTTTTCATGTAGATTTACTTAGATTGCTAAAAAAAAATTGTGGGGGGTCAATATCTCAGAAATTTAATTATTTGCAACATCAAAGATTATTTTTTCCCCAGGAAACAAATTTGCATTGTGATTTTGGGAATGCGCTCAAATGCTTAGATGAGTGCTTTTCACAATCTGCAACAAAATTCTTTGAGTACAGCAATTTTAACTACAAGTTCAGAAATCTCAAACCATTACAATATTTTAGTTTATTCCACGAATACTATAAATTGTTTTCAGACAAAATACTTGGAGTATTTCATTGTTAAAAGATTTTAAAAGTTTGGATGAATTTCAGTTCATTTGGTCCCATCCTTCCAGAATACCCTGTCTTCAGTGCTGTCTCCCACCAGTCCTCCCCACAATGTGTCAGCCTGGCTCAGATGGTAGGACTCTCCCCTCTCAGAAGGTTGTGTGTTTCAAGCCCCTCATTGGGACTTTGAACTCACATAGTCTAGGCAGACACTCCAGTCGAATGTTGGCTGTGAGGCGGTTGCATTGTCAGAGGTTAGAGGTGATAATGACACATTATCAGGCGGATATTAAAGATCCCATGGCACTAATCAAAAAGAGAAGACAGTTTCTCCCGGTGTCCTAGCAAATAGTTCCCCAAATAAAATTGTTCATTCGTTCCATGGTTTGTAAGAGATTGTTGTTTGCAAATAGGCTGCCGTTTTCATCAACAAAATACGCAGTCATTACACTTCATAGTTTATCCTGTGAAGCATTTTGAAATGTCCCCCAGGTATGAAACGTGCTAAACAACAACAGTGACGAATTGCATTTATACAATAACAGCAAAATGACATTTGTATAGTGCCTTTCACGTCGGGAGGACTCCCAAGGCACTGGACAATCAGTGCTTCGGTCCCAAGCTGGGGGTCGGCATTGGGGAGGGTGGAGGGCAGGAGGAGAAGCAGGGTGATCGAAAACACGGTCAAAGAGGAGAAGGGTCTTGAGATTGGTCTTGAAGGAGGCAAGGCAGAGGAACTGCAGGATGGAGTTCCAGAGAATGGGGGCAGGGTGGCAGAAGGCCCACCCACCAATGGTGAGGCGGGGACGTGAAGCAGGCCGGAGCCCACTGAGTGGAGGGAGCAGGCAGGAAGGTAGGGGGTTTGGAGGTCATAGAGATAAATGGGAGCAAGCCCTTGGAGGGCTTTGAAGGTGAGGACCAGGAACTTGAACTGTATTCTCTGCGTGATGGGAAGCCAGTGTAGTCGGGCAAGGATGGGTGTGAAAGGACCATGGAGTCTGGTGTGGGAGAGGATATGGGCTGCAGAGTTCTGGATGATCTGCAGCCTATGGAGAGAGGAGTTGGGGAGGCTGACAAGCAAGGAGTTTGCATAGTCAATCCTCGATGTAATGAATGCGTGTATGAGAGTTTCGGCGACCTGCGGTGTGAGACAGTGGCGGAGCCGGGCGATGTTGTGGAGCTGGGGGAAGGCAGAGCAGATCATGGCATGGACATGGGGTAGAAAGGATAGTTAAGGGTCAAACAAGACTCCAAGGCTCCGAACTTTCTCAGTGAGGTGGAGTGTGCAACCATGGATGGTGATGCTGTCAGTGCCTGAGGTGAGGAGATGCTGACGGGAGCCAATCAGGAGGGCCTCGGTCTTGTTGACGTTCAACTGAAGAAAGTTAGCTCTCATCCAGGACTTGATGTCTGACAGATATTCTGTCAGGACAGCAGTGGTCCTGGAGTCAAGGGTGGAGGCAGAGAGGTAGAGTTGGGTGTCATCCGCATACATGTGGAAGTTGACCCCATGTCTCCAGATGATGTCACCAAGAGGGAACATATAGATATTGAAAAGGAGAGAACCAAGGACAGAGCCCTGAGGAATGCCGTACGAGGCGGTGCGGGGGCTGGAGGAGAAACCGTTTGTGGAGATGAAGTAAGAGGTACGATCTGAACCAGTGAAGGACAGAGCCGTGAAGGTTGAGGTGAGAGGAGAGGTGGTAGAGGAGGATAGAGTGGTTGATGCTATCGAAAGCAGCAGAGAGGTCAAGGAGGACGAGGAGGCAGAGGGAGCCCTGGTCGCAGATGGACAGAATGTCATTTGTCACTTTGCCCAGGGCTGTTTCTGTGCTGTGGGCGGCACGGAAACCCAATTGGAGGGGTTTGTGAAGGGAGTGGCGGGAGAGGAAGGAGCGAAGCTGGGAAGCAACAACTTGTTCCAGGACCTTGGAGAGGAAGGGGAGGTTGGAGACGGGCGGTAGTTATATAGCGCCTTTCACATCTTCAGGACATCCCAAGCTGCTGGACAGTTGAGGGATTGCACCCGAACTGGGGGTTGTATTCGGGAGGGTTGGGGGCCAAGAGGGGGTGGAAGAAAGATAATCACTGAAGCTGCAGTGAAAAAGGCATTGGGGCAGAAAGGCTGAAGGCCTGACCACTGAGGGCTGGGAATGTGAAGCAGGCCAGTGCCTGCAGAGCGGACGGAGCGGGCGGCTTTATAGGGTTTTAGAAGGTCACAGAGGCAGAGATGGCAAGAACGTGAAGGGATTGATAAGTGAGGATGAGGATCTTGAACTTGACCAAATGCAAGGATTATTATTATCCTTCCAGAATACCCTCCCTGCAGTTCATCCATTGCAGCATCACGGTTTCTTAACTAAGCCTTCTTATATCTGGCAACAAGATTCAGTTGACTACCGTAAGTCCTAAAATTGCCCTCCAGAGACCTGTGTCCTGCTACCTTGGGGGAATCAAAGTATTCTTCTCAGCAATCCTCTCTCCAGAAAACACTTCAGCAATTGTTCAAAGAGTGAAAAATAAGAGTAACATAGCCTATGGTCACCTTCCTCCCCCTTCTCCTGGCTCGGTCCTGGGATCCGTTACGAAGAAGCACTCTGAGACGCCGTTCGGCCTGGAGGGCACTATATAAATCCAAGTTGTTGTTGTTGTTGAACAGTAAAGTTTTAATATGAAAGAATTAACATTGCTAGAAGATACTGTTTATGATTCAGAAATAAAAAATACTTCTGTCTCTATGTAGTTCTTCCATCTTTTGCAGGAATATTATTAATAGTAGGATTTGCAAGACAAAGTAGGTACATTTTTTCCTTTTCAAACCTTTTCTCGTTAACACTAAAAGCCTTTCCTTCAAACTGACGTGTTCTGTTTACAAATGTATTTGACAAAACAAAAGCACGAATAATGTCAACAGTACATGTTTTAATGCAGTTAATGATGCTGGCCTAGAGATATTTTGTTCAAACCTAGATTTTATGCCTGTGGTAAAAGGTTAGTGAGAATAAGGTGGTAATGTTGCAAAAAAATGGCATTCGCAATTTTAAATAGTTTTAAATCACTTTAATGAGTATAGTATTTCTTACATCCACAGATGAAACGAATTCAAGAAGCAGAGTTGAAGGCTTCAGTAGCCCATAGGGAAGTGGAGCTACTGCAAATCGCTCTCCGTCAAGAGAAGGAAAAAGTGCATCAGCTGCAGGAGCTTCTAACATCCAGAGAGCAGGAACACAGGTAGGTACTTCTAATGAATGATGTGCAGATTCGATTATTGTAATTAAAAAACTGTTAGTTCTTTCCTGTAATTTTAACAGATTAATATGTGAAAGCTGAAAATTCAATAAAGCATCTTTGATATTAAATTATTTTATTTTAGAAATTACCTATCACTAAACAGATTAAATGTTTGGCTTGAAATTCAATTAAATTGCTGTAAAACTGAGCCAATAAGATCTCCAATATGTTGAGATAGCCGATCTCAATTGCAAAAACTATGCGTATGCTTCACGTGGCCCCAGCACTCCTAGGGCAAAAGAGCAAAAACGTCATCTCAAGTTTCCACTCTGGATTTCTGTACAATCACCTTGACAAGTGTGAAAGTCAGGCACAGGCAGGGTCATGCTTGTCTATGGTCCAATTATCTGCAAACATTTACTTGTGTAGCAAATGCAGAATGGCTTCTTGGCTAGGTTACACTTGTACTACCATGTGTCCCTGCCTTGAGGAGAGATGAAGAAGAAATTGGATGGTGGGTGGGAAGAGTTCAATGGCATCATTTGTAACATTTTGCATTACTTATGTTCGAGAAAGGATTTTGGTTGATAAAAGCTCACTCTTAGTCTGATTAAATTTTGAATCTTGTTTCTATTGTTCACTTTACACTTTAGAATTCCTTAAATACAGTCTGAGCTTCTTGATTTATGTTATTGCGTGAATTTTGTTTTTGGACCTATCAAGGTGCAAGTTTCAAGCACTCCCTAGTTAGCTACACGCTGTTATCTGCCCTTAATAGTGTATGGGCACACCTATGGATATCCTGCGAAGTGGAATGACTGTGTTTTGTGGGCGAACCCGGCAGCCAATTTGTGCACAGCATTGTCCCAGAACACCCATGGTGTGAGTGACCAATGTTATTTTGGGAGTTGTTGGCCAGGACACCAGGAGAAACTCCTTTCCCTTTTTGGATAGTGCCATGGGATCTTTAATCATATAATCATAGAATGTTACGGCACAGAAGGAGGCCATTCGGCCCATCGAGTCTGTGCCGACTCTTTGACAGAGCAACTGACTTTTATTAACCCCACTCACCAGCTTTCTCCCCATAACCCTGCAAACCTGTCTTCCCCAGATACCTATCCAGTTCTCTCTTAAAAGCTGTTATCGAATCGGACTTCACTGCCCTTTCGGGGCAGTGAAGTCCGATTCGAAGTTGATTTAATGTCAACTTGAACAGGTAAGCGGGACCTCAGTTTAACATCTTATCCAAAGGATGGCACCACAACCTTCTGACTCAGAAGTGAAAATGCTGCCAACTGAACTAGGCTGATGTACAACTTGTTGCATGTTCTTGTTGCTGAACTACTGCATCAATCCATCATTTTTGAGCCTTTTTTTACATTTTGTTTGAGAATCCACAACTGTTGACGTGTTTCTTGTCAAAATGTTTGTCACCACGAAGCTTCCATTAGTCATCCTATTTCTGAAGCTAAGATTTGGTTCACTCTGTTGTCGAATATTTCCAGCAGCGCAGTCACCAGGAGCGTGTAACTATTGAAGGATTCACAAGCCTGCTTACATCCTCTTGACATGAAAGGCACTTTATAAATACAATTTGTTGTTTTTATAGGTGATGAGAACAACTCTTTGTGAGATTTGTGTAGTGAAGCTTGTAGAATCATGAAAGCACAAGCATTTGAGATGCAGGAAAATACCACAGCTCGTTTTCAGACTGGATTATCGCTATACCACCTCACATGACTAGAGAATAAGCAGGATCCATTGAAATCTATTTGTCTGCAGTTACCATACAGATATCTGTATCCTTGACACAATTTAAGAGTATCAATTGCTTTTGGTGGAATCAGTTCTCCTAGGTTATGTCAGGAATTCAAGTCTTTGTAGACATAGGCCACAAAGGAAGTTTTGAATGACATGATAATGAAAGAGTTTCTGATTTATTGTCTTCTAATCCTGGGGTGTGTAGCATTAGATTTCCGCCTGACCAAGAACTTCAGCATCTACCACTCCAACTCAGGCAGGACTAGAAGCTTAAGGGGTTTTCTGTGTTGTGTGCTATACCTGTATGCCAGTCAAAATCAGTTAGCTAGCTTGGCTGATGTCTGAATCTTTCTTTAAGAAGAGTTTCACTTTGGCAGTTATACAGGAATTAACAGAGCACACTGAAGATCTGTGTTTGTTGAGTTACTATGGCTGTGGTGATTGCTGAGTCTAGCAATGGCTGTAGCTCATAAACTCAATCAATTTTAGACCTGCAGTTATTTTGAGATTTCTAGCATTAGTCATTCCACACAAAAATAGCAAAAGATAGCATTGTGCAGAATGTCAGACTTCAACAATTTCCTGCTTCATCTACTAAATTCATGAGCCAGCATTAAAACTCTTTCTCAAGACTGAATGGGAGCTACCTGGAGTCAGTTTCTTTTTTTCAAGTATTATATTTGGATCCGTCTGCCACAAAGGATATTAATTTTGACGCATCAGTGCTCTAAGATGGTCTTAAAATATAATTAGGGAGCTATCCATTTGTATTTTTATACTGCTTTGGTGTAATTCATTTATAAGTAGAAGATAAACCATTAAAAGAGCAAGATTATCAATCTTCGGTATAATGGGCTTCATCCCTTGAATGCAGTTTATATCAAGCTCACACTATCCTTCTCTATCTATCTCCGATTTAGAGTGCTGTGGAGTTTGGTTGTTAATTGTGTTTAAGGTGTCCATTGCTTATTCTCAGCCTATTGTCTCTGTCAGCAAGAACTGAAATTAAAATCTAGAAAGAGGCTTCATACACTGAGAATAGAGAGGATCATGTGGTTCACACAAGACCACTGAGAAAAAAAACTTTTCAAAGAATATCAAACTATATTTCCTAACCTTTGGATGATTAACGTCATTCTTTACACTGTACTTATTCCACCTTATGCCACACAAATAAAGAAGGCCGCCCAGTTGTATGTAATATGCTGTCCTTGATTGGTTCAACAACAACAACAACATTACATTTGTATAGCCTTTCATGTCACTTCATCTCCTCAAACGGCTTCTCCTCTAGCCCCCGGACTGTCTCGTGCGGCGTTCATCAGGCTTCTGTCCTTGGTCCCATCCTCTTCAATATCTATATGCTCCCTCTTGGTGACATCATCCGCAGACATGGGGTCAACTTCCACATGTATGCGGATGACACCAAACTCTACCTCTCTGCCTCCATCCTTGACTCCAGGAAAATAGCAGTCCTGACATAATGTCTGTCAGACATCAAGTCCTGGATGAGAGCTAACTTTCTACACTTGAACATCAACAAGACCGAGGCTTTCCTAATTGGCTCCCGTCAGCTCCTCCTCACCTCAGGCGCTGACAGCATCACCATCCATGGCTGCACACTCCACCTTGCTGAGCCAGTCCGGAACCTTGGAGTCTTGTTTGACCCTCAACCATCCTTTCTACCCCACATCTGCGCCATGACCCGCTCTACCTTCCCCCACCTCCGCAACGTCGCCCAACTCCGCCATGTCTCACACCGCAGGCCGCTAAAACCCTAATATACGCATTCATTCCATCAAGGCTCGACTATGCAAACTCACTGCTTGTCGGCCTCTACAACTCCTCCCTCCACAGGCTGCAGATCATCCAGAACTCTGCAGCCGTGTCCTGTCCTGCACCAGGCTCCGTGACCCTGTCACCCCCATCGTCACTCGACTCCACTGGCTTCCCATCACACAGAGGATACAGTTCAAGATCCTGGTCCTCACCTTCAAAGCCCTCCATGGTCTTGCTCACCCCTACCTCTCCGACTTTCTAAACCCCTACCACCCTGTTCGCTCTCTCCGCTCAGCCGGCTCCAGCCTGCTTCACGTCCCCCGTCTTGCTCGCCCCACTATCAGCAGGCGGGCCTTGCACCACTCTACACCGACCCTCTGGAACTCCATCCCACAGTCCTAGTTCGACCCTGATAATTAGAGAACAAAGGATCTGGATCCAACTTTGCTTGGTCCTATTCCCATTCTGTCTTGCCCCATACTTTCATTATGATATTCTTCCTGTCATGTTAATATTATTAATAATGATATTAGTCCTTGTATTTGATATAGCGCCTTATCACTGTCGAGAATTCTCAAAGCGCTTCACAGAATATACTGTAAAAAGGAATTGACTGTATACAGTATTTTGAGGGCGAAATGTCTCTGAATTTCTAATTTCTGTATTTCTCCCATTCATTGTTCTCCAGTCTTGTCTGTACATCTGGCATCATATCTTCCTTCTTCGCGTTGAAAACCAAAGGAAAACACTACTGCTAGATTTGTTAATTGTACATCTTGAACTGACCAAGACAGTCCCACTCTTTGCCATGTTTTCAAAGCAAGCCCACTCAGTATCGATAATCACAACTCAGAGCATTGTGATTATTTCTTATTATCCCCATTTCTTGCAAATAACTTTTTCCTCATTTTGTTTTCCTGGCTAGTACACACTCGTCACCTCTATGTTGTGCTGGGGTAGTGATTTTCACGGTATAATGTTTAATCCCTTGCCTTTATTCGAACTGTATTCCCTTGCCAGTCCGGGTTGCAGATGCTATGATGTGGCAATATGTATTACATGTGGCTGCATTTTCTGTTGTTTTGTGGCAGACACTGTTTACATAGTTTTGATAGAGTTCGTGCTATATTTACTTTATTTGCATATTTTGCAAAATGATTAAAACCAAGCAAAAATATTTTCTCATGCAGGAAGGAGGTAGACTCGAGAGTTACGCTGAGTGGACCGGAGTTTCGAGATGCTTTATCCAGAGAGCTAGCAAAAGAAGAAGAAAGACACTCTCAACAATTAAAAGAATATCAAGAAAAAATCAATGTATTAAACCAACAGTACGTTAATCTGGAGGATGAGTTCCGCGTGGCTCTCACCATTGAAGCAAATCGATTTAAAGAGGTAATATAAAGGATAAAATTATATTTTGAGGCAAAGGATGCTTTTCAATCTGGATTTTATGAGACAGATTAATTAATGTTAAATGTTTTCATTGATTGTGCTGAAATGTTGAAATCTGAGATGGTTTAAATCTTAAAAGAAAGATTTTTAACTGCAATCTTGCAGATCAGTAAAGATGGCTGCCAGTATAAAGGTTTGCTAACTCTGGATAAAGCATCTTGAAACTGCGTAACCCTCGAGTTTACCTCCTCCCTGCTAATATAACCACCACACATTTGCACAGGGCACAGTATTCCATCTGGAGTAATAGGGAAAAGAACAACAAACAAATTACATTGGTATAGCGTCTTTCAAGACGGGAAGATGTCTCAAAGCGCTGATAAAGTATTTAAGAAAAATATAAATAGTTGACATTGTTTTAGGACGTAGGCTTCAATTGCCAAAAACTATAAAATCAATTTTACTGAATCATTCTAGCACACGGTCTGAGAAATATTTGGAATAAAATATTCTTTATGTAGTTTTGTCCCAACTAAGTTGGACTCTGAGGAGTCAACTGCAGAATAACTGGCGTATTGCGTGCCTGAGAATGACCTAGTAATTCTCAATGGAACAAATTATTTTTAATCAAGGACTAACTGTAAGGTTTGACCTGGGCAACAGACTGTCTTGTACGTGGAATAACTTCCTTATTCCAAGTGTGTGTACTCCTCGGTGGAGCTGGTATGGATGAGTTACAAAGCTGGTGTGTGCAGGGAGGTGAATTGAAAAGAATAGCTGAAATGACATGCTTGTTAGTGCATTCTAGGCTAATAACTGTGTCCAGTGCTCTACTTGGGGCTGGAAGGGGTGGGATGAATTAAACAATACCTACTCATGGTGGCTGGATTCCAGTACCCAGTCAGTCAGTTTGATTCCTGTAACATAATGCCACTGTTTGAGTGGATAAATAGTGAGCAGCTGGTCGTGATTTGAGACTGGTCGTGATTTGTGATTTGCTTATCTAATTCCCTATTAAGTGTCCCCAACAGACTGTAACAACAGCCACCTCTGGCAAACCATTCCAGATTCTGATAACCCTTAGGGAGAAAAACTTCCCTTTCACCGTCCTAGTTACAATGTTAAATTCAAGGAAAGCTGTTGCAGTCTGTTGAGGGCACTTAATAGGGAATTAGATGAGCAAATGCAGAAAAAAATAGTATTAGGTTTAGAAGGAAAAAAAGCAAGTAATCAGGATTTGAGGAATTAGGATTGGAGGAGCAATGTAATAAAACAACAACCACCACAACAAAATTACATTTGTAAAGTGCCTTTCACATTGGAAGGACATTTCAAGGTGCTGGACAGTCAGTGTTTCGGACCCGAGCAGGGGGTCAGGATCAGGGATGGCGGAGAACAGGGTGGAAGTAGGGTGATCAAAAGCACGGTCGAAGAGGAGGGTCTTGAGATAGGTCTTGAAGGAGGCAAGGGAGGGCGTGAGGTCGAGGGTCTGCAGAATGGAGTTTCAGAGGGTGGGGGCAGAGTGGGCAAAAGGTCCGCCCGACAATGGTGGGGTGGGCGAGGCGGGGGACGTGAAGCAGGCCAGAGCCTGCTGAGTGGAGGGAGCAGGCAGGAAGGTAGGTGTTTAGGAGGTCGCAGCGTTAGGGCTTTGAAGATGAGGACTAGGATCTTGAACTGTATCCTCGCTGTGTGATGGGAAGCCAGTGGAGTCAGGCGAGGATGAGGGTGATAGGGTCACGGAGCCTGGTGCAGGAGAGGACACTGGCTGCAGAGTTCTGGATGATCTGCAGCTTATGGAGGTGGGAGTTGTTGAGACCGACAAGCAAGGAGTTTGCATAGTCAAGCCTTGATGTAATGAAAGTGTGTTTTTGGGGGCCTGTAGGTGAGACAGTGGCAGAGCCGGGCGATGTTGTGGAGGTGGGGGAAGGCAGAGCGGGTCATGGCACAGGTGTGGGGTAGAAACGATAGTTGAGGAGAAACTAGTCAAATAATGTGAGTTGAATACTGTGGGTTGATTTCTATGGTCACGGTCAAAACCAGTCACCTTGCATAAGCACACATACACACTATGTGATGTAGGACATTCATATGTATGCACGGATGATAGGCATTTCTATGCATACATAATAAACAGTCAAAACCTTGTTGGATTGCTAAAAAATATTTTATGAATCTAAAATCTTGGTCCAGTGAAGTTTATCGTTCATTTTTCTAGCTTGCCGCCAGGGTCTTGTCAAAACAACTGAATGCTGTTTAGCAGGGTAGAGTTAAATATCTATTCTACTGTATAATAATTCCTTCAAAAATAATAATAATAATGTGGTCATGCAATCCACGACTGTTTGTGGGGCATCATTGCACGCAATTGGCTGCCGCGTTTCGCCGACAAAATATATAGTCACTATATTTTACAGTATATTCTATGAAGCACTTTGAGACATCTCAAAGACTATATCAAATGCAAGGATTATTATTATTATATTATTATAATGGAGCTTTATTGCTGTGTTGAGATTAATCAAAGAGCAATGGTTCAAGGTAAAGTTTTTTTTAATGTGGACAGTTGATTAAAAGGTACAGTTTATGACAATTGGCTCAATCTTACACACATTATTTTCACACCTTTATTCAGGTTATTCAACAACAACAACAAAATTACATTTATAGAGCGCCTTTCATTTCGGGAGGACGTCCCAAGGCGCTGGACAGTCAGGGGTCAGGACCCAAGCCTGGGGAAGGGGAGGGGGGAGGGAAGGCAGAGAGGTGGGAGGATGACGGAAGGCACAATCGAAGAGTAGGATCTTGAGACCGGCCTTGAAGGAAGCAAGGAAGGAAGCGAGGCGAAGGGACTGGGGGATGGAGTTCGAGAGTGTGAGGGCAGAGAGGCTGAAAGCCCGGGCGCCTCTGGTAGGGCGGGAGACATGGAGCAGGCCGGAGCCCGCTGAACGGAAGGAGCGGGCAGGTTGGTAGGGAGTTAGCAGGTCGGAGACGTAGGACGGGGCAAGGCCATGGATGGCCTTGAAAGTGAGGATGAGGAACTTGAATTTGATCTTCTGAAGGATGGGGAACTAGTGGTCGAACGAGGGTGTGAGTGATGGGGTCACGGAGCCTGTTTCGGCAGCCTGAGGGGTGAAGCAGTGGCGGAGTCTGGCAATGTTGTGGAGGTGGTGGTAGGCAATTCCGGTCATGGCACGGATGTGGGGAAGAAAGGACAGTTCAGGGTCAAACAAGACACCCAGGTTCCTGACTGGCTTAGTGAGGTTGAGTGTGCAGTCGTGGAGGCTAATGCTGCCAGCGCCGAGGTGCGGAGGCACTGGTGTGAGCCAATCAGCAGGGCCTCGGTCTTGCTGACGTTCAGTTGGAGAAAGTTGTCCCTCATCCAGGACTTGATGTCAGACAGGCAATCGGTCAGGACGCCAGTAATCCTGGAGTTGAGGGTGGAGACAGAGATAGAGTTGGGTGTCATCCGCATACATGTGGAAATTTACTCAATGTCTGCGGATGATGTCACCAAGGGGGAGCATTTAGAGGGTGAAGAGGAGGGGACCGAGAACAGAGGCCTGAGGAATGCCACACAAGACGGTGCGGGGGCTGGAGGAAAAGTTGTTTGTAGAGACGAAGTGGTGGCGGTGTGAAAGGTAGAGCCTGAACCAGTCAAGAACAGTACCTTGAAGGTTGAGGTGGTAGGAGAAGCAGTGGAAGGGATTGAGGATTGATTCAATACTGTGTGAGGATATTCGCTGCAGATTATAACTAATCTTGAGTATTCAAAGCACTTAAATTAGTTGCACATTATCTATAATGGTTCCCAGCAAACTGACAATTAATTCTAAACTATAATTAGTTTGCAAGGAGAGAAAATTATTAACTTGAAAAGCCTTTAATGGTGACCTTCATGATATCTATTCTAACTTGTGCTATAAGGTGGAGAGATAATGTAATGAACAATGTGATCGACATTAAAGTGAAATACATTTCAGATTTTATATTTTACATTGTTACATGTAATGTATTGAAACTGCAACATTTATCCAACGAATGGCAATTTAAAACCATTTAAGTCCTGGGAGGAAGTTCTTTAGTCTTTGCCACGGTTAGAAAAGTAGGTTAAACATGAATCGCAAAGCATTTCTAAGCCAAGGAATAATCAGAAGTAGCCAGCTGTGTTTTGTTTTTATTACATTCATGATCTTGACCAGTATAATCACCTCTCATGACTTCTCCTCTTATTAGTTAGGTCGCATATTAAAATGATATACTCTATCTGACAGTGGGACCTACTGTGGAGAAACTTCTAATCAAATCTGGTAACAGCAATTCTGGTAATTGCACCAAACTACACGATCTTCATGCTTATATACAAACTCTTTAATATCCCTACTTTTCTGACTTTTCGTACCCCACTCTATTGCCACCCCCACCCTCTTCACTCAGCTAACACAGGTCTGTTGTACATCCCCCAATCACGTCAGGTCACCATTGGTGGCTGAGCTGTCATCCCTGAGCTCTCGAACTCCCTGCAGTCCTACTCCCCCTACCCCTTACCTCCACTCTGAACAATCTGGCCTGCTCCATGTCTACACTCTTTTATCAGTAGGCAAGCTTTCACTCACTTTGTTCATGATCTGTGGAACTCTTTCCCTAATTCTCTCCCTTTACACCCTTCCTGTCAGCTTTCAAAATCCTTCTAAAAACCTATCTCAGACTGTGCCTTCAGTCACCTCCCTCCTGTTTCCTTCCCCTTATCTGACTTCCTGCTTGGATTCCCATTCTGCCTCTGTGAAATGTGTTAAGATTTTTTTCGATGTGTAAGTGCAACATATAAATGTGTGTGAATAAACGCTCCGAGGCACTGTTCGTGTGAAGAACACAATATAAATGCAAGTTGTTGTTATATAAGTGCATGTTGTTGTCCTTTACCTCAAATCTCAGAGGCATGTGAAATCCCCACTACTTTTAGTGAGATTGATTAGGTTTGAGGGGATCATAGGTACCTACAGTCTGTTCTTGTTATCTCAGGCAGTGACATAAATTGTGTCATTCATTGTAGTTTTATAATGAGTTTCTGAAATTTTAGAAACAAGAAAAAATCATTAACCCCAACAAGCCTCTTTTTATTAGATCAAAGTCAATGGACTATCTTGTCACAGAGGTAAAATGAGCAATACTTCATAATTATCACATCAAGCGCATTCTAAAACACTGCTAATTTACACCCATATCCCTCTCCAAAAAACACATTTCATTTTCTATTGAACAAATTATGCTACCTGTTTCAATATCGCCTCCCTGTTTCTTCTTCTACAAATCTATTACTCTTCAAGTCAAAAGTTCCACTTCATTATTTTATTACTGAACCAGACTGGTTCAGAGTTGAGCCGAAACAGCTTTTTCTCCTATTTATAAATGTATAGTTTTTTTTAAATGATGAAGCAGTTACCATATTTCTCCCTGGAGACATCAATCCTACCTTCTGTGCATTCAAGGGTAATTATTTTTCAACTGAAATGGCACACAGAGCTCATCCTCCATTGAAAGTGCACGGTTATTCTCCCAACTCTCCAGGTGAATGTAATAAATTAATAATAATAATCCTTGCATTTGATATAGCGCTTTTCACGTCTTCTAGACGTCCCAAAGCGCTTCACAGAATATACTGTAAAGTGAATTGACTATATATTTGTGGCCGAACGAGGCAGCCAATTGTGCACAGCAATGTCCCACAGTCATGAATTGAAAATGACCAATTTATTAATGTTTTTTTGGAGGGATTATTATTGGGCTCTGTGTGGAGTAAGGAAACTTGCCCAAGATTTCGCCCTGCCTGGAATTGAACTCAGGTCTCTCACTTGCAAAGCGAGTGCTCTAATCTTGGTTCTTACAATTATTTTAAACTGAATACATTTTTGTCAAAGAAATCTGCATTTCACTAAATATGATCATTGGTTTACAACACTGTGTATCAAGTCTATATTAAAAAGAAAAATCTCAGCTGATACCTTTACCAGTAGCTAAAATATTTTTTACTTTGATAAAAATTGAGACGCACTGATTTTTTTATAAAAAGTAATTATTTCCTAGAGGTTAGATGTGGAATTATATCCTACATTATTTAGTCATGCTTACTCGCTGTGAATCATAATACACCTGTGGTATGAACTAGTGAGTTTATTGTACACAAGAACATAATAAAACCTGTTGAGTACCGTAGGTTAGAGATTATTGGATCAAAACTGTACATTTGAACAGTGAGGTTGAAATGCTGACTTTCAGGTAAATTTTCCAATAAACCGGGGTTGATTTCATTCTTTTTGCTAAAGGCGTAGAGGTCCCTTCAATTTTAACATTTGCAAATTAAAAGCTCTGCTGTTATTGAATGATACAGTCTAATGACCTGTAAACTGCTTTCATTTCTGCATTTCACTGGGCAGCTGATGGAAACTTCTTAAATTAAGCTGCATTTCAAAAGTTACCAAGAAGCCATGGTACAGTATGCCAACTAAATTATAAACCCAGTCATGCCATCAAACATTCCAATAAATTATTCATTCTGATTTTATTGCAAATACTTATTGAATCACATCCCCTGCCAAATGCAATCGCTGTCCTGTGAAGTGAATTATATTCTTCCTTTAAGGTTAACTTCCAGTAATTAGAGTTTTGCTATCCTGTTCACCATACTGTTCTACTTGCATACAGAATGAGTTATTTCAAGATTGAAAACAACACGACAGAAGTACTGTTGTAATGTCTGCATATTTAATTTTTAAGTGTGGTCTATAAACACATTGTAATTTTTAAACCAAACAGGTAAAGGATGGCTTTGATCATGTTGTAGCAGAACTAGCCGACCACAAACATACTCTTGCTCGGTCACAGCAGAAGGAGAAACAATCCAGAAAATTGATTCAGGAGCTGACTGCTATGGTCAAAGAGCAGAAAGCTAAGATAGCTGAACTGGCAAAATCCAAACAGGGGACAACCTCGGAACTTAAGGTAAACCAAACTACTTGAGGTACTTTCTCTGCTCGCAAGGAACTTCTTTCTCCCTCCAATATCTGACTCCGAGGGAAGAGTGCTATTGATTGTCTAAAACAAATTAATATTGACACCTAAGGCTCATATACATATTAATAATATGAATAGCAAAATGGAGGCTTTGATGTACTTTGTGGGAAAATCAGAGATTAGGTGAAGAAGCTGCAAATTTCGCCACTGCTTGTAAAATAGACTGCCACCTAGTGCAATGAATACTGATTTAATTGAAAGATTCAAAGAAAATTGGGTCAGCTCCTCATTCAGCAGTAGAGGGATAAGATTGTGGATTGAATAAAATGGCCAGATCAGATGCTGAAATGGAACCTAAATGATGTAGTTTGCTGATGATGTAGTTCTTTTTTCCTTGTCTTAATTATAACTGTTATTCCAGTTGCACTAGTAAGTAAAATATTGCTTTTCCTTAGAGTTTTGATGTTCCTTTTTAATTTAATTTCAATTAGCTGACAGACTATATATTTGTACTGTTCGTATAGATTTATCTTAGCTTTCTGTTTCCTTGGCAATATTTTGCTTCCAGTGCTAAATTCAGCATTACGTCCTCTGTTTAATTTGATAGCACAAACTGCAGGTTCTCATTATACTGGTTGTCATTGATGTGATCAGTGAAATAATGAGTCTCGAGACCAACCCTATTCCTCTGGGTGTGTGGGTGTGCGTGCCCAACATGTTCCACAGTGCCTTGGAGCACTATTTGTTTTGCAGCAGTATTCTGTTTAGCAGCAGTAGCACAAAATATTTTTAAGGAATTTTAATTAAACCTTGTGTTTGTTATGCTGCCATTACTTCACTCAGGGTAAAATAGTTTGTGTTGTTTGTAGTAGGCATATCACTTTTACAATGAAATTGTTTTAGTTGGATGTCTGGATGATGCATTAAATCAGTCTCCCTCTTTTCCAGAGAACTGGGGAAAGAAACAGAGAGACACAATAGCTAAAATATTTTCCTAAGGGCAAAATACATTTATGTTGTGATAGTGGATAGTGTTTTGCTTTGGGGTAAATTTAATGGAGTTTACCCTTCTCCTTCAACATTTTGACAGAGAACAAATTTGATATATAAAAATCTTATTAAAAAGAATGCATTCTAAAATTAAATTTACATTAGCTGAAGTTTTTGATATTGATGCACCATTAGAATGGTGAATATTGAAATTACTTTTGAATTGTAGTTTGTTCATAAAAAAATTACTAAATGATTCAGAAGTCTTTACAGTTGATGAGATGCCATATGGCAGCCAGTGGCTCCATTCATATTATATCTAAGCATGATTCTTTCAGACATGATTGGTGCAAATACACCATCAGATAAGTTTTGTAAAGTATGAGATGGAAGTTTCCAAGAAAGAAAAAGCTTATTTTTGTATAGCATCTATAACAGTAAAATGTCTCACAGCATTTTACAGTAATTAATGTCAACTATAATCTTTCTTTTAGAAAATTGCATCAGCCAATTTGTGCACAGGAAGATTGAACAAACAGTTATGAGTTGAATGATCAATTGTATCTGGAGGATTGTTGGCAGGACAATTTGTTTTTTTGAATAGTGATATGGGATTATTAACGTCCAACTGAACAGATAAATGGGACCCTGGTTAACATTTCATCGAATAGGTAGCATCTATAATAATGCAGTTTTCTCCCATTACTGCCCTGATTAGTCTCAGCCAACATTGATGTAGAAGTGATAAGTTTGGTGTAGGTTATCTGAGCCAAATGCATGAAGTCAGCTTCTTGGTCTGTCTTTGGTCATTTGCAAGAAGAACCTGTATGAAGTCATAATAAGTCATAATAAAGACATGGTTGATGATAACATGAAAGTATCCAAAGTCTAGTATATCTTACATGAAGGACACTAAAAAATGCAAGTCATTGCACCACACTCCAGCACTGCATTGAAGTGTCAGCTTAGACTCTGTGGTTCCAATTCCCGACATGGGGCTTGAACCCACAACCTTCTGGCTCAGGTGCGAAATTATTACCACTGAGCCAGGCTGACACCTAAAATCAACATAAAATCCCAAGCAGTACTATAACAGGTAACTCCCACCAGGATTTTGGATGACTTTTTGTGTGTATTTTGAATTCGTTAGTAAGCGAATATCGGGGTCTACACCCGACTTGCATTATAAATAAACCTAGATTATAATCAGCCATGTTATAACAGAGTTCTACTGTCGTAACTTCTCCCTTTGGTATTAACACTGTGTCTGTTCAACATGTCGTATATCTACAGCGCTATAATTACTGACAAAGGGAAAGCACAGATTTAACTTTTGGCTTCTGATTTATAATTTTAGACCTCAGAGCAAGATCTGTAGATGTAAGGAGAATTATGAATAGCGGCAATGATGTGATCCTGGATGTGTTTGTGGCTTACATTGCAATGATTGTCAGGCTAGATTGTTTTTATTGTTCATCAATCAGCTGTAATTACAAACCAAACCCAAACATTCACCCATGATTCGTCATTTATTGTCTCAAGGGAATGATTCAGGTCTGATTTTAAGTTGATGGCAGATGGGATTGATACACTAAACTACCATTTTATCTCTGTTCACAGATATGCTAAGTCTATTATATTGTTATTGATTACATTAGCAGTAGTCATATTTTGCCATCTGTCATCCCCTGGACAAGGGCAATCATTCCTTTCTTCTCGTGGTAATGTTCCTGTACTTTGCTTTGTTCATTGCGCGTTGCTATATTTATCTGATATTTTTATTACCGCAACTTTTATTTTGGATTGCTTTGTTATGTTTTGGAAGAATATCACTGAAGGATTCAGCTGCTGGCAGAAATGGTTATAAATTGAAGTTACTGTGAATACTGTTATTCACAGCGCCCTTATAAACTTTGTTCCTCAAGTGACTAGCATTCATCTCCTCTGCAAACCTAGACTTGTACCCCAACAGAGACTTCAGCATCATGTCAAGTGGGAAGTTTGGTTTGGATTGACCCCTGCCATTTAGCAAGATCAGTCAGTTGGTTCAGGACACAGTAAGTAATCTGACTCTTATAGTTCTGTCCATTTTAATGTAGAGCCGTATTCGAACACTGGAACATGTAGCTGAAGAAGACAAGAAAAAAACGGTTCAAATCGAACTTCTTAAACTGGAAAAATCTAAACTGATTTCACAGCTAACTGCCCAAGAATCAGTGATTGATGGTCTCAGAGCTGAAAGAAGGATCTGGGGACAAGAATTAGCTCAACAAGGTAAGATATTGCATGTGAAAAATAATATTTGTACTTTTAAGTCACAAACTTAAAATCCAGTTAAGTCTGGAAAAAGCTACAATATTGTCTTATTTTTTCTATTTCTTAAAATGACACAAAACATAATTTGTTGTTGAATCTGAAAAGGTGAAGAAAAACTGAGTGACGATGATAATAATATATAATCTTTGCATTTGATATAGCGCCTTTCACATCAGAATGTTGACTCAAAGGATATGCTACAAAGGGTATCCTTTCTAGACAAAGTGTATATCCATACATTTGATACAGCTGTAATAATTTTCATGACAATATTACTGTGTCAGTCTGGCTCAGTTCTTAGCATTCTTATCTCACCTCTGAGTCAGTTGGTTGTTGAAGCTCCACATCGGGACTTTGAACTAGCATAGTCTTGTCTTACACTCCCATGCAGTGCTGGGAATACTCTGCATTGTTGGAAGTGCCGTCCTTCAGTTGAGGCATTAAACCTATCTATCTGTTCAAGTTGGTGATCACCTGGGATTATTTAAAAAGAGAAGTTTATCCTGGTCTCCTGCACAACAATCCCCCAAAATTGATCATTCACTTCATTACTGTTTATGGGGCATTGTTGTGTGCAAATTGCATTCACTACAAAATACTCAGTCACTAAACCTTAGAGTAAATCCTGAGAAGTGCTTTGAGGCATCCTCCTAAGGTGAAAGGACCTATAACAAATTTAGTGACTGTATTTTGTAGGCGATTGAATAAGCAATTAAAAAGCAATCTAGAAATGAGAATTATTTGAAGAGATGAAAGAAATCAAAATATAGTTTGGACTGGAAGTTGTGGAAATAGGTGATTAATATTTTTTTTCACAACACCTTAAGTCAGGGTGGTCCAACTTGTGGGCGGGATCCAGGCCGGGGATGATTTCATTCGACCCATCAACCATTAACAACTTCATTGTTCGACGAGCAAACACAGGCGAGACCAAGCCCCAAGCTAATCAGGAGACAGTCACCAGGGGCTCAGACCCAGCCCACACCGGGACTGATCATTCAGGATAAAATATTGCTTATGCTGCCCATGGATGTTTTTCAATCCGTCATCCGGTCCTCAGCAGCCAAAAGGTTGGACCACTCTGCCTTAAGTAAATGGTTACACCTGAGAAATGGAGAGTAAGAAGCATGTTCAAAAAGCAATGAAACCTGGAAGTGACAACCATTTAGTAAAGCATCAGTATTGCAGATTGCTTTGTGGAATACTTTCGTCTTTTTCCGTGTAGAGTGAAGGCACTCAGGGACAGTCAGCATGAATTTAGAATCAAACATATTCTAGAATTATTTGAGGAAATAAATAGTGCACAAGGAATTCACAGTGGATATGATCTAATATATTTGTAAGTGCAGGAGGCTTATGGAATTAACTTCTGTACGTGAGGATTTCTAAAGAAATAAGGCACATGGAATTGGTGAAAAATAAATTTGCTGCATTAAAATCGTTTGCGCAATTAAAGGTTTTGATGAATGTAAAGTTTAACCTTGAAAGCCAAAACCCTAATAGTGGATGGTTCTAGCTGGATAAACAGCAGAAAATTTGCCAGTAGTCTCAATGGCAAGGAATGTGTTTTAAGCTGATTTAACTCCACTCTGAGGTACACAAGCCTTGACTCTTGCCAACCTGTGTCTGATACTCTTTAGGAGGGTTGTCTCTCCAGGAAGACTGAAGAGTTCAGTCGCAGGGAATGTCCATTCCTAGGTGGCATATGTATGTGAAACCCTGCCTGATTTAGATGCTTTTAAATATGGCAATGGGTTTCCGCATGTGTAAGATACTCTCCTGACCAAACAAAATCATCTTTCAAAAAGTGCTTTTGTAAAATGTCTGATTGATGCTTCAAAGGCAATTTTCTGTATCAGAAAAACAAAGTTTATTTGCTATACTGTTGCTTATCTTAATTGAATTATAATCTGTTGAATTTTTTGATAAGGTCACTGAGATATGTCTTTAATAGCCTGTGAATACAAGAAAGGAGAGAACAAAAGGAGCTGATGCCATGAAATGAATAAAAATAAGTTACTGTTATCTTCAAGAAACCAGAAATGTTAAGATTTATCAGTTTACAAATAAATATGGTTTTACTATGAAGGATAGTTCAGAATTTTGAAATATCCTTCACTACATTTTTACTTTCTGTAATCTTATTTGAAGTGTGGATCCATACTTTTGTTCGAGACTTTAGATTACTTTGACAGACTACGAATAAAGCTTTAATGCCACCTTGTGGTTTTGCTAAGAATAGTTATGCTTTTGTGAGGAGAAGTTCTATGTGTGACCATTCCTCTCTATTTTTCCCCGTATCTATTTGTTTAAGAAAAAGCCTATTACCTTGAATGAGAAATTTTAATCTTATTCCGGTTAGTATATTTTAAAAGGATTTTTTTTTAAAAAAAACCTTGCATTTGATATAAGCACCTTATTACGTCTTTGAAACGTATCAAAGCATTTCACAGAATATACTGTAAATTGAATTGACTGCATATTCTGTGGGTGAAACGCGGCAGCTAATGGGGCACAAAATATACATATTGAGGTAAAAATGGAGAAGGAGCAGAGAAATGGGATTAGAGTAGATGGATTCCGTGACGGCGTTGTCATGGCATTGCATTATTGACCCCTTCTCTGCAGAATATTTTATAATATCCTGGCGTTTGACATTTAAGTTTTAAACTCAACTCAGAGCTTCTCAAGTGGGTCAATGGAATACGTCACTCCAACAGTAATAATGGGGTCCAATTTACCATATTTCTTAACTGAACTCCTTAAGGAGCACTCAAAATTGGCATGTGGAAACGTTTAAGAAAGTTTGTCACAGTAAATGGTTGGAACTTTGCCCCAAAACAATCTACTTCCATTGTGGATTTCCCACATGTCAGCAGCAATTCTAACAGATGTCTTATTAATGAGTTGAAATCAGGAAGCCTTTCAACAAGAATTGTCAGTAAAACTGCGGCTCTGGTTTTGTACCAACCATTACAGGAGTTGTAAATTGCATGCAGTTAAAAACAGGTTTTTGGTCACATCTTTGAGTTTAGGTTTTACTAACCTCCACGCAAACCAATTTACAGATTTTGATGTACCTCTTTAAATTATTGTGGGTATATGGATGTGATCAGTCTTTATTCTACAATAAGAATTTAGGCTTATGCTTCCCTTTGAAAACTGAAATAAAAATAGTCCAAATTCTCTTGTTATAATAATAATAATAATCTTGACATCTCAAAGCGCTTCACAGAATAGACTGTAAAGTGAATTGACCGTATATTTGTGGGTAAAACATGACAGCCAATTGCACACAGCAGTGTCCCACAAACAGTCATAGATTGAAAATGACCAATTTATTATTGTTTTGGAGGGATTATTATTAGGCGCGTGGAGTCAGGAAACTTGCCCAAGGTTTCGCCCTGCCTGGAATTGAACTCAAGTGTCTCACTTGCAAGGCGAGTGCTCTAACCACTGAGCTACAGAACTCTTAAGACTGTTATGGTACCCAATAACAGTCAAATCTATAATATGGAATAGGTTTTTTAAAATTGTGGTGAAAACAGAACTGAAAATGAGATGGCAGTATTTTAAAATATATTGTGAGCACAATACAGAATGAATAATGGTGAGTTTGGTCAATTGACACAGCAAATCTGATTCATTGTGACAACCTGAAGTATATTAATTTACAAAATGTATGACATTAAATAGACTTTAATCTGACAATGGAAATTTGCAGTGTCCAATTTAGCTGTGGCATTCATGTTCAAAATACAGTCAACAAACTTTGCAATAAAATCCTGTGAAGCGCTTTGAGACATCATCCCAATCTGAAAAGGCACTTTAAAGTTTAATATTTGGAGTTTCTAATGAGCATCTTGTGTAAATATTATGAACCTAGGGATAGGAGTGACAACATGACACATGTAACCTTTGGCATACCCTTAAACATATGTCAAACACCAGGCTGACCAAAAAAAACAATTGCCATGCAAAGTGTTGTCTGTACCCACGACAAGCTACACTGTCATTTTGAGTGGTTGCTATCAGTGCACTGTTTTAACTATACAGGCTCTTCCCTGGCTCAAGACCGAGGAAGACTTGAGGCAAGGATTGAAGTGCTAACTTCAGAGATTGAATCGATTAAAAAACAAAATGTACGCGATATTGATGCTTTGAAGATAAAAAACAAAATAGTAGATGATCAAACAGAAACAATCAGAAAACTGAAAGAGGTAAGATATTCATTCTGGAAACTTTGTAGTTGCTTGGTACAATACAGGAAAATTGATGCAGTAAAGAACTGAATAATGGATGATATGCTTTTAATAAGAAGTGACAGAATAAAATCAGTACCACTGATAAATGCAAATCCTTGCTGGGAGGCAGAACAACTCAATTCTTGCTACTGTTTCTTGATGTTCGCATGGGACCAGAATATAAGATACGAATGTGCAACATCAGAACAGACCATTTTAGTACAGCCAGACCCATGCCTTGTGTCAAATGTGTTATTGTGTAATTTACACTAACCCTCTAGATGAGCAACAAAAATTGTGGTTGTCTTATTTGCCGCACGCACCATTTGCTGATGGCATCAAAGATCTGTTTATTGGAACTACTAGTTTTGACTCGTAGATTGTGCTCTTTGAGTGATATACAGTCAATTTACTTTACGATCTTACCCCTTCCACAGCCTTGCACCCTCCTTCCTCTGACCTGCTAACCCCTTATCAACCTATCTGCTTCCTCCGCTTTAAAGGCTCCGGCCTGCTCCATGTCCTCCCGCCAATCCCACCATCGGTGGTCGGGCCTTCAGCCTCTCTGCCCCTACCCTCTGGGACGTCATCCCACATTCCCTTCGCCTCGCTCCCTCCCTTGTCTCCTTCAAGGCACGTCTCAAGACCCTCCTCTTCGACCGTGCCTTCGACCACCCTCCTATCCTCTCCGCCCTCCACCTTCCCTGATCCCAACACCCCCGCTAAGGTCCAAATCCCTAATCCCTGACTGTTCAGTGCCTTAGGACATCCTCCCAATGTGAAAGGCCCTTTACAAATGTTATTGAAGAGCTTTGAGATGTCTCGAAGACGTCAAAAGGCGTTATATCAGACATCACCAGCACCAACAAAGCCATCTCAGACGATTACTTAATCTCCCTTAACTCCTCAATCCCTTTCCCCACTGCCACCCAACCTACCTCCATTTACGGAAAGGAAAAAAAATCTCCTCTCCCCCACCTCCCTCTCTGCTGCCTTGGAGTCACCTGAACTCCTCCCCCTCTGGGCTTCCTCCCGCAATGACCTCAGTCACTTTCCTCCACAACTCCCTCTCCACCACTCTCGATGCCCTTGCCCCCCTCACCTCCTGAACTGCCTCCTACTTACGCAAGTCACCCTGGTACACCAGGCACCCATGCTCCCTTAAGTCACAGTTTTGTGTTGCAGAACACATCTGGCACAAATCTTATTTAATGGTGCATCGGCAAATCTGATTGGACCACATCAAAACTTACCGCTCCGCCTTCGCCTCCACTAAATCGTCCTTCTACTCCAAGACAATCTTGGAGGCCAAGGACAGCCCCGGGCTCCTCTTCTCCACTAACAACCGGCTCCCCATCTTCCCCTCGCACTCCGGCCCCTACCCAAACCTCCCTCCAAACCATCAAACCTGTCTCCTCGTCCTCCTCACCACCAATATGACCCAAATGAAACTGACCACCTTCTCCCTTGACCCCATCCCTACCCTTAACCTAACCTCCCAGCTCCACCTCCTTGCGCCCCTTTTCACAGATATCATCAAACTCTCCTTGTCCAGCGTTTCCACCCCCTTAAAAACAGTCATCAACACCCCCATCCTCAAAAAATCTTCCCTGGGTGCATCTCCAACCTCCCTATCCTTTTCAAGGTCCTGGATTGAGTCGTTGCTTCTCAGCTTCACCCCTTCCTCTCCCACAAATAACTCATCAAACCCCTCCAATCTGATTTTCGTGCTGCCAACAGCACAGAAACAGCTTTGGTCAAGGTGACAAATGACATTTTGTCCTCCTGTGAATAGGGCTGTCTCTGTCTCCTCGTCCTCATTGACCTCTCTGCTGCCTTTGACACTGTTTATCATTCTATCCTCCTCCATGGCCTCTCTCACCTCAACCTTCATGGCTCTATATGCTCCCGCTTGGCAATGTCATCCGCAAACATGGGGTAAACTCCCACATGTATGCTGATGACACACAAATCTACTTTGCCGCCTCCAGCATTGACTCCAGGTTCACTAATGTTCTATCAGCTTGTCTGACAGACATCAGGGCCTGGTTGAGTGCAAACTTCCTGCAGCTGAATGTGGACAAGACGGAAGCCATGCTCCTTGGCTCCCGGCTATGTCTTCACTCCTACGGATCTAAACTCCTCAACCTCCCTGGGCTCTCCCTTAGACTCACCGAACCAGTGCACAATCTAGGCGTTCAGTTTGACCCCCCCCCCCCCCGACCAGGATCGCCTTCCTCCACCTCTGCCACATTGCCCACCTTCAACCGTACCTTACCCCAAATGCAGCAGACACCCTTGTGCATGTGTTTGTAACCTCCCACCTGGATTACGCAAACAAACTCCTCGCCGGTCTCCCAAGCTCCACTATTCAAAAGATCCAGCTCATTCAGAACTCTACTGCCCGCATACTGACCCGGACCAAACTCCATACCCACATCTCACCAGTTCTGGCCAGGTTCCACTGGCTCCACATCACCGAATGGATCGATTTCAAGATCCTCACATTTGTGCTCAAATCCCTTCACTCCCTGGCACTTTGGAGACATCATCCGCAGACATGGGATCAACTTCCACATGTTTGCGGATGACACCCATTCTATCTCTCGGTCTTGTTTGACTCTCAAATGTCCTTTCTATCCCACATCCGTACATGACCCGCTCTGCCTTCCCCCACCTCCAAAACATTACCCGGTTCTGCCACTGCCTCACCCCTCAGGCCGCCAATATCCTCATCCACGCATTTATCACATCTAGGCTCCACTGCACTAACTCCCTGCTTGTCAGCCTTCCCAACTCTTCCCTCCACAAGCTGCAGACCATCCAGAACTCTGCAGCTCATGTCGTCCCCTGCACCAGGCTCCGTGACCCCATCGCCCTCGCTCAGCTGCACCAGCTCCCCATCCCCCAGAGGATAGAGTTCAAAATCCACATCCTTGCCTTCATGGCCATCCACGGCCTTGCCCCCTCCTGCCTCTGTGACCTGCTGACTCCTTATCAACCTGTTAGTTTCTTTCGCTCAAGAGCCTCTGCCCTGCTCCACGTCCCCTGCCCAGGCCGCCCCACCATTTGCGTTGGGCTTTCAGCGTCTCTGGCCCCATCCTTTGGAACTCCATCCCACAGTCCCTTCACCTCCCTCACTCCCTTGCCACCTTCAAGACACATCTCAAGACCCTCCTCTTCAACCGCGCTTTCGGGCACCCTCCCTACCTTGCACCCCTGCTGATCCCAACCCCCAGCTCGGGTCCAAATCTCTGACTGTCCAGCGCCTTGGAACGTCCTGCCAACGTGAAATGCACTATACAAATGCAATTTGTTGTTACCTCCCCCTTCCCTTCAACCTGTAAAGCAATCTCTTGTGTGGATTATTTCGGCCATACAGCTAACTTTCTTGCATAATTCATATGGTAAATGTCAAAGCATAGGTTCCAGAAGCAGTAACATTAAATGGAAAATATAAACCTATGAAATAAAATGGCAGCTTTTAATCGAGTACAAGGAATGTAATAGTGAGAAACCATATGTTTAATGTATTTCAATCAAATATCACTTTCGAAAGAAAAATATTCCTTGCATTTAATATAACGCCTTACCACATTTTCGAGGTATCTTAAAGTGCTTCTCAAAATATTCGGCGAAGTGAATTGACTGTATATTTTGTGGGCGGAACGCAGCAGCCAATTGCACACAGCAGTGTCCCACAAACAGTTGTGGATTGAGTGACCAAATTATCATTATTATTTTGGAGGAATTATTACCCCTGGAAAAGGGATCCGTCAATCGATGGGTTCCTACTTACTGCTAGATAAACAGAGGTGTGTGGAGTAAGGAAACTTGCCCAACGTTTCGCCTTGCCGGGAATAGAACCCAGGTCTCTCGCTTATAAGGTGAGTGCTCTAAGCACTGAGGTACAGGACTCCACAGAAGATCTAATGAACCACTAATAATCTGCAGGGTTTGCAAGAAAGAGACGAACAAATCAGGAAAGTTCGTGAGGAGAACCTCCAGACACAAAGGAGGTTTCAGGAACAATTGGACGATGAGGCTATAATATCACAGGATCTGAAGGAGAGGGTAGAGAGACTTTCGGAACGGAAGAATGATCTAAAGCAGCAGCTTGAAGATAAAGAAGCGGAGCTGGAGGAAACTAAGAAGGCATATAGGTAAATGGGAAAGTTAGCAGCAGTGCTTCATTACCCATTAATGCCCCATTCGTTAGTTCTTTTTGATTCAAGGACATGAAAAAAATGACAAGTATCTAAAGATGTACATTATATATACTACACAGAATATATGTATATACGTTGGTAAAAGAATTATATCCATAGCATAATATAAAAGAGAAGTTACTATCAAAAGTTCCTAAATATAACATAACTAATATCATTCATATATTATAAAATATTAACCCTGTATTGCTCGATTTAAATTGATAGAGGATGTGTTAGGCTCTGATCAATACTCAGTTCTTGGTAAGGAATAGTCTAAACTATGGTTCTACAATTAATCTTTTCAAGTCTCATTAAAACGATATTGCCTGATCTCTCTTGATCTTGATGTGATTGAAATACAGTGTATGCATAAAGCTTGTGGTTCCAGCTTGTTGTTTGAAATTAGTTTTGTAGGACCAATTATATCAAATATATTGGTAGAGAAAGCTTTCACTACAATTTCTGTTCCAAGTCTTCAAAAACCTGCCATTGATTTATTTTCTTTGTCACGTTATCAAAGTTGGTTTGGCTTCTATAAACTATTTTGTTTGGTGTTATGTTTCTTTGTAGTGCTGTTAATAAGAAGTGGCAGGATAAAGCAGAGCTACTGACAAGTTGGAAATACAGGTCAAACAGATGAAAGAAAATTTTGATGCCAATGAAAAGAAGCTTGTTGAAGAAAGAAACAAAGCTTTGCAAGCTCAGAAGTAAGTTTTGAAAATAACAAACGGTCCGTAAGGACAGTTACTATACGTGCTGTTAGATCGTGCTTCTTCTGGAAATGTGTCTTGCTTCCTTAATCTCTTCACAGTTCATTCCCTGAATCCTTTCTACTGTATTTTTCTTTCACTAAGTACCATAATCACACTTTGAACCCAATAATCTACATATGATCTCACCAATGCCTTATAGACTGTCAGGAAATTGTAGAAATTACCCCATTCTAGCTCATCCACAGGAGATAAATCTTCTGATCGCATTTCCTTGCTTTCCTTCACCACCACCACCCCCATACTCTTTTAGTCTGCCTCTTCAAATAATTATTCAGGTTGGACAATTTGCAGAGGTAAATTTTGAACTTTGTTAATGTCTCAGCCTCAATAGGCTGTACTGCTTATATAATAATAATAATCCTTGCATTTGATATAGCACTTTTCACGTCTTCTCGACTGCTTCACAGAATATACTGTAAAATGAATTGACTGTACATTTGTGGGCGAAACATGGCAGCCAATTGCAAACAGCAGTGTCCCACAAACAGTTGTGGATTGAAGTGACCAATTTATTATTCTTTTTTCTTCCCTGAGGGATTATTATTAGGCATGTGGAGGAAGGAACTTGCCTAAGGTTTTCCCCTGCTGGGAATCAAACCCAGGTTTCTCACTTGCGAGGCGAGTGCTCTAACTATTGAGCTACAGGACTCCACCTTGTATTGCTTACTTGTATTGCTTGAATTGCAATTGTTACCGTAAGATTTAGAGCCTAAGTCGTGAAACAGTAGCAACAACAAAATTACATTTGCAAAGCGCCTTTCACATCGGGAGGGCACAGTGTTTGGTCTACTATTACACTTGGGCCTTTGTATTGATTTATCTTATTTAACATTTATCCGTCATTCTTGTAACCTGTTTGTTTTTATTTGGATGTTCTATATTTGAAAATTTATTATAAATGTATTGAACAGCACCAAAAGTACTGATCCCTGAGGTTCTCTGCTGCTTTTTAAATGGCCCTTTGTTTCCTATTGTTTAATCAGTTTTCAGAGAAAAGGCTTTTATCTTAAATGCTTGTGGATAAAAAGAGTGCACCCTCCATTAGTTTGCTACCCTCCATGAATTCAGTTGTAATTTTCAAGGAATTCCAACAAATTTGTTAACTGTGACATATCTTTTATAAATCTTGCCTTGAATTCTCTGATCTAGTAAACGTCTTTAAATGCTCCTTTACAATGGTTTCAATATTTTTCCTAGTGAAGACATGACATTAACAGCTGTACAATTCCCAGGATCATACTTCTTTATGGCCCTTTAATAAAGAAAGGACAAATGGAGCTCATAAGTTCCAATTACCTGCTGTTGTCTCCTTTACATTGTTTTAGCTTTGATGAATTGGAGCCATACTTTTTGTACATCGACCCTTGTTTCCTTAAGAATGGATTAGAAATGTAATTCACTGCTCATCAATTAATACATACAAACAGGAATTATCAGTAACAGGTCTGATCCCAATTGTAAAGTGAATGAGTAATAAAGAAACATTAGGGATCTAAACTTTATAGTCTGGAAAGAAGGCAGTTAAGAGAGCACCTTGTTAAAGTATACAAATGATTTCATGATACAGATCAGATAACCTAGACAATTATTGTACTTCAAAGTAAACTGACAAAGTAGGACCAGAGGACAAAAGAAAAATCAGTGAACAGGACATTTAGAACATTTATCAGAGAATAAACTATTCCATTACAAAAGTCTGTTAAATTTAGTCTTATCTTTAAAGTTATTTTTCTGTTGTTTTATGAAAGAAAATACTTTATCAGAACATCTTGATTTTTGATTGAAATAATTAAGGGCTACAGTAGAAAAGCTTCATTCCATGGATGATGCCTTCAGACGGCAGCATGAGACTGTGCAGGCAGCACAACAGGCACAACTCATTCAACTAGAAAACCAGAAGCAGAAAGAAATTGAAGCAGCAAAAGAAAAGGTATTGTTTTCTCTTATTTTGGCAACAAGTTTTGATTAAGGGATTTTTTTATGGGTCAGCCAGACATCTGACATGTGGGGAAGCCCACCATGATTAAGAGTATCCAAACATCTAGACTGAGTTTCACATATGGAAATGACCCTGGAGGCCGCTATATAAGTGCAAGTTGTTGTTTTTGTTGTAATAACCGTCAGTATGGCTAATCATCTCAGTTTGCCTAACCAGCTTCAAGAGAGAAAATACAGTAAGGTATTTTTGGAGATATTCTACTACTGTACACCATTTCTAAAAATCTTAATCAAAAAACTGAGGAAAGAATCTGTTGTTTAAAAAAAAGTTCAATTTATTAAACAATAACAAGATTACATTTGAATAGCACCTTTCATGTCGGGAGGACGTCCCAAGGCGCTGAAGAGATCATTGAGGAGCAATATGTGCACAATTCTACAGTTGAGGCAGCTCATCAAAAAATGAGTGCTTAACCCATGAGAACAACAATAAAATTATATTTGTATAGCGCCTTTCATGTGGGGAGGACGTCCCAAGGCGCTGGACAATCAGTGTTTCGGACTCGAGCTGGGGGCGGAATCGGGGAGGGTGAAGAGCAGTGGAGGAAGGAGGGTGACCAAAGGCACAGTTGAAGAGGAGGGTCTTGAAACGAGTCTTGAAGGAGGCAAAGGAGGGGCCGAGGCGGAGTGACTGCAGGATGGAGTTCCAGATTTGCCCCAGAAAACCTAAAGGTTAATTGTTTAGTATCTACTCTCTACGGATTGATTTAAAGACTTCCTGATCCAGACAGAGCAAGCATCTATGGGTGCTTCTTTGCCAAATACAATCCTAAAAATAATTTTAAAAGTAAAATTTCAAAGTTAAAAGAGGGGAAAACTAGCCTCGTTAGGCCGAAAGGCCTGTTTCTGTGCCATACCATGGGTAAGGATGATGTTCAGTATATTGTTGTTTAAAAATATTGATAAATATGTATAACATTAAAGGACATGTTTTTAACCACAATTTATCAAATATCTTTAGTAATAATTAAAATTAGAAGATGTTTAGTAATTTACACTCCTGATTCCGACCCCTTCCCCCATCAATTTGATATTGACTGCCGACAGAAATCTTACTATATAGTAGACAACCAATTTCTAAAAGATTGTACAGTATTAATAATAATCCTTGCATTTGATATAGAGCTTTTCACGTCTTCTAGACATCTCAAAGCACTTCACAGAATATACTGTAAAGTGAATTGAATGTATATTTTGTGAGCGAAACGATTAATCTCTGATACTAAAGGCTAATTGCAATGTAATTTTCAGGTCTACCAGGTGGAAGAAGAAATGCGTCAGCTTCTCCAAGAGACAGCAAAAAGCAAGAAAAACATGGAAGAGAAAATAAGAAAACTGACTCATGCCCTCAGTGATATCCAGCAAGAATTGTGAAACCAGAGAAATGCTTAATAAGATATGTGATACTTACAACTTACCTTTCCTTCCGAAATAATTAGCCACAAGATGACAAATTCCTACTGACAAGAATAATTAGTTACTTGCCAGTTTAAATCATGTATAATGATTTTGCCTGAATGTTCACTCATTTCTGAATGTGACGAGTACTGAGCCAGTCACGAAGAAATGACTGGGTTCACTTCCTTGTCCCAGCTTAAATTCCTGAACTTTTCCAAGACTGTAAAGGAAGTAATCCTTTTGGACCCATGTCTATGGAGTAGAGAAGAAAATAAGCTTAGGCTTATTCCTACGCCAAATGCTTGCTATCTAGTGATTTCTGGAAGGTGATAACTGCATGCACATCTTAAGACTTGAAAGCCATCGTGTTTTGTAGGTCAAGACCTTTGTTTTAAAATTTAAGGTGATGCAAAAATTTGATATAAACATTCAATTTGAATTTGGAAGTTGATTTTCTGCAATTCCTTTTATCCCATTGCAGAAAATTTGCCTCGATATTAAAACTGAATTGTTCACAATGCTTTCCAAAATTCCACACAGTCTTAAATGTTAAGTGAATAGTTTTGAGCCGAGGAACATACCTGAAGATTTTTGGGCTCATGAAGACAGGAATGAGCTGAGAAACGGCTCCCCACAACAATCAAATACTTAGCCGTGCTCTTACGGTCAGTCACTGAGCCCCAGGGGACTTGGCATCTAAAGGACCACACTTTCAGTATGGTTAACCTTCTTCAAGAAAGCAAAAAAATGGTCTTTTTTGGAGGCATTCTTATACTGAAAGCACCTTAGTTTTTTTGTGTGCTACAATAAACACTTATGTAAGCCCGTGGTATGGTTTGATTTCAGCTTGTACTTGTGATGTGTTGGCTTTAACCGAACAGAAAATCACCTTTGTAAATTAAAATTGTCAAGCTTCCATTAGACGTTTTGAATGGATGTAAAAAATTAAAACCATCCACAACCCTGATGATTTTTCATTTATTAATGTGCTATCGAACCATAGAGTGTGTGAAGTTTCAATGCTGGCTCAGTGCTGACTTAGGCAATCTCACCCAGGCAGCATTTGGCATCAGCATCCCTTGACCCCAGAAAGGAAAAATTGGCCAGTTCCTGCTGCTGCTGAATGTTAGATAAGAACAGAATCAGACTCAAATAAGGCATCCTTCATAGTAGACCAGCCCAATGATACTCATTGTTCAGGCTCATGTTTATACCCAAATAGTCACAGAATCTGATGCCAAGACAGGTTTCTATTTTCATGAGAGGAAAAATGTGACACTAATCTGACAACCAGATTTTCACACAAATCTCTTACCAGGTCAGGCTCTTACAGAACAATAGTTCTTTGAGAAACGATGAAGCACTTATTTATTTAAAAGATGTAAAATTATATCATTCTATTTTGTACTATACTTAATAAATCATTTTTATCAGATTTTTGTGTACTCTCTTTTCATTACATTCCTTATGTTGCATTATGCACTTTTGAAACAACAAACAGTGGAGATATTGACTGCGTTTGCTGTGATTTTAGTTCATCCTGCACATAAAATGAATAGGCTGCCATCCAAACAAGGCAAAACATGTCTTTTTATAATGGCTTTCCTCTTGTAGTTGCCTCACAGGTCAGACAATCTTCCCCAGTGACATTACTGTACAAAAAGTCTTGTTCTGGATTCCCAGATGGGATTTTAATCATACAGTATCAATAAAAGTGTTTTTCTAGCTTGTCATTTTTGTTTAAATTTATTGTTTCCTTTTTTTTCTAATTTTCTCCTGACATCTCTGCTCTTAGTGCCCAGCCTCTTCCTACTGGGGTATGATTTAATTTTGTTGGTTGCCTTGTGGGCTGCAAAGCGAAAGAGCAAAAAGAATTGGAAGAGAGTTGCTGGAAGGAGGGTTGCAAATCACCCCAGAGAATATATCAACACTTTCATATCCATTCGGGCTGTTGGAATTCAAGATCCTCATCCTCACCTACAAGGCCATTCACGGCCTCGCTCCCTCCTACCTCTCCGACCTACTATCCCCCTACCTACCTGCCCGTACCCTCCGTTCCTCTGGCTCCGGTCTGCTCCACATCCCCCGCCCCAACCGCCCTACCATCGTTGGCCGGGCCTTCAGCCTCTCAGCCCCGAGGCTCTGGAACTCCATCCCCCAGTGCCTTCGCCGCTTCCTCCCTTTCCTCCTTCAAGGCCGGTCTCAAGACCTTTCTCTTTGACCGAGCCTTCAGCTCCCCTCTCAACTCTCTACCCCCTCCTCACTCGATCCCTTCCCTCCCCTCACCCTGACCATTTCCCCCCTGCTCGGGTCCTGACCCAACTGTACAGCGCCTTGGGACGTCCTCCCGACGTGAAAGGCGCTCAATAAATGAAATCTTGTTGTTGTTATGGGTAATAATTTGCTGTGCAAGTTTTAGTGGCCATGCACTTTAATTTTGTGGGTGAAGTATAATGGTTCAACGTTTCTTTAAACAAAATATTTTTGATAAAGTATATATTTATCCTTGCATTGCCACTACACTCTACTCAGGTGGAGGGACCAAGGTAGCCCCCTCCAGGTTCTGCTTCCTTTTAGAGGGCACTATAATAAATAAATATAATAAATATAAATATAATAAATACATTTATAATAAATATACAAGATAGGTTGTAGTCCCCAGCCCTCATTGTAGTGGGAAGAGCCTCAGCACATCCATTGCCATTATCTTGTGGAGTCCCGTAGCGTAATGGTTAGAGCACTCTCCTTGAAAGCGAGAGGACCTGGGTTCAATCCTGGCGAGTGAAACGTTAGGCAAGTTTCCTTACTCCACACGCCTGTTTACCTAGCAGTAAGTAGGAACCCGGTTGTTGGTCAATTGATGGATCACTTTTCCGGGGTAACAAACCCTTAAAAAAATGTGGTTACTCAATCCACAACTGTTTGTGCGACGCTGAGGGCTGTGTGCAATCGGCTGCCGCGTTTTGCCCACAAAATATAGTCAATTCACTTTACAGTATATTCTGTGCGCTTGGCTAGAACAGGGGCAGCTTCGGTTAGGGTCAGGCTCCATCTCGCCATTGCCCAGCTTCAGAGTATCCCTCAGCACGAAGGTCCCGGACCATGGAGTGCGTGCGTCTGCAACAGGCCATCTCCGATGTGTCGTTTCGCTGGAAGACCATCGTGTTTCGAGAAATCCAAAGGGTTCACATCACCAAGTTGATAATGCACCTACATAAGCTGCAACCCTGTTGATGGAGAGCGAGCTCGCCCCAATTTTGGGCAACAAGATTGCTCTGCTAGAGGAGGAGGGGAGGGGTGGGGGGGGGCAGCAATGAAAGATTATTATTGCGAATTTTATAAGGATACTACTTATAATAACAATGCTTGCATTTTATATAGCGCCTTATCACACCGGCGAGACGTCACAAAGCGCTTCGCAGAATATACTGAAGTGTAGTGACCGGATATTTTGTGGGCGAAACACGGCAACCAAATGCTCACGGCAGCGCCCCGCAAACAATCGGGTGGGGGTGGGGGGGTGGGGGGGGGTCGAGTGACCACATTTTGGGGTTTTTTTTTAAAAAAAGGGGATTATTACCCCCCGGGAAAAGCGATCGGCCAATCGACTAACAACCGGGTTGCCACCCGCCGCGAGGTGGCCAGCGGCGCGAGGCGGGAGGAAACCCGTGTTAAGGTGGCTCCCCCCCGACTGCAGGAGCTGGAGAGCTGAGGTGCAGGCGGGTGAGCAGAGGGGGCGGCCAGAAACCGTGAGTCAGTCAGTCAGTCAGTCAGTCAGTTAGTCAGTGAGTTATTTTTTTATTTTTTATTTTTTATATACATAACATATTTTTTTAAAAAATCGTGCCGTAGCCCCAAAATATCCACCAAAACACCACACTGCCCGACAAGCAGTTGCCCCACGTGAGACGTCGCGCGGGCGGGCGAGCGCTTCAGGTCCGCGGCGTGAACAGCGGAGGCCCGGGCCCGGGCCTGGGGCCTGTGGGGTGGTGGGAGGGGGGACGCTGTGCTGCCTGGTTGCCATGGCGTCGACAATAGGCGTCACTTCCTGGAGCTCGCACGGTGCGCTCGCTCGCTCTCCCTCTCTCTCTCTCTCCTCACGCCGTGTGGCTGCCGCGCGGCCCGCGGGCGGGCGGGTGGGTGGGGGCCCCCCCCCCCTCCCCGACGTCACCGGCGTGCGAGGGGCACATGGCGGCGGGCGCGAGCGGCTGTTCGAACGCGCCCGGGAATGGAACGCGGGCGTCGTCGAGCTCGAGCCGACACGAGAAGAGCCTCGGGCTGCTCACCAGCAGGTTCGTGTCCCTGCTGCAGGAGGCCGAGGACGGGGTGCTGGACCTCAAGCAGGTCAGTCAGTCAGGCAGTCAGGCCGGCGGTGACACACTCGACAAGAGGCTGACTTGCTGCTCCTTGAGTTAGCACCTGGGTGGGGGTGAGGGCAGGTGGGGGTGAGGGAGGGCCGTGGCTGGTGGGAGAGTCATAAGTCAAACGCTTGCATTTGATACGGCGCCTGATCGCGTCTTCGGGTCGGCTCGAAGCGCTTTGCGGAATGGACCGTCCGGTGAATTTGCTGCGTGTTTTTGCAGGCGGAACGCAGAGCCGGCTGCTGAGGGGGTTTGTGGGGTGGGGGCGGGTGGGGTGGGGTGGGGGTGGGGGTGGATGGAGGTGCCCTCTCCTGTCCTGAGTGAAAGGCACTATGCAAATACAAGTTGTTGTTGGGGCTGCGGTGGAGGTGGGTGGGGGGCTGTGTGTTGGTGGGAGGGCTGCAGGGCGTTAGGGATCTGGGGACGTCCTCCCGACGTGAAAGGTGCTCTATAAATGGAATCTTGTTGTTGTGTGTATTTAGCTCTATGTGAGTTTCAGTGGTGAGGATAGAGCAACAACTGGACGTGAACTTCAAAAGTGTATAAATTGAGTTTAATACAATACAAATTTACATTTGTAAACTGCCTTTCACGTCCGGCGGACGTCCCGAGGTGCTGGACGGTCCAGGGTTTACACCTGAAGGTTTTGAGGTGGTCCTTAAAGGAGGTGAGGGAAGGGGCGAGTGTTAGGAACTCTGGGATGGAGTTTCAGGTGGGGGCAAATTACCTGAAAGCCTGACTGTCGATGGTGGGGCAGGTGACGTGGGGCAGGTGTTAGCTGAACAAAGGGAGCGATGGGTTGGTAGCGTTTGAGGAGATCGCAGAAGTAGGGATGGGGCAAGACTATGGAGGGATTTAAAGGTGAGGGGTGGAGATCTGTTGGGGGATGGGGAGCAAGTGGAGCCAATGAGGATGGGGGTGATAGGTTCAGAGAGCCAAGTGCAGGAAATGACACAAGTCCCAGTGTTTCAACTGATGTTTTAAGCACTGTTCCTGCAAATTGAACCCCAGATTTAAAACATTTTACAGGAAGAGGGTCCTTTTATATTCCTGTATAATCCTTCCTCAGGTCATCCACATGTCATCAAAGAGATACTCTGAAAGAGACCAGACCTTTGCACTCCACCCCCACAGTTTGCAAAAAAGGAAGTTTCCCGACTAAAACTCTTTAAGATGACACCTCTTTAGCTTTCAGTGCTGGACTGATTGTGATGGTTGTGGCTGACCACCTTCTTTCCATGTTCTTGATGCATTAAGCTTCTCAAGTCTGGTTTCCATAGCTCGAGCGAGATTTCAACCTTCTGCCCATCGGCAGTTCTCTGCAGGGGCTTGTCTCACTTTTTAGTGAGGTGTTCTTCTAGACAGTAAATTAGTCTGGGCGGTCTTGACTCTGAACTGCCATCGGTTTTATTTTATTCTTACTTTGAAAAATTGCACAAGTTTTTGCCCCAGCTCATTTGAATCTGTGGTGCAAGTGTACCGCACAACTGATAGACATGTTATAAGCAGGCTCGGGCTCGATTGAGGCACCTTACAGTGAGATTGTCCTATGCATTCATAGGCAATTAAGATCAATGTGCATTGTTTGTACCCAAACTGAAGCTGTGGAAGAGGCTTTCTATTCAGTAAATAAGGCTAGTAACCATTTGGTCAATACATATAAAAATTAAAATATTAACAATGCAAAATTTGGATTCGTTTTCTCTCTCCAACGTAGCAAACTGATAATTGTGATTTGATTTTTTTATAATCCCTGACCACCCTCTCTCCCCCCCACCCCCAAGAGCTGAGGTTGATTATTGTGCAATGACTGCCACTCCAGCTAAAATGAGCTGTGATTTGTACCACGGCAGTAGTATTGTCTGTCAGCCCCTGGCTCATTTTCACCCTAAAAGTTTATAGCACTCTTGCCTCTGAGTCAGAAGGTTGTGGGTTCAAGCCCCACGTCACAACTTTGAATTCATGTAGTCCAAGCTGACACTCCACTGCAGTGCTGGGATTATTAGAAGTGACTTCCTTTATATGAGGAGTTAAACTGAGGCCTATTCAGGTGGACTTTAAAGATCCCATGGCATTTTTTGAAAAGAGAAGGGAGTTTTCCCATTATCCTGGCCATCAAATCGCTCAAATAAAATTGGTTATTATTATCATCATCATTCACTCCATGACTTTTTGTACCACATTGCCATGTGCAATTTGGCTGCCTGTTTGCCCACTAAACATACAGTCACTGTATTTTACAGTATATCATATGAAGCAGTTTGGGACATTCTCCTGATATGAAAAGTACAACAATACTTAATGCAAGAATGATTATTATTTTTATTATTTAGTACACAATGGAAATTAGTATAGCAGATCAACGTGTCAGGTGATGTCTCAACTTTATTGAACAATTATTCTGTGCCACATGGGGGAGACACCACCAATGCTCTGAAAGCTTCTATCTCAGAACTTCTAGATGGGAAAATATGGCAATTTTATCCATGCAAAAGGCATCTCCCTGATCTAGTTAATCGCTCCACAGGTCAACCGGAGGGGGGGGGGGGGGGGGGGAGTTCCTCTAGCCCATTGGGCATACTGGTTGTGGGGTTTCCAGCAGCTCCCACTTGCCAGCAGAGTCCTCCCCGCTCGCGCTGGGATTTTCATGGTTGAGACTTGGACTCAAAGCTCTGCGACCAGCCCTAATAATAACCCTTCGTTTGATATAGCGCCTTATCGTGCCATTGAGACGTCTCAAAACGCTTCACAGAATATACTGTAATGTGTAGTGGCTGTGCATTTTGCCATTTCCTCTGGAGTGGCAGCTGGTTGCTTTATTGAGCCTCCAAGCTGATCGCTGTGATTGTTCTCTATAGTCGGCCCTACGATCGCAGTCAGGCAAGTGCACCCTGGCATTGGGAAGTCTGCCTATTTCCTCGGGTATCCTTCCCCCCCCCCACCCGCCCAAAAGATTGTGACCTCCACCCAAGAAAAAACGATTACGTTGCTTCTTGGGTGGATTATACTTTTAGTTCTTAATAATTGTTCATAATGCATAACAAAATGCCATTGCTAGAGCAGTTTTCGACTGCAGGTGTTTCTCCTTTTTTATCCCCACCCCCTTTTTCTTATTAAATATGTTACAGTTGGTTTGCTGACATGAAATGGACTCCCTTTTCTTCAGAATTCACGGTATGTGAAGCTTTGGCAGTGGACTTTAGACTCCACTCATGTATTTGAAATCGTTTTCTTTAATGGATTCTTTCATTGTTTTCATGTAAATGAAAGGTCTTGTGGTCATTGCATTGTGTTGGGCATTTAATTTTTCAGGCCTTATTCAGCTTTTACTTGACAATGTCAGCTTTGTTCAACACTTTACCCCTTCACATGCCTGTCTTTTCCTCCCAAACCCCCACCCCCCCCCACCCCCACGCCCCCCGATCTTTCACCCGAGCACAGTGTGACTGACACTGGGTGATTCCAAGCTGCCTTCCTCGGAAACAGAAAAGGCAATCGGATATTTCCTTGCTGATGCGAATAAATATAAATGTCTGAACTTTCCATAAAGTTAATTGTTTTAAGCCAACAGAACTTCAGCAATGGCCTCAAAAAGTTGTGCGTATGACACTTGCCCCAGTCATCAGTCCTATCATGTCTGCTGAATGCAAACTCTGGTTCTGTCTGCTTCCATGCTGCAGGCTTCAGTAATTCTTTTTGAGCCATGGCTTTAAGAAGGAAAGCAGACTGCGGATTTACAAGTCCCAATGTTTATTCAGCTGGGTAGACTTTTTGTGATGTAATTCTACAGGAACATTACTGTAGCTTATTAAGTACATTTACCTCCAATGCCTTAGGTTTTAGATCATGCCTTGTTCAATCCTGGGTTTTGTGCTTTCTGACTTCTGTAGTTTTCCATCGATTTAATTTTGAAGGTAATGAACAAAGTTTACATGGTTCCAGTGTGCAGATTTATAAGTTGCACTTATAAAGGGAGTGGCAGGAGAGGAAGAAGTGAAGCTGGGAAACAACAACGCTTTCAAGGACCTAGGAAAGGGAGGTTGGAGTTGGACATAATCCCCTCTCCTTTAATGTGTTGCGCAAAAACAAAATCCAAGAAATTGAGTACAGTGTATGTGCCGTGTCTAGTTGATTAATCATTGAGTATCTGTTTGAAGCTATTTTTCAGTATCTTAAACTTTAATTTCATAGTATCATTTACTCTAACTGGAATCGGTACAAATACAACAAAAAAATTACATTTATATAGCGCCTTTCACGTCGGGAGGACGTCCCAAGGCGCTGGACAGTCAGTGTTTCAGACCCGAGCTGGGCGTCGGGGAGGTGGAGGTCAGGGAGGGAAGCAGGGAGATCGAAAGCAAGGTCGAAGAGATGGGTCTTGAAGGTGGTAAGGGAGGGGGTGAGGCGGAGGGATTGTGGGATGGAGTTCCAGAGGTGGGGGCAGAATGGCAGAAGGCCCGCACGCCAATGGTGAGGTGGGGGATGTGAAGCAGGCCGGAGCCCGCTGAGCAGAGGGAGGGGGCAAGTTGGTAGGGTGTTAGGAGGTCACAGAGACAGGGGGGAGCAAGACCGTAGAGGGCTTCGAAGGTGAGGGCCAGGATCTTGAACTGTATCCACTGTGTGATGGGAAGCCGGTGGAGTTGGGCGAGGCTGGGAGTGATAGGGTCGCGGAGCCTGGTGCGGGAGAGGACACGGGCTGCAGAGTTATGGATGATGGAGTTGGGGGGAGGAGTTGGGGAGGCCGACAAGCAGTGAGTTTGCATAGTCGAGCCTCGACGTAATGAAGGCGTGTATGAGGCTTTTAGCGGCCTGCGGTGTGAGACAGTGTCGGAGCCGGGCGACGTTGCGGAGGTGGGGGAAGGCAGAGCGGGTCATGGCGCAGATGTGGGGTAGAAAGGATAGTTGAGGGTCAAACAAGACCCCAAGGTTGGATGGTGATGCTGTCAGCGTCTAAATGTCTAAATTATATATTCTTGCTTAAATCCCATCAAAGATCCAGTTGTTTAGCTTCAAACAGGTACTCAATGATTAATCAACTACACAGGGCACATGCACTGTACTCAATTTCTTGGATTTTGTTTTTACGCAACACATCAAAGGAGAGGGGATTATGTCCTCCCTTTCCTGGGTCCTTGAAAGAGTTGTTGTTTTCCAGCTTCTTCTTCCATCCGGCGTGGAGGGCGCTGTATAAATCCAAGTTGTTATTGTTGTTTAATGATCCAGTTGTAAAGTAAATAGATTTGGCAGTCACAAACTATCAAAGTCTGTATTTTTTGAGTTTCATTGTATGGTTTGATTGTATTTACTGTCAGTTTCAATTCTTCACTTGTGTTGTGAATTTTGCACATTAAGAGCAGTGTGAATCTGATGTCTGTCATTGTCATGTAGTGGTAATTATTTGTAGTTTTACACTTTGTACTGGTACCATTATTTCTAAAATGATCAGTGCAATAGAAATTGACAAGTACAATGATGTTTACTAAATATCTCTGGAATTTCTATGTATAGGTGGGAATGCATGGATCTCTGTTTGATTTGAATACTCATGATAATGGGGTTCTGCATGTGTAAGACATCTGGTTGACAACCCCCAAATTACTGAATAGACATTTTTGTACTGAAAATGAGTTCAACTTTACAAAATACACTCACTTTTAGATAAGTCTTTAATGTTTTTGTGCCACCAGTTAATTTTGTTTAATGTTTGTCAACAGGCAGCTGATATACTTGAAGTGAGACAGAAAAGAAGAATCTATGATATCACCAATGTGTTAGAAGGAATTGGATTGATTGAGAAGAAGTCCAAAAACAGCATCCAGTGGAAGTGGGTAAAAATAGCTGAATGGTTGTTTGTAAAATACAGTGGAATTTGTTTTTGCCGGACGCCGGTTAACCCGATTTTGGTAAATCGACCAAAACGCCCTGAATCATTTCTTTATTACCTGTTTTAAATATACCTGTTAATTCAGTCGAAAATCTCTTTAGTCCAAGCAAAATGCAGCGCTGGTCACCCCTGAATGTACTCATTTCTGTGGTGTTGAGCGCCTCCATTCAGCTACGAGGGGCTCCCGGATGTAGATGGGAATGACAGCGGACTCCAGCCATTCACAAGCGGCTGGAGTTGGGCTGTCAAACAGTGAGGGGGCGGAGGAACGGGGAAGAACAAGGGAGGGAAATTGTGATTTACTGACAGCTGACCTGCTCATCTGCCGCTAATTGGTTCCTAAATATATTTTACTAATTGTGTGAGTATTTTAACTGGTTGGTTAACATTGCTTCAGGTGAAACAACTTACAAAATATACGGCATCAGCAGCACTCTTCTGGACAGGAAGGGTATTTGGGTTAACCTCGGACACCTCTTAAATCGGACAAAATGTCTGTTCCCGGTTTGTCCGGCTTAATCAGCTTCCACTGTGTGTGTGTACATGTATATGTATATACATATATATATTAGTTTGAAATGTTTTTTCTGCATTGAATTGTTACCAGTAAAGTTCAGTAGTTATTGTTTCAAGAAATCCACAAAGTGAATTGTATCTTTATACAGTAGAACCTCACTAATCCGGTCAGTCAAGTGATTGGGCAAAAGTTACCTACTCAGTGAGGTGACCAGATTACTGAAACAGGATTACACAGGATGACCATAGTCACCTTTAAAATTACAGAGGATGAACATTAAACAACCGTAATTTGCTCTCTCACTAAAATAAAAGCATTGTCACATTTAAAACAGATCTTAGGTTTCATTATTCAAAGTTCACACGGAGCTCAGGTGAAGCCGCAGACCCCGGGCAAAGTCGATTTTCCGCACGTGCCTCTTCCGCGATCCTCCAACGCTCCCGACACTGCGCAGGCGCGACCGGAATTCACTCCGCCCACAATAGCAGCATTGAGCAAACAGCGAGAGAGGCCCGAGGCTTAGCGCACTGTGTACAGGTTAGTAGCGGAGGGGGGCGTTTGTACCTGAGGAGAGCACTTGTAGCCGCAACAATGACCGTTGTACTGAATAGTGAGGTGCCCGGTTTACTGAAGCCGACAGACTATCTTTTAATATTGATGATGAAAGAGACTGAAAATGTGCCCGCAATTGTGGATTACTGAGGTGATCACAATCCGTGTTCGTACTGTACATCAATCAGCTGTAACTGGAGCTTTTTTTCTATTAATAGTGGCGTTGGTCCTGGGTGCAACAGTAAGGAAATAATAGATCGATTAAAACATCTCAAGGCAGAGATTGAAGACCTGGAAATTAAGGAAAAAGAACTTGATCAACAGAAAATATGGCTGCAGCAGAGCATTGAAAATATAACAGATGATACTCATAACAGCAGATATCCTTTGCAGCTAAATTGCATTCAGTATCTGCACAAACCCCATAATCTGAGATTGCACATTATGTCCTTCAGATGAGATGTTAAACCGAGGTCCTGTCTGCCTGTTCAGGTGAACGTTAAAGATCCCATGGCAATATTCGAAAAGAGAAGGAAGTTTCTCCCGGTATCCAGGCCACAAATCCCACGAATAAAATTGGTCATTCACTCCATGGCTGTTTGTGGGACATTGCTCTGCGTAAACTGGCTGCTTGTTTCACCCACAAAATACACAGTCAATTCTATTTTACAGAATATCCTGTGATGCGCTTTGAGATGTCTTGAAAATGTGATAAGGCGTTATTTCAAATGCAAGTATTATTACTATTACAGGATCTTTACTTTCCGTAAAACACTGGAAATTTTACTGAAAGTTTCTAAGGCACTTAAATGGCAATTTCAAAGTGGCATTAAGCTTATGGGTTTGAAACGAAGTGTGTAGAAACCATTTGTGGCAGATTGCAAAAGCCAATCAACTTCTCCAGTCTCTCTGACGTGTGTGGTATTCTCCTTAACAATTTTACATTGGCATATACCACTCATGAAGATGTCTGCAAGTGTTTTCAAGGTTTGTGAGACTTATTCTTACTCCTCATAAATTAATTTTTTTAATTTTTTTGTGTCTTAGGTTTTCTCACCAGTTTATTTTCTCAACTGATCCCAGGCCTCTGCTACTGATACTCTTTGGTACCTGACAATGCCTCAAAAAATCACTTTGTGGTACACATGTGTGAGTTTCCCTAAACTGTTCAATTCCAATTCCTAAATCCTCAATTCAGCATCTATCCACATCAACACAGCTGAAACTAGCTGCTTTGTGCAACCCCATTTTTGCCATGTAATCTCCATAATTAGGCAAGGTTGTCTGGAGTACTAGCACACTATTTATCTTGCAGTGAAGGGATAGATGTATTCTGCGTGGTACTAACTGTCTGAGGAAGTAAAGTCACAGTACCTGTTGTGGAGAAATGGAAAGTTGTGAATATAGTCATCTTCACGCTGCACTCTTGCATTTACTGGTCATTATTATTATATTATAATTGTATAAAAATTCTTGCAGTTGTATTAGCAGAAGTTGGTTAAAGGAACCGGGAGCAGAGAAGAACAGGTGTACCTGCAGAGTTAAGGAGAGAAATAATGACCTTGGGGCAGTTTAAATCCTGAAACACTCTTTAGTTCTACAAGCTAACAAAAGGGGAAATCTGAGAATTCATTTTAAATCTACACCAGTAATCCACAGCATTGCCTTTCGATCCTATGTGAACTACGTTCTATGAGACAAACATGGTTACTATGACATCTCCATAATGATATGAAGTCTGTGAGGAAAGCCAATGTCTGACCTTCATAAGACATCAAAGTTCTTGATGTAATGGTGTTTTTAAGTAACACAAGTTATATAGCTTGTATGTAGCTTTTTATAAAACTTGGATTGTAATGCTCTGTGAGATATTCCCGTTCTGTTGCAGGTGATACATTGCTTGCCATCCAGGCCCCTTCTGGCACACAACTCGAGGTACCAATCCCTGAACTGGTACGTTTCACTAAGATCTAGTACTTTCCTTGTTTCAGGACAGCCTATCCTTCTGTTTTAGTTTGAAATTTAATTTAGCATTTTTGCACTAATTTGCTAAAGTGTAGCCGTTCAGGTTATAAGTATAGCCTAGCTTGCTTGCTGCTCCTGGCCGAAAGAAAAATGATGGGGACCTTGCTTGCACTGCTCTAACTGTTGTGTTTCCTGAGGATTTCTAACCCTGCTCACTAAATGGCAGCATTTAAACTTACTGGGTCTTGTGCTCTATGTGACATTTAACTGAGTGCCAATACGCAATGATGTGTGATAGCATCAATGCATGCGTTACGAAGTCCCCTGCATATTTATAATAATAATCCTTGCATTTGATATAGTGCTTTTCATGTCTTCTGGACGTCTCAAAGCGCTTCACAGAATATACTGTAAAGTGAATTGACTGTATATTTGTGGGCGAAACGCGGCAGCCAATTGCGCACAGCAGTGTCCCACAAACAGTCGTGGATTGAAAATGACCAATTTATTATTGTTTTGTATTTTGGAGGGATTATTATTATTAGGCGTGTGGAGTAGGGAAACTTGACCAAGGTTTCGCCCTGACCTGCCTGGAATTGAACCCAAGTATCTCGCTTGCAAGGCGAGTGCTCTAACCGCTGAGCTACAGGACTCAACGATGCACAAAATTGAGCTAAAGTAAATGTAGCATAAATGTTAAGTATTTATTGTTGGGTTGAGAAGGGTGGTTTACACCCTGATCAACCGCATTCATTAAAACTTTGGGGGTTAAATGCTGCTGTTTGGATTAATGTTGGTCTTTTTACAAATACACCAGATTTCCATTTAATGTATTCCCAAAGTTTCAATTGTGTGTTGATGATGAACTGCTGAAAGGCAGGTGTTCACTGATATTGGAAGTGAGGCTGTAGGATCTATTTTTAGCCAAACCATCAATCAGTTCATGGGTATTGCAGCTCAGTTGCATCCCAGCACGTTGGGACGTCCTCCCAACGTGAAAGGCAATATACAAATGAAATTTGTTGTTGTGTCATTGTAATGTAATATTCCTGTGATTTTATTTAAAGGGACCAAATGGACAAAAGAAGTACCAAATTAATTTGAAGAGTCAGTTGGGACCTATTCGTGTTCTGCTCATTAACAAGGAGTCCAGCTCTTCCAAGCCAGTGGTGTTTGCGGTTCCTCCTCCAGAAGACCTAATGCAGCTACAGCCTGAGCTTGCAGCAGCATTGACCCCACAAAAGTTCCCTGCGGCTTCAGACCAAGTTATCTCCTTAAAAGAACCACAGTTTCTACAGGTTCCATTGACCGAGCAATCTCCTGGTAAATATTTGCTAATTGCATCAAAGATGATGTAGAAACGTGATTAGTATGAGGTACAGCTTTAGTTGTGGTATTTCTATGTAGTCGCTGTAGAATCTAATTTGCATCTTGTCCAGAATAAGAATGCAGATTAGTTTCTGGAGTGTTTAGACGTACAGTGGAAGCCGGATGCATCAAGATCGGACATTTTGTCCGAGTTAAGAGATGTCCGAGGTTAGCCGAAATATCATTGCTGCCCAGCAGAGGAGAGACCCCGTATAATATGTGATCATTTTATGTTATAATAGTTGTTTTACTTGAAGCAATGTTAACTAACCAATTCAAGTCAAAATACTCTCTCAGAATTCAGTAAAATATACTTACTTTTGTTTGGCTGCAAAATACAGTTCAGTACTTTCCCGCTCATTATTGGAGCCACGTTCCCTCCCTCCCATTGCTGGGAAGGTACCAGTTAGTGGCGGATTAGAGGTAATTGACAACCTGCAGCCATTTATGAATGTTTGGGCTCCAGCCACTCATGAGCGGCTTGGCTGTCAATCAGTCACAATTGCCCTCCCTTGTTCTCCCCCATTCCTCTGCCTTCACCCCCCCCCCCCCCCCCCGCCCCCACTGATTGACAGCCCAGCTCCAGCCGCTTGTCAATGGCTGGCGTCCGCTCCTCCCATCTACATTCAGGAACCCCTCGTGGCCGAATGGACACACAGAAAGCCTGAGAGTACATTCAGGGGCAACCAGTGCAACATTTTTCCCGGATTTCCAAACGAATTAGCAGGCATATTTAAAATGAGTAAGAATACAAATAAATCGGGGACGTGCAAAAGTGGACGTATTCCACTGTATTACTTAAATTGTACAAAAAGCTATCACGATAATGCTAACATTGGTGGCAAAAAAAATGAATCTAGATCTCATACCAATTTGCGTATCCAACCAGCGTTCTTCCTGTTACAGCATCAAGCTGTTGCTTAAATAGGTTGTTTCTGCCATAACCCACCTGTTGTGTTTGCTTTTCCTGAATATTCAAGTTATTCAGAATATAAACTAAACCCCCAAAATTTAATATAATCATGTTATACATAGTTTTAAAAAAAAATCAAAAGGTTGTACTTGCACTCAATTGTTTTCCTTTTGCACAGCAGACTGACTTAATTTTATTTGGGTGGGCGTATTGCAAAACCTTTCAGCTTTCTGCTTTGTTCTAAATGATTGGATGTTTTTTACTACTGTGAGAAGTATAATAGTAGCTTGCAAGTTTTTCCGCTGCTGTGTTTTTTTTTGCTCTAATTCAGTAGTCTCAAAAGTCTGGTCTTTTGAGTTCATTTGCTGCACTTTATGTGTAACTTTCTTTCAAAATTCAGATTGTGGCCTGGAGCTGTCTCCCGTGGTACCAATTACCCTCTATTCAAGCATGGCATATCCACCAGAGAATTGCAGAGTAATAACTCAATCAATACCTGAATCAATGGCAAATGGTTCACAGTCGTTACCATCAATAAATATTGGAGGCATTCTGAAACATTCACCAGCCTCCCATGAGCAAACCAAGATGGAAGATTCTGGTGGTAAGAAAATCTGAAGCATTCTTTGTGGAGTCTGCCCAGCTGTTTAAATTTCTCAGTCTTGCTTTGTGTTCTCTGTCGAGAATTATTCAGCACTTGTCATTTGGTATTAAATGTTAATTATCCTTGCATTTATCACATCGTCAAGAGGTCTCAAAGCGCTTCACAGGATTTATTGTAAACTAGTTTTTGACTGTATTTTGTGGATGAAATGCAGCAGCCAGTTGTGCACAGCAATGTCTCACAAACAGCCATGGAGTGAGTGACCAATTTTATTTGGGGATTTTTTGAGAGAAACTCCCTTTTTTCGAATAGTACCATGGGATCTTCAAACATCCACTTGAACAGGCTGACGGGACCTTGGTTTAATGCCTCATCCATAGGATGATATTCTAACAAGGCAATGTGTAAAACATGAACTATAGCTCCTGCGATCTGTTTTGTGTTTCAAAACTAAAACGAAGATGAACATTTTCACTTTTCTCTTAACATCTATGATAGAAAGAAGATAACCTTGGATCACCTACTACTTTTTTTAATGTACTGCATAAGCTGTACTTGCTTGGCTACAAATACAGTCACTATAATTTATAGTAAATCCTCAAGCTTCTAGGGGAAGTAGGAAATCATTTCATAACTATAAAACATTATTGAACGCTACTTCAACTGAAGTATTCAACAGTGTTATGACTGCAAATGCCTTGAAATAAATGTTGCACAATCTGTTCCTCTGTATTTAATTTATACCTACCGGAGAACCTAGTTGCACATAATTGATTTTTTTTCTTAATTTGCCTGTAATTAAATCTCAAAATAAAATTGCATTACTTCTTATTTCAGGAGCAATAGATGGGGATATTATGGATGAATTTATGTCATCAGATGGTAAGTTTTTCCAATGTTCAATTACTTCCTATGGGTATATTCTTCTGCAAACTTTAAATGAAGTTAACACTCCACATGGCCATCATCTCACAGTCAAACCTAAAGTTGCCTAAATGATCTTTGCTCACTCTATTGTGCATAAATTGCATTCAGACACACATGAGATTTTTGACTGGATTAGGCAGCAGAAAAAAATACTGTAACTGATCTTCAGTGCAGCTTTGTTCTGTTAAGTCAAGAAATGAAATAAAAGATGTATTTGAAGTATTTTCAAAGAGTTAGGAAGACCTGACCTGCTATGCTTAATGTCAGTTCTTCCCCATTTGTTCAACACTCCATACATATCCAATGAGTACAGTAAATGGTACTTTGGTCTGTGAGCACTTGCAATTTCAGACCATGCTAGCGCATAACATAAACACTTAAGTAAAGACAGGAATGCTCAGTGAAAGAATACATTTTTATCTCTGTTGCCTTGAGAGGTGGCCTTGCGACAAACTGTCTACGTATTTGACTGGAACTCCCCCAAAACCCATTCACTCCTTCATCTTCTCTCCCTATCTTCAATCATCTTAAAAACCTACCTCTTTGGTCACACTAACTCTTCTATCATTCTCACTTTAATGGATGATTCACATCATTCTTTATGAAGTGCTTGGAGACATTATCCCACAGGAAAGAGCCGATATAAGTGCATTTTATCCATTAAGTGAGCTCTGCACAAGTAGAGGTCATCCATTCCCTGTTGTGGGTCATCTCCACCTTCAGAAGATGCATTCAACTACCCAAATTGCGAACTTTTGTTTGGTAGGGGATGTGCATTAAAATCTAAAATAAACAAAAACAACAAGATTACATTTGTATAAAATGCAAGATGCTGCATTAAAATCTAATTTCCCAAAGAAATAGACTGCCTAACTTAAATCTTTTGTCATGTATACAAGAAAAGCTGTGTACATGTTGTTTAAAAATGCTCTCTTCATTGTGCATTGGAGGTGGATAAAAAAATATTCGTGCCATGGTTTTCCTGAAGTGAGTGAAAGTGGCAAGAGATTTTAACAAAGGTATGATTGGGTTTGAGCTCCGTCCTGAGCACATGCCAAACAACATAAGACTGGGTTTTACTGAACTACTCAACTCCAGACACAAAATTTGTTTCCTCTGTCTTGGAAGGTAATTGGAAGATTTGCTCAAAACTTGGAGCAGAGCAAGACATATATCCAAAGCAATGAGATTGCTTCACTGTGGGTCATAATTCGTTTAAGGATCCATTTGCTTTTGTTTTTTCTCTGTGAGATGTAAACAATATTCTAATTAATTGTATTTAATAATATAATAATCCTTGCATTTGATATAGTGCTTTTTACATCTTCTAGATGTCTCAAAGTGCTTCACAGAATATACTGTAAAGAAAATTGACTGTATATTTGTGGGCGAAATGCTGCAGGCAATTGCGCACAGCAGTGTTCCACAAACAGTCGTGGATTGAGTGACCAAATTATTTTGAGGGATTATTATCCCCGGAAAAGCAATCCGCCAATCGACTAACAACCGGGTTCCTACTTAATGCTAGGTAAACAGGAGTTTGGAGTAAGGAAACTTTGCTTAATCAGCTAGACCACAATTATAGTGTTCAGTTTAACTGCTAGTTTAGAATTGAACAATCTTTTAGCACAGAACAAGACCATTTGACCCATCATGTCTGTTTTCTTCAAATCTGAGATCCATTGCTAAGATAATTTTTTTTCCATCCCTGGAACACTGTCTACCTGCACTCTTACAACAACCCATCTAAAGCTGAACTCATTTGCTGATGTTTCCAGTGGCTCGAGGATAAATGGCTCTCTTTGCCAGCGTTTCTAGTTCCATGTACTTAAAATCGTCTTCATCTGTACAGGTTTTCTGGAGTAAAAATGGAAGATTGTCTGATAATTACTTCAGACAGACTGCAAATTAAACATTTAAAATGTCTCTGTCCTGTCTCTTCTCCCCCCCACCCCCCATCCCCCGAGGCTTGGGTGAAACAGCTTAGTGTCCCGAAAGGCTTAGTTTCCCCAGCAGGTGTTAACCACAGATTATTGTTTGACAGAAAATAAAAAGCTAAAAAGAAAAGCTACGAATGATAAACACCACGGAAAATGCTGGAATTGCCCAGCAGGTCGATCAGCATGTGAACGATGAAGAGGTAGGTTAATGTTTTGACTGTGATCCTTCATCGGAGTTCTGGTGAACGGTCACTCTCTAAAGGTTAACCTATCTTTCTCTTCCAGATGCCGATGACCTGCTGTGCATTTCCAACTTTGCTTTTATTGCTTGTGGAAACTCCATGTAGATAGCAATCTGGAACCATTTACTGGTAAATGTTCATCTTGTGCAGTGCAAATGCAATAGTACTTTAGATTGTTCCATGAGTGGCAAACTGAAGAATTCTAAATTAATTGTACAGAGGCCAACCCCAGTATAATGTGATGGTTTGAGTCCATGCACTAAGATCCTGTGTTGAATCTAGGCATGCTAAAAAAACAAGCTGCCATCAGCTCTTCTGGGTCATCAGATTGCTGCTAATGTCACTTCCTGTGCGCTATGCGTAGGCAGTTAGCCGGTTGAAGACAGGAATGCATGATGTGTTAAAAGGGACCCGCTGTATAGTGAAGTTTGTTCAACAGGGTGTAGCCTGCAGGTTTCTAACTGGAATAAAATCTCATTCAACAACTTCACGTGCGGGATTATGTTTCCGTTATGCATTTATGATAAATAATAATCCTTGCATTTGATTTTGCGTCTATAAGACAAAAGCCCTTTAGAGGTGAGTACTGTTGAGTCTTGTGTCCGTTTTTCTAGGCCATTATGGTAGTCAGTTTGTATACAACAATGTCCCACAGACAACCATGAGACGAATGACCAGTTTATCTTTATTCAGAAGATTGTTAGCTGGGATAATGGCAAAGACTCCTGTATTCTCAGGTGTAGTAGAATACTATCCAACCGTCCGTTGAGTATCTATTGATATCAGGCTTCAAAACCGACATCAAATTGGACTGCAATGTCAGGATTTTTTTTAGTATCCAGGATCACTATTCTTTATATTCTATTCTATATAAATGCAAATTGTTCTATTAGTGTGACTGACAGACAGTGAGGTGGACAGACCCTGTCCAGATGAGTTCAAGATTAGAGAGAGAGAGACTCTCTTGACGTGAAAGGCACTGTATAGATGTAAATATTATTGAATACAAATGTAAATGTGTGTTTATCCACACATCCAATAAACAAAGTGCTTTGATGCAGAAGTCAAGTTGTGGCTGCAAGGTGTGGAATTAGTTGCGTAACAGCTGTGAAAACATGCATACTGAACTGCTGTTGTGCATCATAGAATCTGACCACAACCAAAGAGTGATTTATGCAGCAAAGATAATATTAATAATCTTGCATTTAATATAGCGCCTTATCACGTCTTCAAGACATCTCAAAGCACTTCCCAATATATACTATAAAGTGAATTGACTGTATAATTTGTGGGCAAAATGCGGCAGCCAATTGGACACAGCAGTGTCCCACAAACACCAGTGAATTGAGTGACCCAATTATTTTTGAGGGATTTTCATCCCCGGAAAAGCGATCCACCAATCAACTAACAACCGGGTTCCTACTTACTGCTAGGTAAACAGGAGTGTGGAGTAAGGAAACTTGCCCAACATTTCGCCCTGCCCGAAAATCGAACCCAGGTCCTTGCTTGCGAGGCGAACGCTCTAACCACTAAGCTACAGGACTCCATATAAGTTCAACATATAAGAACTCGGGACCTTCCTAGTTATAATGTGTGGACCAAACTGTTCACTGCATTACTTATTATTCTACCTGTTCCTCCTTCACCTGTTCACACTGAATAAAATAGTCTGCTTAGTTTACGTCCATTATGGGGAAAATTCTAGATACTAAATGAGTAGGATAATGTGCAATAAGTATTTCTATGATAATTTTTTGCATAATATGCAATTCTTTAAATATTCTAACAATATTTGGAGACTATGAAGCAACTGAAGTTTTATCTGAAGTTAGCTTACTGATCAGATAGTTTCTCATACTGCAGAATTAAACGACAAATTTAAGAGTACATCAGATCATTATTGCATTTTGTTTGAATTGGTTATTTCCCCCTGATAATGAGCTTTTACTTTATTCTACAGTGTTTCCTCTACTTCGGCTTTCCCCTCCTCCGGCTGATGAATACAGTTTCAACCTGGATGAAAATGAAGGTGTCTGTGATCTTTTTGATGTACAGATTCTGAATTATCGGTTTTAACCCATATGACCAGCATCCCTGAGCAGTCATATCTACCTCGGGTCCACCATTTCAGCCTTCATAGACTACATCATTCCCGTCTTTTGACATGCTCTTGCAGCATTCTGGTGGACAAGAATTGCAAGATTTCAGTTTGTAAATTATTTTCCTCACAAGTCCACATCCTCATGACTTCTTCTATAACGATTAAGTTTGTTGCATAATCGTAGTATGTAAGCCATCCTAGACTGTTCCTCACACCCTGCCCCACATTGCGATGATACTGCCACAAATAATCTTAGTAGTATTGAAACAAAAAGTACTTAATTCACCTAATATAATTGACTGCCTTTTTGAGGGATTGGAAGAGAACTTTGATTTTTTTATATCTGCACTCTAAAAACATTTTAAGTGCTTTTTTGTTCTTGCACTTTAGGAGTGTTCTCTTTCAGATCACAAACTTTAGATTTCATTTCAAGCATTCTCGTAATGCGTCGTTTTCACTATATAGAGCCTGCCTCTTTAATAGATGGACTTTAGACCAGTTTTGCTGTACATTTCTCTTGTCATTCCAACATGCTTTCTAAATTGGAGGCAAAATGTGAAACAAGAAAAGTTATCCATAACAGTAATTGGTATTCTGCTTAACTGCATACTATTCCAATGTCTTCCAAGTATGTACTAAAACCTACTGGTATAGTCACTGTAACTGACCACTGTGAAGATCAAAATATAAAAAAAGTTGAATTATTGGTAAATTATGCAAATAATGTCAAATATGTCTTGTCTCTAACATTAAATGTTTTTGAATGAACATTTAACACAATGTAGATAATTCTACTTGAGCCAGATTGGAACTTGTGCATCTTTGATGACATGTTTGCAATTTGTATTCTATATAAGTAGATAATAGCATTCCTTGGAGTGCCTTTAGTTTAGACTCTTTGTTTCATTCAGTTTTTATATTGACCAAAGTTTGTTTGTTAAAAAAGGCAAAAAGGATTAAAGCATCAAGTGTCTCAGCTCTAGTCTTGTAATGTTTTCCATAAGAATTCCAATTGTGTGACTGACAAGTCAGAGTGCTAGAATCCAGATTGAGCTACTTGCTGGGTCTAGGATTGCTAACTAGTGAATGAGATGTGTTTATAGACGTGGTGTTGGTGTTCTTGAATCCACATTCAAAACTGTGATGCTGCCCTGACCTAAATAACTTGATATTAGCACAGAACACCTATAAATAAATTTAAAAATTTAAGCTTTTGTACTTCACCACTAGGTAGCACTGCAGATCTGTGTAAAAGTGGTATATAAATTGAACAAAGCAGTTCTTGGTCGAAGAGGAAGGTCTTCAGATGTGATCTGAAGATGGGGAAGGAGGAGATAAGACTGAGGTATTGAGGAATAGAGTTCTGTAGTTTCAGAACCAGGAATTACATCTAGAATTTAAAATAATAATCCTTGCATTCGATAGTGACTTTTGTCGTCGAGACATCTCAGCGTTTCACAGGATATACTGTAAAGTACTTTGCACTGTGCATTTGTGGGTGAAATGCAGCAGCCAGTTTGTACACAGCAATATCCAACAAACAGGTCTGGCATCAGTGACCAATTTTATTTTGGGGATTTGTTGGTCCGGAGACACTCCCTTTTTTCGATAAATGCCATGGGATCCTTAATGGCCATCGGAACAGGCAGGCAGGACCTCCGACAATGCAATACACCCCAGCACTACATTGGAGTGCCATCTCGGACACTGTGATTGCAAGTCTCCACATGGGGCTTAAACCCACAACCTTCTAACTCAGGTGAGAGTGCTTCCACTGAGCCACACATATAATTTGGGACTACACATTTTACACAGGGCACTAGCTTTACAAAAATTAAGCAGTTTTAATTGTGAGCCACATGAACGATGTAAAAATAGTGTTTCAGATTATTTTACCTAGAACAGTTATTCATAGAATGTTATGGCACAGAAGAAGGCCATTTAGCCCATCGAGTCTGTGCCGGCTCTTTGACAGAGCAACTGGCTTTTATTAACCCCACTCACCAACTTTCTCCCCATAACCCTGCAAACCTGTCTTCCCCAGATACCTATCCAGTTCTCTCTTAAAAGCTGTTATCAAATCGGACTTCACTACCCTTTCAGGCAGATCATTCCAAATTCGAACAACTCGCTGAGTGAAAACATTTCTTCTAACCTCCCCTCTGCTTCTTTTGGTAGATATCTTAAGACTGTGACCACGGGTCACAGACACACCTACCAGCGGAAACAGCTTTTCCCTATCTAGCCTGTCGAAACCTTTCATGATCTTGAAGACCTCTATCAGGTCCCCGCGTAACCTTCTCTGCTCTAATGGGAAAAGTCCTAACTTCTCCAGCCTGTCCTCATAGCTAAGGTTCCCCATTCCTGGTATCATTCTCGTGAATCTCCTCTGCACCCTTTCCAGTGCCTTAATGTCCTTCCTGAAGTAAGGTGCCCAGAACTGGACGCAGTACTCCAGCTGAGGCCTAACCAGTGTTTTGTATAGATTAACCATAACCTCCCTACTCTTATACTCTATGCCCCTACTAATAAAGCTCAGTACACCAAATGCCTTTTTTACTGCCTTATCTACCTGCCCCGCTACCTTTAATGATTTGCTTACTTGAACACCCAGATCTCTCTGTACGTTCACCCCCTTAAGATTGAGCTACCAAGTCTATATTGCCTCCTATCATTTTTCCTACCTAAGTGTATCACCTCACACTTATCCACATTGAAATCCATCTGCCACATGTCAGCCCATTCCACCATTCTGTGTATGTCTGCTTGCAGTTGGTTACAGTCCTCCTCACTATTTACTACCCTACCTAACTTTGTATCATCTGCAAACTTGGAAATAGTGCTCTCTATGCCCAAGTCCAGATCATTAATATATATTAGAAAGAGCAGTGGTCCCAATACCGATCCCTGGGGGACACCGCTGCACACCTCCTTCCATTTCGAGAAACACCCATTAACCACCACCCTCTGCTTTCTGTCACTCAGCCAGTTCTTAATCCAAACTGCCACTGTCCCCTTAATACCGTGGGCCTCTAATTTTTTTATTAATCTCTTATGCGGTACTGTGTCAAAAGCCTTTTTGAAATCCATGTAAATAACGTCCACCGCATTTCCCTCATCAACCCTCGCAGTCACCTCTTCAAAAAATTCTATTAGATTTGTTAGGCAAGATTTGCCTTTAACAAATCCATGTTGGTTGTCTCTAATTACCTCGTGTTCCTCTAAGTAGAGATTTATTCTGTCCCGGATTATGGTCTCCAGTAGTTTTCCTATTACCGAAGTTAGGCTGACTGGCCTGTAATTTCCGGGTTTGTCTTTCTGCCCCTTTTTGTAGAGGGGGTAACATTAGCCACTCTCCAGTCTCTTGGCACCACTCCTGTGTCCAATGAAGATTGAAATATAATGGCCAAAGCCTCCGCTATTTGAACCCGTATCTCCCACAGCAACCTTGGGTGAAACCCATCTGGTCCTGGTGACTTATCAATTTTGAGCCCAGTCAATCTTTTCAGAACTTCCTCTCTTGTCTATAGTAATCTGATCTATTTCCTCTACCTTCTCATCCAATACTGCGGCATTTGGGGCATCCATTTCCGTTGTGAAGACAGATGCAAACTACTCGTTCAGTACATCAGCTATGCCCTCTGCCTCCGCAACAAGATTGCCGTCATTGTCTTTGATTGGCCCCACCCTACCTTTAACTAACCTTTTTTCCTTTATGTGCTTGTAAAATATTTTAGGATTCCTTTGTTACCTGCTAATCTCTTCTCATGCGATCTTTTAGCCTGTCTTATCACTCTTTTAAGATCACTCCTGCATTCTCTATAATGCGCTTTGCTATCCTCAGTTATAACCAGTGTTGAGCATTTACAACAGTTAATCTCCGTAACATCGCCCGACTCCGCCACTACCTCACCCCTCAGGCCACTGAAACTCTTGTTCATGCCTTCATCACTTCCAGGCTCGACTATGCAAACACCCTCCCTGCTTGTCGGCCTTCCCAACTCCTTCCGCAGGCTGCAGATAACCCAGAACTCTGCAGCCCGTGTGCTCTCCCGGACTAAACTCCATGACCCCATCTCCCCCACTCTCACCCGACTCCACTGGCTCCCTATCCTTCAGAGGATCCAGTTCAAGATCCTGGTCCTCACCTCCAAAGCCCTCCAAGGCCTCGCCCCACCCTACCTCTGCGACACCTAACCCCCTACCAACCTGCCCGCTCCCTCCACTTAGCCGGCTCTGGCCTGCTCCACGTCTCCCGACCCACCCGTCCCACCCTTAGAAGTCTTCAGCCACTCTGCCCCCAACCTCTGGAATTCCATCCCCCAATCACTGCCTCGCCCCCTCAGCCTCCTTCAAGCCCCACCTCAAAACCCTCCTCTTTGACCATGCCATCAGTCAGCCCCTTCCCCTCCCTTCTCCCTCCCTGACCCCAGCTCGGGTCTGAAATGCTGTACACTGTCCAGCGCCTTGGGACATCCTCCCGACGTAAAACAAATGTAATGTTGTTGTATCCTTTTATTACCACTGATATTCTCACTCTAGCACAAGTTAATAAATCTAGGGCAGTCTACTCTTCGTGGTGAAGATTCAATTAGCATCTCTATATAAATAACACAATAATAATTAGTAAATTAATAGCAACCTGAATTTTGTTTAGCAGAAAATATTTGAAATGCTTAGTGGGAAAGGACAAACAGCAAAATTACCAATTATAAATACCAATAACAGTGTTGAGGTGTAAATTTTAAACAGTGTGTCAAAAACAAACCCCTATACTTGTTCAAATAATGTTTTTTTCTCTCAGTGCATCTCTGCATACCAAATGAACAAAATATTTATTTCTGTGTTCCAAGGGTGTGGTTTTAAATGGTATATACCCACAGCTTGTGCACAGCAATGATAGCGTTATCTTATTGGGACACTGAATGGACGAATGTTGCTGGACAGTCCTGAACAGCTACTCCCTTTTTCATGTGTGCCTTTCCCCTTTTCACAGCTGTTACGCAACTCTTATCCAGGTCAATCTGTTTCTAAATATTAACAGAGGTAGCTGGTACATCCACATTTAATTGTTTTACTGTTAAACGATGGAAGTTCCCACAACATTGATTTCTTATGCCAAGTCTCTAAAAGCTTTATGAAAGTAGTGCATTTTAACCCTTAGAAAGCTGGTAGAGCCAGATAATTCCAGCCTTTCTGGAGTTTCTTGTGTTTTGAGGTTTTAGCTCAAGATGATACTGCAAATCTTAAAAGTTATTATAATACTAAACCTTTCGTTTGATATAGCAGCTATCACATCAAAACACTATAGGATTTCCTGTAAAGTGTGGTGACTTTTTTTGTAGGCAAATATAAATAGTGCGAACATTATTGTACTACTATTCACACGTAGAGAACAAATGTCTTGATCGTAAATTAGCTCCTTTAAACTATAATAAATGTTTAGAAATAAAATAGCTTTGGTTTCTCTCTTTCCTATTTTGTCACCATTCTCTCTCCCTCCTATTATGATTTTAATTTTATTTTAGAACTGTCTTTCACTTTTTAGAAAAAAATAAAATAGCTTATTTGTTTTCCAGTTACTCTTGGGACCAGAACACAAGCAAGGATATGTAGAATTGGATAGAGAATGAGTGGATACCTCATCAAGAAAGATTGCAGCTTTTCTCTCTAAAGTTGAGTCGACTGAGAGGGGACCCTGATAGATGTGTTAAACATTATGAAAGTAATTTAACAAAGGGAATGTTGATACTGTTTCCACTTTTTGGTGAGTCCAAAACTAGAGCATAAAAAGGTAGTAAGTAGTAGAACCAATGGGGAGTTTAGAAAGAACTTCTTCACGCAGACGGTGGTGAGAATGTGGAACTCACTGCTAGAATTTGTGGTTCAAGCAAAAAAATCAAAGTAGTTAAGAGAAAACTTGATGCGTACATGAGGGAGAATGGAATAGACGGGTAGAGGAAAATAATAATACTTGCATTTGATCTAGAGCCTTTTCACGTCCTCAATGTCTCAAAGCACTTCACAGAATATGCTGTAAATTGACTCTATATTTTGTGAGTGAAACACAGCAGCTAATTGCGCACAGCAGTGTCCCATGAACAGTCATGGATTCAGTTTTTTTTAAAAGAATTATTTGTCCTGGAAAAGCAATCTGCCAATCGACTAACAACCAGGTTCCTACTTACTACTAATAATAATAATCCTTGCATTTTATATAGCGCTTTTCATGTCTTCTAGACGTCCCAAAGCGCTTCACAGAATATACTGTAAAGTGAATTGACTGCATATTTGTGTGCGAACGTGGCAGCCAATTGCACACAGCAGTGTCCCACAAACAGTCGTAGATTGAAAATGACCAATTTTTTTTTGTTTGTTTTTGGAGGGATTATTATTAGATGTGTGGAGTAAGGAAACTTGCCCAACCTTGCAAAGCGAGTGCTCTAACCACTGAGCTACAGGATTCCACTAACCACTGAGCTACAGGACTCCGCCTTACCTTACTACTAGGTAAACAGAGGCATGTGGAGTAAGCTAAGTTGCCCAACATTTTGCCCTGCCTGGGAATCAAACCGATTGCGGGGGTCTCTCAATTGAGAGACGATTGCTGTAACCACTGAGCTACAGGACTGCATGCAGGAGTGGAATATACACACTCATGTGGAATATAAACGTCAGCAAATGACCGGTTTCTCACTCGTGTGGAATATAAACATCCTAAATGACCGGGTTCCATGCTGTACATTCTATGTAACTGAAGATAGTGGCAGCCACACGTTTAAAAGGATGAGTTTAGTCTTTCAATGATGTTTCAGTGCGTCATTTCCACACAAGGTTAATTGTGAGCCTCAGCAGAACAAACTCTTGATGTGTTAGCTAATCACTGGCATTCAAATGATTAAAAACATCCTTACAGTATTGTGTACAACTTAAATAATCATTACATTGGGCAGATGTATTGTGCAGGATTTTACAATTCATATGTTTTACAAAACACTTTACATTTCACATTATAATTGATGTGACCATACAAGCTGTTCAGTGCGTGATTTACACTCAGACTGTAATGGGTGCCTTAACACATCCTAAACCATTGGCTGAATTTAGTTTGTAACAAATTGAACCATTAAACAAGATTCCCAAAGGGCATTGTTACAATGTGCAATCTGTTAAATTGTCACTGCTGCTTCATGCAGGGTTCCCTAGGTGTAAGATTTCAATATATAATCCAACGGTGAATGGACCTTTAACTCTTCCTGCCTGACCAAAACCATGAGATTATGATCAACATCTGCCAGTCAATCCTGCCAGTTAACTGTTCTCTGTGGCTCACTTTAATTATCCTCTCGCTTAAGATCAAATGTCTCATCATGCTTTGCACTGAGCACTATTGATTACAGCTATGAATTTTTGTGTTATATAAATAGTGTAGTCTTGGGTCTGCTCCAGGACGTGACTGGCCTGGAGTTCTGTATTTTGTCTCTTCATCTATTTTGCAATCAATTGCCTGCCATAGAAACATCCATGAGAACTACAAAAGTCAATCATAGGAGTGCTGTGGCTCAGTGGTTAGAGCACTCGCCTTGCAAGCGAGACACCTGGGTTCAATTCCAGGCAGGGCGAAACCTTGAGCAAGTTTCCTTACTCCACACGCCTAATAATAATCCCTCCAAAACAAAAAATTGGTCATTTTCAATCCATGACTGTTTGTGGGCACTGTTATGCACAATTGGCAGCTGTGTTTCACCCACAAATATTCAGTCAATTCACTTTAGTCTATTCTGTGAAGCGCTTTGAGACATCTAGAAGACGTGAAAAGCGCCATATCAAATGCAAGGATTATTATTATTATATATTATCATTGACTTCCAACAGAGGGGAAGAATTTTTTTTTGTCAAAGGTAACAATGGAGCACCAATACAGACTTTGTATTGTTCATCAAAATGTGGTAAAATAGCAGAATGTAAAACCTGCAAAATATCATAAAACATGGACAAACCCTCTGCTCGTGTGGAGATCCCTGACTGTCCAGCGCCTTGGGACATCCTCCTGTATAGAAAGACGCTATACAAATGTAATTTGTTGTTGTTTTCAGAGGTCCTGCACTTGAGTTGGTTAATCCCCATGCATGTTTCCATGTCCAAAATGTTCTGTTTTAAATTTTTCACTGGTGCTAAAACCTAGAGTGTCCAATGCATAGTAAAGGGTCAAGCAAATCGGAGATTAGTTATTGAAAATTTATTGGTTAAAAGTCATTTTGAATCAGTCCTGTGATTAACATTGCCATACAAGATTTAAAAAGGGATTATAAAGAACAAAAATCTGATGCATCTGAAATAAACAGAAAATGTTGATATTTACACATCTTTGTCTCTGATCCCCAAGCAACTTTTGCACTTCCAACATTTTCTGTTTTAATTAATATAATTTTCCCCCAAAACGTGACCTTGGGATTCTCCACACTAAGGCTTACGATTTGCTCTTGAACGCACAATCGCTCCAAGTGGCTCTGATGTCACCGAACGGATTCTCCATTCATGTAAAGCAACCACCAGAGTTTTGACAGAAGAAGGAAGATGAAGCCTAATCCTCGCACATTTTTATTTACACGCTGACTTGTCCATTTACAGTAATTATTCAATTTACAGCTGAGAGAACATCTGAACGGCAGCATCCACGTTAAGGGGTTCAGCAGGTGGTGGTTTGGCAATCTGCAACCAAAAGCAAAATACTGACATATTAGCAGTGAACTAATTATTCACGAGCTGCCGAGTTTGGGATGATCTGCAGCTTGTGAAGGGAAGAGTTGGGAAGGCCGATGAGGAGGGAGTTCCCGTAATTGACATGGAGCAGTCAAAATCCACTAATTTCTAGTTCTGGGGTAAGTCTCTACAATCTAATGTCCTGGCAATTCCTTTACAACCTTTACCCAGGATCAATAAGCAACAACATTTTGCATTTATATAGCATCATTCGTGCAGGATACAACAACAAAATTACATTTATAGAGCGCCTTTCACATCGGGAGGACGTCCCAAAGCGCAGAACAGTCAGGTGTCGGGGCCCGAGCATTGGGGAGGGGTGATGTAGGGGTGAGGGAAGGCAGAAAGGTGGAAGGTTGACCAAATGCACGGTCGAAGAGAAGGGTCTTGAGACCGGCCTTGAAGGAGGCGAGGCGAAGGGACCGTGGGATGGAGTTCCAGAGTGTGGGGGCAGAGAGGCTGAAAGCCCGGTCACTGATGGTAGGGCGGGTCAGGTGGGAGACATGGAGCAGACCAGAGCCCACTGAACGGAGGGAGTGGGGGAAGGCCATGGATGGCCTTAAAGGTCAGGACGAGGATCTTGAACTCGATCCTCTGGGGGATGGGGAGCCAGTGGAGTCAGGGAGGGTGGGAGTGATGGGGTCACTGAGCCTGGTGCATGAGAGTACACGAGCTGCAGAGTTTTGGATGATCCACAGCTTGTGAAGGGAAGAGTTGGGAAGGCCGATGAGGAGGGAGTTCCCATAGTCAAGCCTTGATGTGGGTGAGGGTTTCGGCAGTCTGAGAGTGAGGCAGTGGCAGAGTCTGGCAATGTTGCGGAGGTGGTGGTTGGCAGTGCCGGTCATGGCACGGATGTGGGGGAGAAAGGATCAAACAAAGAAAGGGTCAAACAAGACACCCAGGTTCCTGACTGGCCTAGTGAGGCTGAGTGTGCAGTCATGGATGCTGATGCTGCCAGCGCCTGAGGTGCGGAGGCGCTGGCGCGAGCCAATCATAAGGGCCTCTGTCTTGCTGACGTTGAGTTGAAGAAAGCTGGCCCTCGTCCAGGATGCCAGTAGTCCTGGAGTTGAGGGTGGAGGCAGAGAGATAGAGTTGGGTGTTATCCGCATACATGTGGAAATTTACCCCATTTCTGCGGATGATGTCACCAAAGGGGACCGAGGACAGAACCCTGAGGAACATCACACGATGTGCGGGGCTGGAGGAAGAGCTGTTTGCCGCAACGAAGTGGAAGCGGTGTGAAAGGTAGGACCTGAACCAGTCAAGGACCTTGAAGGTTGAGGTGGGAGGAGAGGCGGTGGAGGAGGATTGAGTGGTCCACGGTGTCAAAGGCGGCGGAAAGGTCGAGGAGGACGAGGAGGCAGAGGGAGCCCTGGTCACACATGGTCAGGATGTCGTTTGTGACCTTGACCAGAGAAGTTTCTGAGCTGTGGGCAGCATGGAAACCCGATTGGAGGGGCTCATGGAGCGAGTGAGAGGAGAGGAAAGAGCGAAGCTGGGAGGCAACGGCTCTCTCAAGGACCTTGGATAGGAAGGGGAGATTTGAGATGGGCCGGTAACTAGATAGCTGTGATGGGTCACTTCTCGAAGCACCATGAGGTGGTGGGGTTAGACCGAGCAAGGGAAAAGGGGGAGGGGGAGGTCACATGGGTGCAGTCGAAGAGGTAGATCTTAAGGTAGAGGGTGAGGTGGAGGGATTGAGGCAATGAGATAATAATAATAATCCTTGCATTTGATATAGTGCCTTATCACGTCTTCCAGATGTCTCAAAGTATTCACAGGATACACTAAAGTGTAGTGACTATGTGTTTTGCGGGCGAAACAGAGGTAACAGAGTAAATACAGAGGTAGGTAGCACATAATCTCACCTGGTTGAAATCACACACATTTCCTTATCTATATGGCCCAGATTCAGAAATAGAGGAACTGTCATGATCAAAAGCTGATTTCTTTTCCCACATCAAATGTTATAAAAGTGTCACCATGAAGATATCATGCTTGAAATCAGCTGAAGCAATTTGGTAATCCAAGTAATTAATGGACAGTAGTCAGATGGGTTCATCGGGCATAGTGGAAACGTGTAAAAGGTTCAGTTACTTAGTTTCTATGACCTTTCTCACCATTCGAGATCAAACACTGCTGCAGTGGTGATCCGTTAACAAACAGCTGTGATTCATAAATTCCCAACCAGCACTGGAGTAGGGAGCGATCGCCAGACAGCACCTCCAGCTCACCACACAAACATCTACAGACAACACGGGAATGGCTTGGGAGGGGGAGGGGCGGGAAGATCATAATCATCAACTTCTGAATATCAGGTTACCACTGTCATCACTTCATGCATGTTCTGCACACAGGCGATGCGCCAGGGAATTGCCCATGTGTTTTGGACAAGTTAAAGTCTTGGTCTAAACCCAAATTGCCCAACACACACAGCCATGTTTTAGTGAAATACTTCATAACAGGGTTCCAGGACCCTATCCCGTTTGAAAGGCGTTTTATAAATGTAAGTTGTTATTCCATTGCATTTTCAATATTTCAACAGTTTTTTTCCCCCAAAGTTGAGCTACTTATGAAATAGTTGCCGAGGATGTTATTATAAGCATAATAATCCCTGCATTTGACATAGCATCTTACTCCACCTCACCAAGCCAGTCAGGAACTGAACGTCTTGTTCGACCCTCAACTGCCCTTTCTCCCCCATATCCGTGCCATGACCCGCTCTGCCTTCACCCACCTCCGCAACATTGCCCAGCTCCGCCACTGGGTGCCCTGTACTTTCTTCTTTGAACAACAATATGCATTTATACAACGCCCTTCGTATAGGATGATGGCTTAAGAGGAGGTGGTCCAATTTTTTGGTTGCCACAGGCCAGAGTGCCTATTTGAGAAAGATCCATGGGCCACACTCCAGCCTCGGCAAGCTGACAGCCCGCGGGCCACATCCAGCCCAGCCGGCAATTTTATCCGACCTGAGACCATTTCCAACATTCCAACTTCTGCTCCCTCCCTCCCTCCCTGGTGAACGTCCCATGGGCCGCTGTTGGCCCATGCTGGCTTAAAGACTTCACGGGACAGGGTAATGGGACAAAGTCTCCAGCTTTTCCCAAATTGAAGATTAGTTACCATTCAATGATCTCTCTCACATGCACACATTGAAACATTCCTGTCCATTAGCAGAAATGTCAGTTGTCTACCAGCTTATGAAATAAAATAATCCCTACATTTTATATAGTGTCTTTGAGAGGACGTCTCAAAGTACTTCACGGGATTTAATGAAAAGTGCAGTGATTGTGTATATTGTAGGCGAACACGGCAGCCAGTTTGAACACAGCCATAAAGTGAATGACTAATTTAATTTGGGGGATTGTTGGCCCCAGACACTGGGAGAAATTCCCTTCTTTTCAGATGGTACTATGCGATCTTTAACATCCACCTGAAAAGGCATGCAAGACCTATGAACATCTGCACAATGTTACATCCGAAGAATGGCACATCCGACAATATGCACCCCACTACACTGTATTGGAGTTTCAGCTTAGATTATATGAGTTCAAATTCCCGATGTGGGGTTTGAACCCGCAACCTTCTGAATTAGGTGAGAGTGCTAATCCAGGCTGACACACACAGTATATTGCCAGGTGGAGATGTATAAGGTTTATGGTCAGGCACGTTCAGTAACCTATTGAGGATTCATTAGAATAAAAGAGGCTTTTACCTGAACTGCTTTCTTTGAAACTTTTGGTATATCTTTGGATAAATTTTTAACTTCTTTTTGTACTTCTGTGAATGCTTTGTTGATTTTTGCGACCTTTTCTCTGTTCACGATATTAACCTGTTCAGAAACAAACATTTAAAAAGCTCAATGTAGATAGCTGATATAGAGGGCCTCACATACCTTACCTGAACCATAATCCATTTAAGTTGTGCACTCTCATTCAGAGACAGTGACAGCTGCAAAGATGTTCAACAACAACAAGATTACATTTGTATAGCGCCTTTCATGTCGGGAGAACATCCCAAGGCGCTGGACAGTGTACAGCAATTCAGACCCGAGCTGGGGTCAGGGGGGGAGAAGGGAGGGGAAGGGGGGTGGCCGATGGCATGGTCGAAGAGAAGGGTCTTGAGGCGGGACTTGAAGGAGGCTAAGGAGGGGATGAGGTGGAGTGACTGGGGGATGGAATTCCAGAGGTTGGGGGCAGTGGCTGAAGGGTCACCCACCAATGATGGGGCGGATGGGTTGGGGGACGTGGAGCAGGCCAGAGCCGGCTGAGCCGAGGGAGCGGGCGGGTTGGTAGGGGGTTAGGAGGTCGCAGAGGCATGGTGGGGGGAGGCCATGGAGGGATTTGTATGTGAGGACCAGGATCTTGAACTGGATCCGCTGAAGGATAGGGAGCCAATGGAGTCGGACAAGAATGGGGGAGATGGGGTCACGGAGTTTGGTGCGGGAGAGGTCACAGGCTGCAGAGTTCTGGATTATCTGTAGCCTGTGGAGGGAGGAGTTGGGAAGGCCGACAAGCAGGGAGGGCGTTTGCATAGTCGAGCCTGGAGGTGATGAAGGCATGAACAAGAGTTTCAGTGGCCTGAGGGGTGAGGTAGTGGCGGAGTCGGGCGATGTTACGAAGGTGAGGGAAGGCAGAGCGGGTCATGGCTTGGACGTGGGGAAGAAAAGATAGTTGAGGGTTGAACAAGACACCGGGGTTCCTGACTGGCTGGTGAGTTGTAGTGTGTAACCATGGAGGTTGATGCTGCCAGAGGCTGAGGCGCTGGCTGAGCCAAACAGGACGGCTTCAGTCTTGTTCACATTCAACTGTTGGAAATTTGCCCTCATCCAGGACTTGATGTCCGACAGGCAGTCTGTCAGGACAGCAGTCCTGGAGTTGAGGGTGGAAGCAGAAAGATAGAGTTCACCTCTAAAGGTACACTGGTACACTGAGAGCCACCTCCTCTCCCTTAAAACAGCTTAACTATGTAAGTCATTAACAAAAGCTTATTAAAGGTCATTACAAGAGGCAGAGAACAGTACTCGAGGCTGGATTTGCTTTATACAAATTTGGGAACATTCCTCAAAGCAAGTGCCAATGTGCAAACAGAGAAGACAGCAAAACAGCCCAAAGTGCATTCATCAAAAAAAAGAGACTGAAAGGATCTCATTGTCGCTGAATAAATGCTTTTAAAATAATCTCTCTTCCAAGCTATGAGGCAGTGGGTCGCAGTTACTTACTTCCTAACTATTATAGGGTGATGCGGTTGTCCATTTTATTACTGCCCATGATATCTATAACTAATCACTCCAACCTGAGTAGCGGTCAATGTATCCATAGCAACTCAGCTGCCATGGAAACCTTCAAGTTGTCTTGAAAATCACAGTATAAAAACTATTTAAAGTCATTGACCATCGAGCCACATACCCCATCCTCCATAAATCAAAACATGTCTTCTACACGTCTCAAAGCGCTTCACAGAATATACTGTAAAGTGAATTGACTAAATTTTGGGGCAAGACGAGGCAGCCAATTGCTCACAGCAGTGTCCCACAAACAGTTGTTTTTTTCTTGAGGGATTATTATCAGGCGTGTGCAGTAAGAAAACTTGCCCAAGGTTTGGCCCTGCCAGGAATCAAACCCAGGTTTCTCGCTTGCGAGGTGAGTGCTCTAACCACTGAGCTACAGGACTCCTCAACTGAAAAAATAGAAGCCATCCTCCTTAGCTCCTGCCAATGACTCCTTGCTTCTGGCTCAGACCTCCTGAACCTCCCTCTGCAACTCACTGAATCAATATTTAACCATGGCTTTTGAGTTTGTCTTGGCTCTTTCCTCCCACTCACATTTATTCCCTGACCAAAACCTTTCTGCAACTTTGCCACTTTGTCCACCTTTGCCTATCCCCACCTTATCCACCTCGACTATCACATGCCTGAAACAGGACAGTCACAGGTTCGTCACTTCCAGAATCGACTTTTCAAATGGCCTCCTCACTGGCATCCGCAGCTTCCCCATCCACCAGCTCTCGGTCATCTAATACTGCTACCCACATCCTTACCTTCACAAAGTTTCACACTCCCACCACCCTCATCCTCGCTAGGCTCCTATATCAATTTTATGATACTCTCCCTCACCTACTAATCTCTTCAAACACTCTCTACCTCTATGATCATCTCCAGGCTTGTCTTCTTTATCGTCTTCCTCTGCTTGTCTCCTCTGTTCAGCAAAGCTGGGTCCTCCGCTCCACCATCATTGGCAAAAGCCTTCAGCTACTGTGCTCCCACCACCTGGAACTTGGAACTTCCTCCCTTAACCTCCCTCCCTCGTTATTTTCAATTTTAGGCCCATGCCTCTTCCCCACTCCCTGCTCAAGGACCCCACCATCTCTGTATAGTGTTCCAAGATGTTACATTATGTAAAAGATGCAATCTAAATGCAAGATGTAGTCTGATTTTTTTGTGAGTTTTGTGATTTGTTTGCTAACTTTGAATCTGTCAAATTCACAAAATGGTCAATTGCTTTTTCCAGAAATTGCCAAATTGTGAAAAAGAAGTCCAAGAGTGAAGTCATCTTTTATAAGCTCCTAGACAACCACTGGATAAAATGATTCAAGCAAAACACTGCTCCCATTCACTCAATGAAACAAATAAATCAATCTGGGAACAGAAATCTACTCTGATGACAAGCAGACTGCCCACAGAATGGATTCCTGTAGCTTCGTGGTTAAGAGCATTCGCCTTGCAAGCGAGAAGACCTGGATTTGATTCCCGGCAGAGCAAAATATTGTGCAAGTTTTCTTACTCCACAAGCCTCTGTTTACTTAGCAGTGAGTAGGAATCCAGTTGTCAGTCAATTAGTGCATCGCGTTTCCAAGGATAATAATTCCTTCAAAAACACAATTTTTTTTAAACAATAATAATTTGGTCACTCAATTCACGACTGTTTGTGGGACACTGCTGTGCGCAATTGGCTGCTGCGTTTCGCCCACAAAATGTACAGTCAATTCACTTTACAGTATATTTTGTGAAGATCTTTGAGACATCTCAAAGACGTGATAAGGCGCTATATATATCAAATGCAAAGATTATTATTATAGAATACCATCAGTAGAGGTCGCACAGTTTCACAAATGCAAATAGATAATTGGCTTGAGTGCTATTAATAAAACAAACCAGTAAAAGTATTAACACACACTGGGGAGAGGCACTGGGAGAGAACAATGAAAGCATTAGCTTGCGAGGTCATGCTACTCTATTTCAGTTAACGTCTAACAGGAAGGAGCGGAAAGATAAAACAGTCATAAACACCTCAACACAAGCTTCAACCTCAAACGGAGAAATGCTATCGCCGTATTAATCGATAAATTGCTGAATGCTACAGGGAATGTTCTGTTCGTAAAAGTCCTGAGCAGTTTCCTCCCTACCCAGCAAATCTTTCAATGGCTGCTTTTATGCTCAATTTAGAGAAACTTTCAATCATCTAAAATGTCATTGAGTAAGCAGAAACCAATGGCTTTAATCCAGTTCAAATACAAAATCCACCCACACTGCTAAAGGCTGGTTTTGTGACTCAACTGTTAAGCGGAAAGACAGAAGGAATGAAAAGCTGTGCAGGAGCAGAAAATGGTTTATAATTATTTGAGATCAGCCAAGTGTCTGACACCTGTAGAAACCCATTACCATGCTTAAAAATATCCAAACCAGACAGAGTTCCACATATGTATGCTACTTACAAATTTTCCTGTGTCTGGAGTGGAATGTGTATTCCACTCTCTCCCTGGAGGGACGCACTTTTTGTTAATTCCACAGTATAAGGTACAGATTGGAAAGAAGCAAGGCTTAGGGACACCAGAGTGTACATTTGGGTACTACTGCTGGAGATTAACCAGCTAAAACTGCACAGCCTGCCATTAATAGCACTGTCTGGCAAGCTTCCCAAAGACTGTCCGCTCAACCCTTTGGAGCTTTGGTTTACAGGATTAGCAGGACGGTAAAAGATGGTAAAAGTCATTGAAAAAGCTTCATCTGAGTCAGCGCGAGAGTCTTGGGTACAGTGCTACAATGCAGTGTGCGATGTGGGGAGAATGTATGCCAAGCGAGCACTATGTGATGTCAACAGCCTGACACACAGCAGTGCCTGTCAACAAAAGCAGCAATGACACGATTTGTACTTGAATTAATAGGATTTTGAATACTTGAATCAAAGGCATCTCTTGAAAAAACTGTAGCTAAATAATATAAAGTGAAGAATAGGCCAAAGAAGCCTGATCCTCAGCCCTATCAACTCCATTGAAGGTACCACCACCACCAACTTGAATTTATATAGCACCCTTCACACAGGGTAATGTCTCGGCGCGCTTAACAGCCTGAGTCCAAGCTGGGGAGAAAGTAACCGTAAGTGGTTGAAGTCTTCAGGCATGATCTGAAAAAGGAGGTGGGGCAAGACGGAGGCATTGAGGGAGACATTTCCAAAGCTTTGGGGCGTAGAAGCTGAAAGCAATGCCCCGATAGTGGAGCAGACGGGACAAGAGATGTGCAGGAGGTCGGAGTCAACCGAGCGTAGGTGGCAATGGTGGTAATGACTTCTACAGTTAGGATGCAACCAGTCTAGGAATCACAGGGCTGTTTTCCTTAAATTTAACAACTTTCATTGATATCGCGCTGTTCAGGCAGGGTAGCGTCTCAGAACACTTAACAGCGGCAGTTGACACTGAGCCGGGTAGAGGGAGGAGGTGACTGTAGGCATGGTTGAGGAGAAAGGTCTTCAGGTATGATCTGAAGATGGGGAAGGAGGATGCAAGGCAGGGGGATTTAGGAAGAGACTTCCATAGTTTCAGGGGCATGGTGGCTGAAAGCACGGCCGCCAATGGGGGAGCAGAGGGGGATGAGGGACATGCAGGATGTCGGAGCCAGCGAAGAGAAGGTGGTGGTGGAGAGTAGGCAGGTCGGAGGGATAGGGAGGTGCCAGGGCATGACGGGATTTGGAGACGAGTGTGTTAAGATAGGAAGCCAGTGATCCTGGCGAGGACTGGTCTGATTCGGGTACGGAGTTTAGAGCGGGTGAGTATACGGACAGCGAAGTTCTGAATCTGGATTTTGTGGATAGCGGAGCTAGGAGACCAGCGAGGAGGGCATTGGAATCAAATCTGAGAGATGAAGCAGCTCCAAGGATCCAAGAGCAGTGAGGGAATGGCGTGTAGTGAGTGGGATGTGTGGAGAGAAAGATAATGACATGCAGTGGAGAGCAAGGATGAATTAAGTGAGTGGTGCAAGGGAATGACATGCAGTGAGTGGGATGTGAAGAGAATAATGTGCAGTGAGTGTGGATTGTTGAGAGAGGAATTAAAGTACCAAAGCTCAAAAAAATTTTGAATATAATTATTTTTGTGGGGTACAAGTGTAAGTAATATTTATTTTGGCGGTGGTGTTGGCCGAGGGAGCTGTATAATTGGCAGCGGGTGAGGAGAAGCTCAAAAATTGTGACATTTGACATACTTTAGTTTTTAAAACACAAATCCAAGTGATTTCAAAAGTGCACACAATAAAGCTGTACCATTAGAGCTACTATGGTAACAATTCATCAACTGACCAACTGATAGTGGATCGAGAGTGAATAATCTCACCTAATAAAACAGTCAAATGCAAACAAAAAAGAGGTGAGTTAGAGGAAGCCAGTCCACAACTATGTCAAAAGCACAAGTACAAGGTGTGCCTGCCAGAGCAGAACTGATACAAAAATAGAATCTGATGGGGTGTGGAGAAAAAAGACACATTAAAAAAACAAGGTTTTCGGACGCTGTTACTCAATGGGGAAAATGGCATTATAATAACAATAATCCTTGCATTTGATATAGCGCTTTTCACGTCGGGAGGACGTCCCAAAGCGCTTCACAGAACACACTGTAAAGTGAATTGACTGTATATTTGTGGGCGAACGCGGCAGCCAATTGCGCACAGCAATGTCCCACAAACAGTCGTAGATTGAAAATTACCAATTTTATTATTGCTTTTGGAGGTATTATTATTAGGTGTGTGCAGTAAAGAAACTTGCCCAAGGTTTCGCCCTGACCTGCCTGGAATTGAACTCAGGTCTCTCACTTGCAAAGCGAGTGCTCTAACCACTGAGCTACAGGACTCCACATTTTAACATTAAAGCCATGTTTAAGGAATTTCAGTTTGTCAAATCTGCTTGCTCAGATGGTGGAGAGGAAAAGAGAAGGGAGTTTCTCTCCCTCTCCGGGTCCTGCCTGGCAATCCCCCAGATAAAATCGACCATTCACTTCCCGGCTGTTTGTGGGACACAGCTGTGTGCAAATTGACTGCTGCATCAGCCTACGAAATTCACAGTCACTACAAGAAGTCACTTTACACAAAAAAATCCTGTGAAGTGTTTTGAGAAATTTGGTAACTCAATCCCAACTGTTTGTGGGACACGGCTGTGAGCATTTGACGGCAGAAAAACTGAAAACAGGACTGGTGAATGATTTCATGAATATCACATCTAACCACTCTGCAGCAATTAAATGGCTTTGGTAAAACAGGAGAAGTAAAACCACTGAAGTGGACAGAAACAGCAAGTTATAAAAAAAATCCCCAGATCAGCAGATTTCGGAACAGCAGGAAGCAATTCAATACTTCAAACTGCAAAAATACATAAGTTGAAGAGAAGAGAAACAAGGCAAGACCGACCTAAAGATAAATATACCACACTTCAGCATTACTGATACAAATATTTTCTTTTCAAAGGTCTTGATGGCAAGATAAGGCGCGATATCAAATACAGTACATTATAAACAAAACACAAAATACTGCAGATGCTGGGAATCTGAAACAAAAACAGAAGTTGCTGGGAACACTCAGCAGGTCAGGCAGCATCTATGCAGAAAGGAAATTGAGTCACCCTTTCAGGTCCACGATACTTCGGCAGAACTGGGGCACGTTGGGAGGGAGAGGCTTTTAAGGGCTAACAGGGAGGGGGAGGCAGGGCAAGGAAGACAAAGGAGAAAATGGGTTAGAGGACAGGGGATGGTGGGTTAAAGAGGTGTTAATGATGCAAAACAAAGGGGGGACTGCAACAAAACAGGGCAATAGAGGTGTTAATACTGCAGAACAAAAAGGTGGGAGGAAAAAAGATTGCAACGAAACAGGCAGATCAGAGAGAGAAAAGTTGTGACTGGGACCAAGATGATATAATACCTCTGTTAGCCCTTAAAATCCTCTCCATCCCAACATGCCCCAGTTCTGACAAAGTGTCATGGACCCGAAACGTTCCTCACATAGATGCTGCCTGACCTGCTGAGTGTTACGAGCGACTTCTGTTTTTGTTACAGTACATTATAATATTAATATTATATATTATAATGATCTTGGCAGGTTTAGATCCTGTCATTTTGGTCAACAAAAAGACCTAAATTAACACAATTAATCTTTGATCCCTATTAATCTGGTATCTGACATTGCCACCTCGAAACACTATGTCCAGTCCTGCAAGTGGAGCCCTGCATCAGGCAAATGCTGAATATGTAATTGTCAATCTATCTGACTAAAAAAGGCCCATGTGGGAGGAAAATGGATTCAAATGACTTCTTTCCCCACTTGCTTGATTAGTCATTATCGTGCTTTGTCCAATTGAAAGTATGCTGAAAATCCTAAATTTTGATTCTTTCCCCTTCTCTCCTTTCAATCTCTCTTGTCCTCAAAATAATTAATTCAGTACAGGGGGCCAAGGAAGTTCTTGCATCAGGTGGTACCAGCAATTTCACTGCACTTCATTTCTCTTGCCGGAGCCGAGCACAGAACAGCTCTTTTCAGAAGCAACAGCTCACTGAATATTCAAGGAATCTAATTTTCTTTTAAATATTATGTTTCATGGACGCAATTACCAACTGTGAGGCAAGGCATTCCATTCTTTTGTTAACATCAAAAGAAGCCATCTAATTTGTAAAGTTTTGGAAACAGACAGTTGTGACTTCTGACGACTGGCAATAAAAAAGGGGCCAGAGAGAGAGAGAGAGAGAGAGAGCAAAGTTACAGAAATGTCTTGTTGTTTCTTTGAGAATATGAGAAAGTATTTACTAACCTTCTTGAGATTGGTGGTTACAGGTTTGGCTTTGCCTTTGGCCTTCGAGATGGCTTTGTTGTTGGCCACTTTGAACACATCATTCTGCTTTTGTGCCTTTGATTTGTTCCTTGCCATTCTTTCCCGCAATGTACTAGAAAATAGGCAAATGAAACAAAAATTGTCAAACCACAGGTTTCCATGACTTACAACTGCTGTCTATTTTCCAGCTTCATCTGGGAGTGACCTTAAGAATCCTGCATCTTAAAATATCAGACACAATGCACTGCTGGGAATCTTGGGTTATGTCTTCTTATAATAATAATAATCCTTGCATTTGATTTAGCATCTTATCATGTCTGTGAGAGTCTAAAAGCGATTTACAGAATATACGTATATTTTGTGCGTGAAACGCAGCAGACAATTGTGCACTGCAGTATCCCATAAACAATCGTGGATTGAATGAGCAATTTATTATTTTTAAAACATTTTTTTGAAGGGATTATTATCCCCGGAAAAGCGATCTAGCAATCGACTAACAACTGGGTTCCTACTTACTGCTAGGTAAACAGAGGCGTGTGGAGTCAGGAAACTTGCCTAATGTTTCGCTCTGCTTGGGAATTAAACCCGGCTTGCGAGGTGAGCGCTCTAACCAATACACTACAGGATTCCACAATAACAATATTCTTATAGGTAATATTAACTATCAAATGCAAGCATTATTATAATAGCAATATTAATGGCACCATTTGTCTGCAGATTATCTCCATAGATCTGTTTTTAATCTTACTTAAGAAAATGTTTGTTTATAGAATTCCTCAATTGACTACTGTGCAGTCTGAATCATCTAAGAAGGGGTGCATTGGAATTTCAAACACAGGCTTTAATAGTGAGTCATTACATCCATCAGCCTATTTATGGCTGGAGCCAAGTTATGAGGCTTGAGAAGACAAATTAGATTTTCATTTTGACAAGAGATTGCCACCAAATCACATCCATACATGGTCATGAACCACCAAATTGCCACCAAGTCACTTCCAGTTATATCATGAACAGCCGATTTACTGATCCCAAATAGACAGAATTTTACAAAACCTAGTTTATATTACTTGTAAATGTCATTCTCACAATCAATTCACGCAACCTTTATGCCCTGATTATGTATTACTGGCCTGGTTGACCTGGTTACCAGCCTGATCACTGACAGATATCATCACTACGCATTCACTATATTACTCTGCAGAATTCACTATATTCAGAACTCTGCAGCTCGTGTACTGTCCCGCACCAGGCTTCGGGACCACATCACTCCCACCCTCGCTCGCCTCCACTGGCTCCCCATCCCCCAGAGGATCGAATTCAAGATCCTCATCCTCACCTACAAGGCCATTCACGGCCTTGCTCCCTCCTACCTCTCCAACCTACTATCCCCCTACCTACCTGCCCGTACCCTCCGTTCCTCTGGCTCTGGTCTGCTCCACATCCCCGCCCCAACCGTCCTACCATCGGTGGTCGGGCCTTCAGCCTCTCAGCCCCGAGGCTCTGGAACTCCATCCCCCAGTGCCTTCGCCGCTTCCTCCCTTTCCTCCTTCAAGGCCGGTCTCAAGACCTTTCTCTTTGACCGAGCCTTCAGCTCCCCTCTCGACTCTCTACCCCCTCCTCACTCCCTCCCTTCCCTCCCCTCACCCTGACCATTTCCCCCCTCCTCGCTCCCTCCCTTCCCTCCCCTCACCCTGACCATTTCCCCCCTGCTCACATTGACCTCGTTACTGATGGGATAACTGACCTGGTTACCGGTGGGATTACTGACCTGGTTACCTGTGGGATCACTGATTTTGTTACCGGTGGGATTACTGACTGACCTGGTTACTGGTGGGATCACTGACCTGGTTATCGTGGGATCACTGACCTGGTTATCGTGGGATCACTGACCTGGTTATCGTGGGATCACTGACCTGGTTACTGGTGGGATCACTGACATGGTTACTGATGGAATAACTGACGGTCACCGGTGGGATGACTGACCTGGTTACTGGTGGGATCACTCACCTGGTCACTGGTGGGATCACTCACCTGGTCACTGATGGGATCAGTGACCTGGTTACTGGTGGGGTCAGTGACCTGGTTACTGGTGGGATCACTGACCTGGTTACTGGTGGGATCAGTGACCTGGTTACTGGTGGGATCAGTGACCTGGTTACTGGTGGGATCAGTGACCTGGTTACCGGTGGGATCAGTGACCTGGTTACCGGTGGGATCAGTGACCTGGTTACCGGTGGGATCAGTGACCTGGTTACCGGTGGGATCAGTGACCTGGTTACCGGTGGGGTCAGTGACCTGGTTACTGGTGGTATCACTGACCTGGTTACTGGTGCGGTCAGTGACCTGGTTACTGGTGGGGATCAGTGACCTGGTTACTGGTGGGGATCAGTGACCTGGTTACTGGTGGGGATCAGTGACCTGGTTACTGGTGGGGATCAGTGACCTGGTTACTGGTGGGCTCACTGACCTGGTTGCTGGTGGGCTCAGTGACCTGGTTGCTGGTGGGCTCAGTGACCTGGTTGCTGGTGGGCTCAGTGACCTGGTTGCTGGTGGGCTCAGTGACCTGGTTGCTGGTGGGCTCAGTGACCTGGTTACTGGTGGGCTCAGTGACCTGGTTACTGGTGGGCTCAGTGACCTGGTTGCTGGTGGGCTCAGTGACCTGGTTACTGGTGGGCTCACTGACCTGGTTACTGGTGGGCTCAGTGACCTGGTTGCTGGTGGGGATCAGTGACCTGGTTGCTGGTGGTATCACTGACCTGGTTACTGGTGGTATCACTGACCTGGTTACTGGTGGCTCACTGACCTGGTTACTGGTGGGCTCAGTGACCTGGTTAGTGACCTGGTTACCGGTGGTATCACTGACCTGGTTATTGGTTGAAGAGGAGCGGCGCACGCGGGTCTCTGTGACGTCAATGCTGTGCGCGGGGCCGGGAGGACCCGAGAGGAGCCCCGCGGCGCCTGTGTGCGGGCTGGTCGCCATGGCGACAGGGGCGGGGCTGGTTTCCGTGGTGAAAGCCAAAGCTTCAGGTGTCTAATTTGTACAGATTTAATTTACATCAGTAACCGAGTTGTCTCCCTTGAGGACCGTTTCTTACACGGTTTCAAAGGCACGAACCCCAACCGGCCGCTGTGCCACCCCCCCGAGCTGGGGACGCACAATGATAACCCTCGTGTTTGCCATCGCGCCTCATCATGTGTTCGGGACGTCTCAAAGCGCTTCACAGAATATTACTGTAAAGTGAAGGACTTTGTCGGCAAAACACACAGCAGCCAATTGCACCCAGCGGTGTCCCACAGATAGTCGCGGATTGAATGACCCGATTATGTTTTTAATAAAGTGTTACCGCCGGAAAAGGGATCCGCCAGTCGACTAACGACCGCGTTCCTACTCACTGCTCGGTGATAGGGACGTGTGGAGTAAGGAAACTTGCCCAGCGGTTGTTTCACCATGCCCAGGAATCAAACCCACGTCTCTCGCTTGCGAGGCGGGCGCTCCAACCACTGAGCTGCAGGACTGACTCCACATTGGGGTACTTTTGGCTGGTGGTATTTAGTTTTGTTTTTAGTATTTAGTCTGACTGTGACTAACTCTGACTGACTGAAACCGTCAAGGTGACTGAGAGTGATTGACCGACTGTGTCTGTGAGTAAACAATTATTGGCTGTCCACATATCGCCTCTGCTCACACCGCACATCATTTATTGCCTTCACTGAAATGGTGTCAGGTTTCCAGGTGTCAGTATCCACCTCAATACCATTTTGTGTGTCAACCTGATCCAATTGATAGCAGAAGGTTGCGGGTTAAGCCCCATGTTATATCTTTGGACTCATATCATCTAATCTCAAACTTCAATGCAGTTCTGGGGGTGTGCGGCATCGTTCGTTGAAGGTGCCGTCCTTCGGGTAAGACATTAAACTGAGGTATGTAGGTTCAATCGTTCTAAGTTATGAAAGTTCCCACTGAGTTTTGATCAATTGGGATAGCAAATCTCAGACATGATGACATGAACCCACTCCTTATCCAGTTTTGGACTTGGCAACTTGATATATGTCCTATACTGTAAGGTCAACCTTGCACTCTCACGGATCAGTAAGACAAGTGATGTGGATATCTTTAATGTCTTGATATCAAAACATACTGAAGAGGTTGCATCGCACTGCTTGATTTGTAATCAAACAGGTTAGAATGTTGGAGAATATCTTTATTTTTATTTCAGCAACAATTCAAGCAACAATAAAACCCAGACAATATAAGTTCATCCATGAACCATTTTAGACACTGGAATAAATTTTAACCTCGAGATTGATAGTAAGTAACCAATGAAATTCTACTTTCTAGAAATGTTTCACAGACTGGAAATATATGGGGAGATTCACTTTTATAAATTATTTCTAATCTTCTATTGCGTCACACACATGTTTTCTAAATTGTTGTAAAACACAAGTCAGAAATATTCTCAGTTATAAAACACAAGCACAAATCCTTGCATTGAGAATAAAATTATTCTGCAGGCTATGCAAAATTCTGGATTAGTACAGCTGAAAGAGCTATTTCTTAAATTTGGGCTCAATCACTGTTATATTGCTTCACCGTCACAGATCATGTTTGGTAAGTTCATGCTTTTATTGCTAACAATTTAGATTGGGTGTTTCACAAGCTCAGGTGTTCCAAAAATACGTGCTCATTGAAACTGCGTTTTTTTAGTGCCATGAGCCATGCAGGGTTAACAGCTGAATTAAATTCGAGGCTGAAGGATATGGCAAACATTCCCAAGGCATAATGGGCCATCGAGAACGGTTCTTTGTTTTTAAGAAATAAAACCCTTTCCAATGTTCTCAGTTTCTCCTGAAGGTGTTGATTCTTCCTGGCATATGGTTGCACAGACAACAACCAGGTACCCTCTGGTATATCACCAAGTGATTATAATTAAATCTAATTTTAATTACAGGTGACTATTTTGAAGAATGGTTGAAAGTGCACTGTAAGTGCAGTGACTTTCAAAGAATCCTCCAAAGAAATAATAATAACAATAATAATAATCCTTGCATTTGATATAGCGCTTTTCACGTCGGAAGGACGTGCCAAAGCGCTTCACAGAACACACTGTAAAGTGAATTGACTGAAACATTAACCATAGCACTGGGATTGAGCCCCAATTGAGCACAGAAAATGTAATGCAGGGAGGCTTGTTTATAAGGATACAACACTTTTATTTTCTGCACTAACTGCATCCAACAGGGCAGATTGTTCACTTGATCCCATGGACTGGTCTATCCTGAACCATCAGCTGGGAGGTTTCTCACTAAGAGAATTCAATTTATCAACATTTAAAAAATGAGGACTGAATGTCTGACAGGTCCTGGAGTGGAAGGTAGACACAGCAAGGTACCATCTACCTGCATATGGAAGTCAACCCCATGCTGGGACATAGTGTCACTAAGATGATGAAAAAGAGAGGACTGAGGGTACAGCCCTGAGGAATACTGCAATATCCAGGAAATGGCAGGAAGCCATTGAATGAGACAAAGTGGAGATACTTGTATGACAAACAGGTGGAAGAGGAAGGAGAAGCTAGAGAAGGATGTCAACAGTGTCAAAGGTGGCAAAGATAAAGAAGATACAGGGGGCCCTGGTTACAGGCAAGAAAACGTTGTTTGTGGTTCATTAAAGCTGTCTCAGTACTGTGGGTGGGACAGAAACTAGATTGGAGCGATTCATACAGGGAATGGTGGGAGAGGAAGGAACTGAGCTGGGAGGCATGAGGTGCTTGTTCCAGCACCTTGGGGAGATATTTGTAGATGGGGTGATAACTAGAGTTGGGGTGGGTCCAGTGTAGGTATTTGAGAAGGTGGCAACAAAGTGGAGGGAGTGTCTGGGGTGGTATCTTGGACTGTTTGAGTTGATACAGACACACTTGTGCAAGGGATTCGCGACTCATCAGCAAGCATGTGCACAGACTTGTTAGCTAGCAAACAGAAACCCACATGAAAAGACCTGTCTAAAGACGCAAACCCATCTGAAATAGCAGCAGTGATACTAGTTGTAATGGTAGATTTAATGTCATCCACTATATCAATGCCTAGTGTTGCTGACCCAGTCGAGGTTTTAGAGAATACCCTCTGCTCATAAAGAGGAGGACAAGATCGCATCTCGTTAGCCATCCTATTGATCCTTGCAACTAGATCTTCATGCAAACTGTTGATAGAATCACAAAGCTGCTGGGCATCCTTCCTTGTATCAGCACGCTCCTGCTGCATGGTGGTTTGCAAATTCCGCAGAGCTAGTTCGATATTGCCACACATGGCCAGCAACTTCAAACAGATATCGGATTCCATTTCACTTTCTTCATGTGAGCTACGACCAGCTTTGAGGTATGAGTCATACCTAGGACTTAGTGTTGGTAGGGAAAGCTTAGTAGTCCCCACATTCTCCTCTTTCAGTAAATCTTCCCACTCATTATCGTTCTCCTCAATATCTTTCAACTCATTCATATGTTTTCCTCTACTATGTGTCACAGCCACTTTGCCTGCAGCAAGTACAGTGCTTCTATCGGAGTTGATATTGTGTGTTTTTGGAGTATGTGGTGCAAATCTGGTTGACCTGGGTGAGGCCAAGGAAGGGGACCATCGATAAGAAGCCAGATCACTTCTAAGATCTCTTTTGTCATAATTTTGTCTGTTTTCTGTAGGAATAAGATGGTATATCAGGAAAAAGTTCATTATGAATAATAATAATGTGAAAGGCATATCTTTCATCTCATCAAAATGAATGCTTATTCTTTTCCTTTCACCTGGCTTATCCAGCTCTCCTCCATGAGTGATGTCGCATACTCCCATTATGGCCTCTCTGCCAAAGATCTCCACCATTCTGTCCTCATGTGGAGTAAGTTTCTTTATGGAAGCTGGCTCCCCTGCAATTGTTCTTCTTTCAGCAGCATTATATGCAATCTTTGCCTAATACATAAAGTATATGAAAAGCAGCAGGTTTTAATCATGAAATAATGCAGCCTTGNTTTTTTTCGCGTCTTCGATGCTGCATAAGTAATTTCAACTTTTTTATAGTTAATGTTGTCTCCAAAATATCTACTCTGTTGGCATGTGTTGATATAATATAATATGATATATTTATATAGCATTTCATGTAGCACCTTTCACATTAGCAAAACATCTCAAAGCGCTTCACTATTTACTGTAAACTTTCGTGGTTATGTATTTTGTAGATGAACATAACAGCCAATGTGCACACAATAATATCTCACAAATAGCCAATATTAAAAATAACCTATAATAATACAACAACAACAACAACTACAAGATTTCATTTATAGAGCGCCTTTCACGTCGGGAGGACGTCCCAAGGCGCTGGATATTTGGGTCGGGACCCGAGCAGGGGGGAAATGATCGGGGTGAGGGGAGGGAAGGGAGGGAGGGAGGAGGGGGTAGAGAGTCGAGAGGGGAGCTGAAGGCACGGTCGAAGAGACCGGACTTGAAGGAGGAAAGGGAGGAAGCGGCGAAGGCATGGGGGCTGGAGTTCCAGAGCCTAGGGTCTGAGAGGCTGAAGGCCCGGCCACCGATGGTAGGGCGGTTGGGGCGGGGGATGTGGAGCAGACCGGAGCCAGAGGAACGGAGAGTACGGGCAGATAAGTAGGGGGATAGTAGATCGGAGAGGTAGGAGGGTGCAAGGTCGTGAATGGTCTTGTAGGTGAGGATGAGGATCTTGAATTCGATCCTCTGGGGGATGGGGAGCCAGTGGAGGCGAGTGAGGGTGGGAGTGATGTGTTCCCGAAGCCTGGTGCGGGACAGTACACGAGCTGCAGAGTTCTGAATGACCTGCAGCTTGTGGAGGGAGGTGCCGGGAAGGCCGGCGAGGAGAGAGTTCCCATAGTCCAGCCTTGAGGTAATAAAGGTGTGGATCAGTGTTTCAGCAGCGTGAGGGGTGAGGTAGTGCCGTAGTCTGGCAATGTTCCAGAGGTGATGGAAGGCGGTGCCAGTTGTGGTGTGGATATGAGGGAGAAAGGACAGCTCAGGGTCGAACAGAACACCGAGGTTCCTGACCGGCTTTGAGAGGTGGAGAGTGCAGCCTTGGATGCTGATGCTGTCAGCGCCTGAGGTGCGGAGGCGCTGACGTGAGCCAATCAGGAGGGCCTCAGTTTTGCGCACGTTGAGCTGAAGAAAGTTGTCTCTCGTCCAGGACTCGATGTCGGACAGGCAGCTGTCAGGACATCGGTGGTCGTGGAGTTGAGGGTAGAGGAGGAAAGGTAGAGTTGGGTGTCATCCGCATACATGTGGAAGTTAACCCCATGTCTGCGGATGATGTCACCAAGGGGGAGCATATAGAGGGTGAAGAGGAGGGGACCGAGGACAGAGCCCTGAGGGACACCGCATGAGACAGTGCGGGGGCTGGAGGAAAAGCTGTTTGTGGAAACAAAATGAAGACGGTGGGAGAGGAAGGACCTAAACCACTCAAGGACAGAGCCTTGAAGGTTGAGGTGGGAGGACAAGCGGTGGAGGATAGCGTGGTCGACCGTAATGAATGCAGCCGATAGGTCGAGGAGGACGAGGAGGCAGAGGGAGCCCTGGTCGCAGATGGTCAGGATGTCATTAGTGACCTTGACCAGGGCGGTTTCTGTGCTATGGGCAGCACGGAAACCCGACTGAAGGGGTTCGAATAATGAATGGGTGGAGAGGAAAGAGCGCAGCTGGGAGGCGACAACTCTTTCAAGGACCTTGGACAGGAAGGGGAGGTTGGAGATGGGCCGGTAGCTTGATAGCTGCGACGCATCAAGGGAGGGTTTTTTCAAAGTGGGAGTGATGGTGGCAGTTTTTAGGGGAATGGGAACAGAGCCAGAGGAGAGGGACAGGTTGATGATGTCTGTGATATGGGGCAAGGAGGTGGAGCTGGGGAGATGTGGAGTGGGGATGGGGTCAAGGGAGCAGGTGGTGGGTTTCAGGGACAGGATGAGTTTGGTGACAGAGGGTGGGGAAATAGGTTCGAAGGTGTGTAGGGGAGGATGGGTAGGAGTCGGAGTCTGGGAGGGAAGGGGTGGGGGGAAGTTGGAGGGGGAGTGACCGCGGAGCGGATTCCCTTGATTTTGGATTCAAGGAAATCCAGCATCTCTTCACAGTGAAGGTTGGAGGAGATGACCTGCACGGGGTGGCGGGGATTTCGGAGGAGTTGGGATGTGGTAGAGAACAGAAGCCTTGGTCGAGGCTAGAGTGGAGCGGTAGATTTTGAGGAGGTCCAGCCAGATTTGTCGGTGGACCGTTAGGCCAGATTTGACACAGGTGCGTTCAGTGGCCCGCACCTGGCTCTTCAGTGAGCGGAGGTGGGTGGTGAACCAGAGGGAGGAGCGAGAGTAAGAGACAGTGATGGGGGTAAGAGTGTCGAGTGTGGAAGAGAGGGTGTTGTGGAGGAGGGTGAGAGCAGAAGAGGGGTCAGTGAGGGATGAAGGCCAGAGGGAGAGGAGTTCAGAGGACAATCCTTGCATAGGATGTAGCACCTTATCACATTGTTGAGACGTCACAAAGCGCTTCACAGAATATACTGTAAAGTGAATTTACTGTATATTTTGTGGGCAAAACAGCCACAGCAGTGACCCACAAACATTTGTGGATTGAGTGACCAAATTACTTCTGGAGAACTTTGGGTGGGGTACTCACAATGGCTGACCTTTTCACATCAAGGGTCTTCTTGCGGACTTCTTCCCAGGGCCATGTTGTTGACTCCACCGCATTTACTAGATCACGTACCTCCTTCCATGCCTTTAACCGAGCCTGGGCAGGCACTGAGATGCCACCGTATCCAAAGAGCGCACCTCGCCGTGCCACCACTGCGTCAATGAGGGCTGTGAGTACCACATCTGAAAACATGCTTTGTGTAGTTGCAGCACAGCTCTCTACACAGCAGAATCTACCTCAGACAGTTGTTTAAATGAAGAATTCAACATGAATACCAGTTAGGCCTTTAACCTGCCCTTGAAGTAATCTTCATATCCTTTTTCATTGTTTAATTGCCTATAAGGAAATGTGAGCTGATCTAATTACACCATATTTGTCTAAATAAGATAAATGCCGCTCAGCACGAGAACACACTAGGCCCAATTGACAGAGCTGGCAATGTCACCTTTCAATTACCTTGAGCTGATTATGAAGGAGTCAGGATCTGTGATAGTTGTAAAGTCCTGCAAAGCTGTCAGTGCAATGAAGAAGTGTGTCAGTGAGCAAACACTGCACCACATTACACAGCAGGACATGAGAGCAGCCCTGTGATATACCGACACAGTGAGTTCCCAGTCTCAGCTCAGGGAAAGTGCTGAATGGAAACAATTAACTTGAGATGCAAAAAATTCTACTAATACAATAATAATCCTTGTATTTGATATAGCGCCTTTTCAAGTCTTCGAGACATCTCAAAGCGCTTCACAGAATATACTGTAAAGTGAATTGACTGCATATTTTGTGGGCTAAACACGGCAGCCAATTGCGCACAGCAGTGTCCCACAAACAGTCGTGGATTGGAGTGACCAATTTATTATTATATGAAAACAGCTACTATCACCCCCATCTTGAAGAAACCTTCCCTTGACCCATCACAGCTATCCAGCTACAGGCCCATCTCCAACCTCCCTTTTCTGTCCAAGGTCCTTGAGAGAGACGTTGCCTCCCAGCTTCGCTCTTTCCTCTCCTCCCACTCCCTCCATGAGCCCCTCCAATCGGGTTTCCATGCTGCCCACAGCACGGAAATCGCTCTGGTCGAGGTCACAAATGACATCCTGACCATGTGTGACCAGGGCTCCCTCTGCCTCCTCATCCTCTCCGTTGTCTATGAAACTGTGGACCACTCAATTCTCCTCCACCGCCTCTCCTCCCACCTCAACCTTCAAGGTTCTGTCCTTGACTGGTTCAGGTCCTACCTTTCACACCGCCTCCACTTTGTCGCAGCAAACAGCTTCTCCTCCAACCCCCACACCATCTTGTGTTGTGTTCCTCAGAGCTCTGTCCTCAGTCGCCTCCTCTTCACCCTCTACATGCTCCTCCTTGGTGACATCAACCGCAGACAAGGGGTAAATTTCCACATGTATGCGGATGACACTCAACTCTACCTCTCTGCTTCCACACTCAACTCCAGGACTACTCGAGTCCTGACGGACTGCCTGTCCGACATCGAGTCCTGGATGAGGGACAACTTTTTCCAACTCAATGTCAGCAAGACCAAGGCCCTCCTGATTGTCTCGCGCCAGCGCCTCCACACTTCGGGCGCTGGCAGCATCAGCCTCCACGGCTTTGACCGTGCCTTCAGCTCCCCTCTCGACTCTCTTCCTCCTCCTCGCTCCCTCCCTTCCCTCCCCTCACCCTGACCATTTCCCCCCTCCTCTCTCCCTCCCTTCCCTCCCCTCACCCTGACCATTTCCCCCCTGCTCGGGTCATGACCCAACTGTGCAGCGCCTTGGGACGTCCTCCTGACGTGAAAGGCGCTCTATAAATGGAATCTTGTTGTTGTTGTTGTTGTTGAACACTCAACCTCACTAAGCCAGTCAGGAACTTGGGTGTCTTGTTTGATCCTGAACTGTCCTTTCTCCCCCACATCCACGCCATGACCGGCACTGCCTACTACCACATCTGCAACATTGCCAGACTCCGCCACTGCCCCTCACCCCTCGGGCTGCCGAAACCCTCACCCACGCATTCGTCACCTCAAGGCTCAATTATGAAAATTCCCTCCTCTTCAGCCTTCCCAACTCTTCCCTTCGCAAGCTGCAGATCATCCAAAATTCTGCAGCTTGTGTACTTTTGCGCACCAGGCTACATGACCCCATCACTCGCCTGACTCCACTGGCTCCCCTTCCCTCGGAAAATCAAATTCAAGATCCTCATCCTCACTTTCAAGGCCATCCGTGGCCTTGCCCTCTCTGATCTGCTGATGTGAAAGGCGCTCTATAAATGTAATTTTGTTGTTGTTGTTGCTGGTACACCAGCCACCTCCACTCCCTTAAGGGTCAGGTACGTGCCGCTGAATGCACCTGGCTCAAATCCAACTTAATGATCTATCAGCAGATCTAGCTGGACCTTATCAAATTTTACCGTTCTACCCTAGCCTCCACTAAATCATCCTCAAGACAATCTTGGAGACCAAGGACAACCCCAGGCTCCAATTCTCCATCACCAACCGGCTCCTCCATCCACCCTCTCACACCTCACCTATCCTCTCCTCCAACGCCAACTATGAGGCGATGTTGGACTTCGTCTAAACCAAAATCGAGGGGATCTGCTCAGCTGCCTCTGTCCTTCTGTCTACTATCCCCTCCCCATCTCCCCCTCACACCCCAGCCCCTACCCATCCTTCCCTCCACACCTTCAAACCCTCCTCTCTCACCACCGCTATAACCCACATGAAACTGACCACCTGCTCCCTCGACCCCATCCCAACCCCTCTCCTTACCTTGGAGCTACATTTCCTTGCCCATATCATAAACCTCCCCCTGTCCACTGGCACCATTCCCACCCCTTTAAAAACAGCTGGCATCAGTCCTATCCTTAAAAGCCTTCCCTGGACCCATCCCAGCTATCAAACTACTGCCCCATCTCCAACCAACCTTTCCTTTCCAAGGTCCTGGAATGAGTTGTTTTTCCCAGCTTCGCTACTTCCTCTCTGGCCACTCCCTTCACAAACTCCACAGCACAGAAACAGCTTTGGTCAAACTGACAAATGACCAAGGCTCCCTCTGCCTCCTCCTCGACCTCTCTGCTGCCTTCGATACCATTGACCACTCTATCCTCCTCCAACCCTTCTCCTCTCACCTCAACCTTCATGGCACTGTCCTTGAATGGTTCAGATCCTATTTCTCACATCATCTCCACTTCATCTCAACAAGCGGATTCTCTCTAGTTCCGCATTCCTCAGGGATCTGTCCTTGGTCCCCTCCTCTTCAATATTTATATGCTCCCTTTTAGTGACATCATCTGCAGACAAGGGGTCAACTTCCACATGTATGCGGATGACACTCAACTCTATCTCTCTGCCTGCGCCCTCGACTCCAGGACCACTGACCACAGATGTCAAGTCCTGGATGAAAGCTAACTTTCTTCAGTTGAACTTTAAAAAGATCGAGGCTCTCCTGATTGGCTCCCGTCAGCTCCTCCACATCTCAGACACTGACAGCATCACCATCCACAGATGCACAGTCCACCTTGCTAAGCCAGTCCGGAACCTTAGCATCTTGTTTGACCCTCAACTATCCTTTCTACCCCATATCCATGCCATGACCCACTCTGCCTTCCCTCACCTCCGCAACATCGCTCGGCTCCGCCACTGTTTCACACTGCAGGCTGCCGAAACCCTCATACACGCATTCATAACATCCAGACATGACTATACAAACTCCCTGTTTGTCGGCCTCCCAAACTCGTCCCTCCATAGGCTGCAGATCATCCAAAACTCTGCAGCCCGTGTCCTCTCCCGCACCAGGCTCTGTGACTCTATCAGCCCCATCCTCGCCCGACTCCACCGGCTTCCCATTACACAGAGGATACAGTTCGTGGAGTCCTGTAGCTCAGTGGTTGGAGCACTCGCTTTGCAAGTGAGAGACCTGGGTTCAATTCCAGGCAGGGCGAAACCTTGGGCAAGTTTCCTTACTCCACACAGAGCCTAATAATAATCCCTCCAAAAACCAAAATTAAAATTGGTAATTTTCAATCTACGACTGTTTGTGGGACATTGCTGTGCGCAATTGGCTGCCGCGTTCGCCCACAAATATACAGTCAATTCACTTTACAGTGTCTTCTGTGAAGCGCTTTGGGACGTCCTCCCGACGTGAAAAGCGCTATATCAAATGCAAGTATTATTATTATATCAAATGCAAGGATTATTATTATATATTATTATAAGATCCTGGTCCTTACCTTTAAAACCCTCCATGGCCTTACTCCCACCTACCTCTGCGACCTCCTAATCCCTACCAACCTGCCTACTCCTCCCACTTAATGGGCTCCGACCTGCTTCACATCCCCCACCTCACTCGTCCCACTATTGGTGGGTGGGCCTTCTGCCACTCTGCCCACACCCTCTGGAACACCACCCCGCAGTCCCTCTGCCTCGCCCCCTCACTTGCTCCATCAAGATCCGTCTCAAAACTCTCTCAGGACCCTCTCAAGATCCGTACTGCCCTACTTCATATCCCCAGCCTATTTGCCTTACCAACAAAATGGTACCATCAACAACAACAACAAGATTTCATTTATAGAGCGCTTTTCACGTCGGGAGGACGTCCCAAGGCGCTGGACAGTTGGGTCAGGACCCAAGCAGGGGGGAAATGGTCAGGGTGAGGGAAGGGAGGGAGCGAGGAGGAGGTAGAGAGTTGAGAGGGGAGCTGAAGGCACGGTCGAAGAGAAAAGTCTTGAGACCGGCCTTGAAGGAGGAAAGGGAGGAAGCGGCGAAGGTACTGGGGGATGGAGTTCCAGAGCCTAGGGGCTGAGAGGCTGAAGGCCCGACCACCGATGGTAGGGCAGTTGGGGCGGTGGATGTGGAGCAGACCGGAGCCAGAGGAACGGAGGGTACGGGCAGGAGGATTAGCACCTTGGGACGTCCCCCCGACGTGAAAGGCGCTCTATAAATTGAATTTTGTTGTTGTTGCCATTATTGTAAGCTTTCAACCATTCTGCCATGTTCTCTGGATCTCCATCACACAGCCTCTCTGACTCTTTCTCTCTCTCCCTCTTCCCTTTTTTAAGGCATGAATCAAAACATACTTTTTTACCGCACTTTCGGTTATCTTTCCACTTGTTAGGCACTTTGAGACCTCCTGATGTTAATGGTACAATAGACATGTAAATTTTATTGTGTATCGTTCTAAGTAATTTATTCATTGAAAACCTCTGAAGCACTTTTCAGTAATTGTTGAATGTACTCATTTTTTTAGACAAATGCAGCAGCCATTTTCTGGATAGCAAGATGCTAGAAACAGATATGAAGCAAATGATTATTCT